CCGCAGATGCTCAATGCGCCATGCTCGGTCGTGCAGGCTGCTCAAGCAGGCATTCAATACTCGTCATATGTGGTATCATGAATGTTTATTTGGTCATGTTCCGTAAATGATAGGTTGTTTTATCAAGCTAGCTGGCAGCTCCAAGTTGCGCTGCCCACCTCTGCCGCTTCTCCCCCTCAGCTCGTTCACAGCTGTCGGTTGTGTGGCCCGACTGGGGACCACTCTGAGACTGTTCGGAGCCGTGTGGGGCTGACTGGGGCCGCCGCTCAGTCGGGGGATGCCGCTGCCTGGCTCGGGGGGCGCCGGCCGCCGCGGCGGCGCTCACCGATCGATGGGGTGCGGCCCGGCCCGAGCGGCGCGCTGACGGCGCCCCTCCGGTCGACCGGACAGAACAGGGACACTGACCCCGCCGTCCGCCCGCCCGCGCCCCGGGGTCCGGGGACCGCCGCGCCGGTCAGGTGACGGCAGCGGACCGGCTGTCATAGGACGCCCGGTAGCCAGCGCCAGGCGGCACGGCAGGAGGGATTACGACTTCCGTGAGCTGCCGGTGGCGTGCCGCCGTCTGCAGGGAGTTTCCGATATGTTCTGCTGGAGCTCGTGAACTCGGGAGTTACGACTTACGAGTCATGAAAGCGGCTCGGGCGATAAGCCGTCCGCGGCCCAGGCTGGCCGGCGTGTCGTGTCTTTTCGCCATCAGCCCGAGTCGGCCGTTCGTGACGAGATTTCTCCGGGGCTGTCACCGACGATCGGTCTAAGGTCGGCCTTATGTTTACCCTGTTCCTGCTTTAAATGGACACTTGCCGGCTATATTGGGTACCTCAGGCTTTATGGCCGTGACGTGCTGCGCCACGCCAGGCCGTCCCATGTCATTGCATGTTATGCCGTACTATCCCGTGGCATTTCGAGCCCGGCCGTTCCTTTTACCATGCCGTTGCATTCCGGCCCGGCCGTCTTTTGCCGTGCCTTTCACCACCATGCCTTGCCGTGCTATTCCATAATACCGTGTCGTGCTGTCTCCCGTCATCCCATCTCTGCCGTTTCGCTGCCCTCCCTGCCATCCTCATTCCATTCCATCGCCGCCCGCGCCACGCCATGCCGCGATGCACCGTCTCCAGCTGGGAGTGCAGGCTGCAGACTGCAGGATGTTCGTATTGCACCGTAGCGTGTCCGACTGTATACCGTCATCTGCTCTGCTGCCGTGTTGAACCGTGGCGTGTTTCGGCCGGACGTGTTGTGGCCCGGCGTGGCGTGCCCTGTCTTCGTTGAGCGCCGCTCTCGGTGGTGGCGTGGTGCCTTAATTGCTCCGCTAATGAGGGCGGTGCCTCGGGCAAGAGGCGGCCGGGTTATTGGCGGTAGATGTGACAGCCGAGTTGATGGAGAATGAGCCGATCGTATCGGCTTTAATAAATTACGTCGGCCGGCCGGCCGGTCGTTTTTCGGCCCGGTGCCATTGCTGTCAGTGGCGGGCGGTGAACGGTAGACTTCTGAGAACCATTGACGGGGTCCGCGCCGGCCGGTGTATTATGCTCATTGTCCGAGCGGGCGGTATTCTGCGGGCCGCCTGGACAGAGACATTAGCGCTCATCGTCTATGGCTGATTTGAATTTTCCGATCTATTTGCCGGCGCCGGTGGGGTATCACGGCGGTGGTGAGTTAATTATTTAGCGGGCCGGGGCGGACGGCGCGGCGTTGGGCGGACGCCGCGGGCCCATCGATCCCTGCTGGTTCGGGAGGTCGGCAGTCTGTGGGACGGGTCCGCCCGCGCGGGCATGGCGAACATCTGCCGTGGAACTGGGCCCGACGCGGTCAGGGAAGGAAGCGGGACGACGTGTGTATTATCTGGCTGACTGGAGACAGATGATAATCTGTTTGCTCAGTTGTTAAATCTTAATTAGCTGATGCTGCTGACATGTTTGATTGTCGCTTGATCAATTGGTTGTTCCTGAAGAAGTGTGGGGTTCGGTCTTTTGTTTGTCTCCCACAACAACAAAAAAACATTTACTTATTACTTTTTGCTCTTGCTTATTTCTGGTGACGGCATAGTTGTCAGCACGCTTGCTGATCAGCACTAGCTGCTTGTCCGATTTTTCGCTACGTTCAATTCTTTGACATTCGTTCGTTCAGTCGTTCGTTTGGCCGTCTTTCTATTCGGAGCTGACAGTGCAGTGTAGGAGTCTCTCGCTCTGACAGCGGCAGAAGCGGTTACGAGCTGAGCACAGCAGCTGCTGTGGAACGAGCGGCCGCCCACCGTGCAACCAACACGGCTAGATCCTCTGTCATGGACCGAACGTTCGTGTCCCCGCCATGGACCGAACGGCTGAAACCCCACCATCTGCCGCCGGCCCGCCCGCCTCTCATCAATATGTATAAGGTGCCCGGAGCGCGCGGCTCATATTGAATTTGACACGTGTAGGGCGGGCGGCGCGCGTGTGTGTGCGTGCGCCGGGCGCGTGTTGCGCCGGCCCTGTGCGCTGGTGCGTGGGCGCGCGTGTGGTGGCTGATGGTTTTGATGAGTTGGAGTGGTTGTTTAGGCACGGTCGGTGGCGGGAGCGAGTGCGAGCTGCCCGGCCAGCTGCCCGGCCTGCTGGTCCTCTCGGCTGCCCGGTCGGCTGACAGATGGACTGGGGTTTGTTGAGAGAAACCGCCGCCGAGCTGGCCCGGCCGGTCCGTGCACTGACACGTGCTGATACCGGACGGCAGCACCAGACACGCTGGTGCTCCCACTTCCTGCGGCTATTTCTGGATCGCTCTGCTCCATGGTCCGTCGTCCTGCTGATAACGTGTGTGTCGTCTTTTCCGTGTCTGTCTCGGTGGTTCTGGATCGGCTGCAGACATCCGATCGTCTCCACCCTCCTTGTTTTACCGGTGCCAGCAAGTTCCATTCACGCACCCATCTCCTCCATTTTCCTGTGTCAGTGCCCGTTATCTCTCTGTGCCGTGTCGTCCCGACACGTCCCGTCACTGCCGACCCCCTTGTGACGTCACTGCGCTCCGCCAGCCGGCCCCCTGTGACGTCACGGCGGCGTCCCTCCGTGTCGGACCGGACGTCGGTCGGCAGTGCGGACCATTGAGCCGTGCCAGACCAAATCTCCTCCGCGGCCGAGCTGTCCGCCCCTCTCTCCATCTCTCCGCGCTCTGTCCTCGTGACGTCCAGCGGAGTCGGGCCGAAACGAGCGACGGAGTTTGCGAAACGGCACGGTCTACTGTCCGCTACTGGGCGATTGGAGATTTTGGTCAGAGCTGCCAAGGCCGTGGCTGCCGCCCGTGGCGAGCCGAGTCGCGGAGAGGAGAGAGTGAGAGAGAGGTAGATGAGACTTCAGAGCGAGGGACAGAGAGATGAGTGATTACGGCCCGCTGAGGGTGGTGCACCGAGGCAGATCGGAGCTCTGCGCTGATGTGATTATCCAGCATCCCAGAAACAACAGATGTTCATCCTTCAATGATCAGTCACGCGAGTCGAAGAGAAAAAGTGGTGAAATCGATGAAGGAACGCCGAGTGAGTGACAAATCTTGCAGCGGTCTGGCGGCTGCTTGCTGCTGTTGTATTTGTACCGTTGTTGTTGTTTATCGAAGCCAGACGAATTACACCGGAGATGTAAATGATGTCGATCTCTGGCCATCTGCCCCCTCGCCACTCTCCGAGCCTATTCAGCGGACGGGCGTGCCCCCACCCTCCCCTAATCCACCGGAAATGCGCGTGTGACGCGTGAGAGACCACCGTCCTAGTTCCGATCCCGGCCACCAGGCGGCAGCAGCGGACGGCGGGCGGCGCACAGGGCTATCGGTCCATCTGGGAGCTGACGGGACCGGGCGGGCGGGCGGCGCCGGCACCGGCGCGCGGCGCGTCTGTATTTGTTGAGGCCGTCCTGACGTGTCGTCAGACTCTGATGGAGTTTTATGGAAACCGGCCAAACAAGGCCAGCCGAGGACAGCGCTAGACAATGGGACGTGGGCTCACATCAATGGGCTGACTGTTAGAACGCCGTGCTGAGGTAGGGAAGGATTGTGATGAGGCGATAGGCTGGGAAGCGTCTCAGGGACGACTGAACAACAGCTCGGCGGTGGGCCTATATCATTAGACTGGTCACAGTGCAATGTGCAGTGACAGGAATGAGTACCGTGACGTGACACCACAGCGTGATTCGTGACGCCGTAACGTGACACGTGACGCTCGGCTGGGACCGCCGCGATGCAGCGGCGGCGGCAGGCGGAGTGGCGCCTCCTGTCGTGCCGGGTGCTGGGAAGGAGCGGCCGCCGTGCCTATCTCGATCGCCGCTGCATGACCGTGCAGGGAACGGTGGCCACCGCGGCGCGCTGGGAACGTGGCAGGGACGGCCGGCCGCCGCTGGTCTGACGCGCTGGTCGGGGATGGTGGTCTGACGCCGACTGGTCTGATGCGCTGGTCTGTTTTGCTCAGCGACGGTTGGTGGCCACAGCACCGTCTGTTGCTGTCTGAACTTATTGCAGTCCCTCCCAATGGGACCGCGTTAATGACCTCGGCGGCTGCCTGTCCCAGAAACCCTGATTGGTTATTTGGCTCCAGTCCAGCGCCGTTACCGCCACTCGCCAATGAGTACGGAGCCCGTGGTGGTGACGGATCGGCTGTGACCTTTACGCGACTACAAAATGCCTCGATTGATTCTATTTGTCCGTTTCCTCGATCTCGCTATTTTATTCTTAGAAGTGTCGATCGTATTGACTAACCATGCATCGGCAGATGAAATAGCTCAGTGTTTTCTTCCAAATGTAAATTTCAGCACTGTGATCAGCAAATTGCAGAAACAACACGTGATATAAACTTGGTGTCGTGTTTAACCGTCTGCCATTTTGTCAGCCGATCATAAACCGCGATTTATAAGACGATCTTTATGATGGTGACCTGTACCGCTGTCCGCCATCTGTGCTGTGACATTTGCCGGGACCTTTTCCGTGATGTACGCTGTGACTGACCTGTGACCCATGTGACCCGACCTGTGACCTGTATGACCTCTGTGTTACAGAGCGTGTCGGACATGTGTGTCGGCACAGACGGCCTGGTGAGCCGCGGAACACTGCTCGAGCCGGACAGCCTGGGGCCCTGCGAGCCGGGCACCACGGTCAACCTGGAGGGCATCGTGTGGCAGGAGACCCAGGGAGGTCAGTACCGCGCGACAGCTGCCACAGTGACGTCATCAGTTGTGACGGCTGACGTCAGAGGGGTGCGCCGTACCGCCTCCGGGCCTCAAGGGAGTCTGCTATCATTTGATGGGCCGTCACAACTCATAAAGATGTGTTTGGCGCAATGCTTCAATGTAGGAATGCGATGTGTTTACTGGCGATATCTTTCGGACAAGGTATGACAACAGTCCTATCGTAATTGCTCACTGATAGCACTATCGGCGCCGTCCAAAGTTAGACGTTAAGCGTTGTCAATCAACCCGAGTCCGAAGGTCGTTCTCACTGGCTTTAGCGGCGTTTTGGCTGGAGATTTCTCCCAGCAGTGTCCAGCTGGTGACGATCCAATCAACTTTCCCAAGGTCAATCGGCGGCGAACTCCCTGTGCGCTTTTTATGTTAGGTAATATCGGCAGCGGAGCGGAACAAAAAACCGGACACTGATACGCCCATATTCAGTCCTCTGTTTGGCAATGACGTTTTTATGAGATCATCACGGCAATAAGCCGTACTGTCGCCTGGATAAGTTATTGATTGATCGTTCTCGGTACCCGGCGAGACACATGGCTGAAATGAAAAGTCTTTCGGTTGAATAATTCCCGTGTCGTCGTTTGGCCGGTAGCCGCCGGTGACCGGCTACTGTCTAGTGTCTGAGCGGAGCCGTCACTCCCACGGTGAACGCCGCCAGCTGGCCTTTCCCACGGCGCCGCGAGGCTCCCGTGGCAGCCGGCAAACGGGACACCCAGCGCCATCTGTGGAGAGCTCGGCGAACTAACTGCCCCGCCCGTGATCAGCTGATCCGCCCGGACTGGGCCTGGCTGGCGACTGTGGCTTTGGGTGCCTGCTGCGGAGACTTGCCGAGGTGTTGACTGTGGAGCGAGAGACGAGACCATATATGGCAGGAAGCGCTTTTCTAGCTGGACGACAGGACACTGCTCTGCGACGCATTGGGGCCGATGTTTTTTCCTTTTAGTTTTGTTACATATGTTGATCAATCAGCTCAAAAGCTCAGTCAGTAGGTACCTACCTACCTAATGCTCAATGAGGATTGATTAGGTGCTGTTATATTTCACTTGTCATGTGTGATCATGAAATTTGCCCTCGATGCTCTTGCTCATTGATGACTCACCATTGTTAACGAAACTGAATATCATCAAACACATACACTACCAAGTCGGAAGTCCCAGGACCGAATTGGCGGCCTTATGCTATGTGGTAATGGGACGTGCGGTACAGCCTATCTGCAGGCGTAAGACACTAACGCCATCTATGGAGAGCTACGGAAGAATATCGATGTGTTGCGGAACAGCATACATTCAGGCGTCAGTACTACCGCCATCTATTGTCAATGAATGTAGTTATCTGGTCCGGCACATCGTTTGGTCTTGCATGTGGTGTCTTGTTGCGCTGTCGGGACTTTCCTGTTTCTTTCAGCTGAGGGTTTAGTTGCGCCGGTGTTACAAAAGCATGTCTGCTAAAAATGTAGTGTCAGTGCGCTTTACAACAGTCGCTCTCTGAAACGGTTGTGATCGGGAGCCGTCACCAATTCAAAACTAGGTCCAATCAACACGAGACCATCAAACGGTCACGGGTTTCACGAGTGTCTGTTGGGTCTCACCACCATTGAAATGGAACGTAAAATAGTCTCATGTCATATGGGCCAACATAACCCATTCCATTGAATTCAAGGTTTAAATAAAAAGGGAAATAAAATACCTTCAAACTACACGACGCCAAAGGAGCTTACCCATATCCTTTATAAAATATTCGAACGCCTCAGGTCGTCACGCTAGCATAGTACTGCAGGCTAGCTCGACATTGAAGGAGCTCGGCGACGCCGCTATTTGAGAACATCAGTCATCGAGACAATGATCCGGATGATTCAGTTTGTAAGGAAGCTTATCGATCGTAGCGTTGACATTCATGGTCCCACTAAGCTAGCGTCTTTACGAGGTGACTGATACCCGTTTTCATGACCTTTTTTCTCTACCATTCCTCAGGGGAAAACATTCATCCCACGTTTCCAGCCCAGACCTCGCCGTTCGCCCTGTCCTGCTGTGCGCTCCCACCCCCCGCTATGTGGAGTGTCCGAGTGCCGGACCCGACTGACGGTGTTTCATCTCTTACTTTCAGGTGTTCTGGTAGTGAATGTCACCTGGCGGGGGAAGACGTACGTCGGTACCCTTCTCGACTACACCCGGCACCACGACTGGGCGCCGCCCAGGTACGGTAACCTACGTAACCTACGTAACTTTGTGTGTGACGGCGGCTTGTTTGAGGGAATGTATGGGATATTGATAATGATCGGACGCGGGAATCGGATACCCTCATGATTCAGTTGCGTAATGCGATTTTACGCGCGTGTAAATGAGTTATTCTATGCTGACCGTCGTCACCAAAGTGGATAAGTTGAGCTTTTTTGGCGTTGCAGGTAGGGTTCTTTGAGTATGAGTGCCACTGTCTGACGTCCGGTTTTGTCGCCAGGTTTAACGACTCGCCGACGGCGGAGCTGGAGTCGCGCAGCGGCAAGGGGCGCGGTAAGCGAGGCCGCGGCGCCGCCTCCGCGCCGGAGCCGACCGTGGCCGAGACCAGGGCGTCGGCCCAGTCCAAACTGCGCAGCCAGAGCAAGGGCCGGCGCAGCACGGCCAACTCGGCCGGCGCCAACTTCACCGCCCCGGCCAGCCCGGTCAAACGCAAGGGGCGCGCCGCCGACCGCGAGCCCGCCGCCGCCGACCGGACCCCCAACAAGCGCAGCCGCACCAGCTCAAACACGAGCTTGTCGGAGCCGGCCTCGTCTGCGCCGGGCACCCCGGAGCCGGCGGCGGCCGCGCCACCCTCGCCGGCCCCCACCCCGCCGGCGGCCACCACCCCGGCGCCGCTCATCGAGTGTCCCGAGTCGGGCTGCTCGAAAAAGTACCGACACGTCAACGGACTCAAGTACCACCAGAGTCACGCCCATTCGAACGGCCTCAGCGAGGGCGAGCGTGAGACGGGCGACTCGTCCCCGGAGTCGCCGGCCGCCTCCAAGACGCCGCCTCCTCCGCCGGTGTCGGCGGCCGCCACGGCCCCGACCCAGACGGCGCCGCAGACCCCGCCGGCGGCGCCGCCCTCGCCCGCTCCGGTGACGGCGTCGGCGGCGCCGGCCACGTCACCGGTGACACCGGCCACCCCGGCGCCGGCGGCTCCTCCGGTGGCGGCGTCAGCACCGCCCAACGGCGCCGTGGCCCCCGCCAAGCCGGTGGCGGCCGTGTCGGTAGCGGTGACTCCCCAGTCGCAGCTGACCGGCCTGTCGGCGCCGCCGCCGCCGCCGCCACCGCCGGTCGCCGGAGAGCCGCCGGCCGCCGAGCCGCGGCCCACGCACGCCAAGGTGCAGATCAGCGACAGCAACGGCAACGTCAAGACATCGGGCGTGCTACGCTTCGGGCCGACGGCGGTACCCACGGCGTCGGCGGCGGCCGGGCCGGGCCCGGCGCTGCTGGCGGGCGGCCCGGCGCCGCTGCGCGCGGCCGCCTCCGTGTACCAGCCGGCCGCGCCGCCGCCGGCCCTGGGCGCCGTGTCTCGCCCGTCGGCCGCCGCCGCCGCCGTCACCACCGCGGCGCGCACCGTGCCCGTCATGGCCGCCGTCGACGCCGCCAAGTACAAACCCAAGAGCGTGGCGGCGCGCGTGGCGACACCGGCTCTGCCCGTGGTGACCGTGCCACCGGCGAGTGGAGGCTTTGGTCAGTCGGTGGCCCATCTGAAACCGATCCAGCCGAAACCGACCATACTGGGAGAGACATCTGCCATCAACCCTGCGCTCGAGTCGCTCAGAAAGGACAAGGAGCGACCCAAGAAGCGGCGGAAAGAGAACGGTGCGCGGACGCCCGACGCCAGCCCGCGGCCGGAGGGTGTCGATCCGTCTCGGTTGGCGCCGCGCACCGCTCCTGGAGTAGTGTCCGGCAGTGTAGTGCCGCCGGTAGTGTCCAGCTTGCCGCTGGGCGTCGGCGCCGGTGCAGTGTCGAGTGGGGTGCCGACCGGAGCGGTGGGGCCGGCCGAGCGGCCCTCGCGGGACGGCACCGCCAGCCCCGCCTACAGTGATATCTCCGACGATGGCGCGCCTGTGGACGCCTCGGGCCGACCGGCGCCGGCCGGGATCGCAGCCGCCGACAAAAAGGAGCTGCCCGGCGCGCTGCCGCCGTCGAGTGTCTACTACCGTTCGTTTTTCTCTCCGCCGGGTGTGTACGTTCCGCCGCCGGCCGCCGGTAAGCCGGGTGCTGACGGAGTGGACTCGAAGGAGGGGGCGCGCGGCCCACCGCCGGCCGGCGAGTACGCCGGCGGCCAGCTGTCGTACCTGTCGTACCCGTACCTGCCGGCGGCATACCCGTACCCGGCGATCGACCCAGCCGGCTACCCGCTGCCCATGATGGCCGACCCCAAGTACAAAGCGGCGCTGGCCGGCGAGCGGCCGGCCGTGTCGGTCGGGCCGGGCGGCGCCGGCCCGCCTCCCGCCGAGAGGAGGGATGCTCTGTCGGACGCCGAGTCAGGCAGGACCTCTGCACCGCCGTCTGCGGAGCCGCGCGCGGCGCACACGGGTTCGGCCGCCGGCCGGGACGCCTCGCCGCAGCCGGCGCCGGCACACCGGCCGCCGCTGGGCACTCCGGCGCGCCCCGGCGGTCTGCCGAGCCAGCGCGGCGCGCCCGTAGCCGTGTCAGTGGCGTCCAAACGGCCGCCGCCCACCTCCTCGGCCGGCCCGGCGCCGCCGCCCACCACGGCCGCCGACAAGCGGCCGGCGGACGCGGCGGCGCTGGCGGCGCGCGCGGCCGCCTACGGCTACCCGTTCGGCCTGCCCGGCATGCCGAGCCTGCCGTACGGCCCTGTGCTACTGAACGGCGGCTACCCGGCGCGGTTCCCGGTCAGCTCGGCGGCGGCCGTATCGGCGGCGCCGGAGGACCTCAGCCGCGCCGCCACCACGGCCGCCTCGCGCGCCAGTGAGGTGTCTTCGGCGGCGGTGCGGGGCGCTCCGTACCCGCCGCCGCCGGCGCACCGCCTGCTGGAGGTGCCGGACCGGGCGCGCACCACGGCCAGCGCGGCGCCGGCCTCCTCAGGGGCGGCCGTGCGCGCCGGCTCCCCGGGCAGCCCGCTGTCGGCGCCGCTGAGGCCCGGCCTCGGCTTCCCTCCGCCGGGCGGCTACCACCCGTTCACAGGTGAGAAACGGGGCGGCAGTGCCCATCTCTGGCGAGGGACAAATGACTCTGAGCTGATAGTATGAACCTCCGAAGAATTGCTTAAGTTAGCTGGTCAATCGATCTGAACTTTGCGTCTTGCGGGCATTCCCAAAGTATTCAAACCGTAATTGGGCCATTAAGTCATAGGAACATCTTGTAGGCATTCCGTTTTCAAAGTCATTGGGTTTCCCGGCTGCCCGTGCCCGTGTCTGAGTTATTCAAAGTTCAATAGATGCTGATTCAATTCATCTCTCGTCTTCCGCTTTGTAACGGTTAAGCCTGCCCATCATAGGTACTCACTCGTTTTCCACTGTAATGACTGATGAACTGTTCGTGACGGCTCTCCATGCACTCCTGTGCTCTGTTCTAACTCTGGGCTCTGTCCTTCCCCAGGCGTGCCGGGCGGCGGCCCGAGCCCCAGTTTTGCGCCAATCAAATAGAGGTCCCGTGCGGCCGGCCGGCCGGCTTCAGAAGGCTGTGATATAGTGGTCGGGCCGGCGCCGCGGGGACCGGGCACATATCGACTGCCGCTCGGCCCCCCAGTGTACAAAGACGCCACACTTTGTGACCTCAGAGAGACGAAACTTTGGAGATGACGCCTGCCACCGGATTGTCGAAACTCTGCATTATTGCTGGGTGGTGGAGTGGGGACTGCGGCTGCCGCCGCGCACCAATGCTTTCAACGAGCCCCGCTGTGTGTCGGCCCGACGTGGCAGCAGTTCAGAAGTTGCCCCAATCCTGTGGGAGGTGTTCATCGATTTTGTCTTCACGCGTGTTTTGATTGTTGGCCCCGTTGTGACCAGTGGCGCGGGGGGTTCCGCGGGGACCCGCCTGGTGGCACCGGCTGTTACCGAGCACGCGCGGCCGGAGTCTGTCGGTTGTGCCCCCCCCCCTCCCGCCCCTGTCGGTGGGGGCGGGGCGGACCCCCCTGTCGACGGAGCGGCTGTCGGCCGCGCCTGTGCTGTGGTGCGCTCTTTAGAAAGGCTGTTTCCCGGCTGCCCGTGTTTAGCCGTGCAGGGATGTGCATTATGTGGTGCCGAGTAGGAGATATCATATATCTGTGTGTGCTGGTCGCCAGACCCGGCCGTTTCGTTCGATATTCAGAGACGGCTATTATTGAATAGTGAAAATACAGAGCAACATTAAAACGGATGTTTTGGAGCTGATCGGATCCGGCAGAACCAAATGAATGTACTCGTATAACGGGGAAGCTAATTCAATTGACATGTTTGGCCACCTGGAGACGACACAAGTTCACACACCTTCGTAGACTGGTGATAATCAGTCATGATAGTTTTACTTTTAACTTTAGGGGTACTTTATTACCTCACATTATTGATCACAGAACACACCTCACCAAACTGGCACTTGGTTATTGACCAGCTGAGGGCAACCGAAAGACTCTGTGGTGGCACTCGGCAGAACCACTGGGGGGACTGGCCTGAACCCCCTTCACCGTACGGAGTTCAGTCTGACACCAGCCGACTAAATAAACACTCGGCGAGCGTGGGCACTTCGACTGCAACAGCTGAGAGTAACATATGACGGCAGCAATGAAACAAGGGAAGCACCGAGACCCATCGCCCGCCAGCCTGGTCCCATACACAGTGAACGCTGCAGCACGGCTCGGGCTGCTCCTTGACTGGCGCGGTCGTCGCGGATTAATTAAAGCACCAAGCGACACAGCTAGTCACCAACGGCACAACGAAGACAGGTGCAGATACGAGTATAAACAACATTTTCAACAATAGTTTCAACAATCCATGACGTACCGCGACACGGGCCTCGTCAGCGACACTTTCACATCTCCCCTGAGCCGCACGTGCCGCTATCCCTCGGGACTGCCGCAGCCCACCTGTCCTCCGCCGGCCGCCGCCGGCCGCTCACTGGAACATGTCTGCAGGGATGGCCAGGAAGCTGACGGCGTTAAAGGCGGCGTTCTGGTCGGGCTCCGGGTCAGTGGCCGTCTCGGCGGCGCGCGGCGGTGTGACGATGCCGCCGAACAGCACCAGCTCGGCACGCGCCGCCACCAGGGAGTACAGGATGCGCTCGTCGGGGCCGTGCTGGCGCGCGCACTGGCGCCACGTCACGGAGCGCTCGGCCACGGCGCTGTGTACGTCCAGCACATGCAGCACGAGCGGGCGGCGGCCGGCCGGTGCCACCAGGCGGTAGCCGGCGGTGAGCGGGCGGCGGCTGCGCGGCCGCGGGTGCGGCGCGGCTCGCTCGGCGGCCGCCGCCTCCAGGCGCTGCTGCATCCTCTCCAGGGCGGCCAGGCGCCGCTCTCGGCTGCAGCAGGCGTTCGGACGGACCGAGGGCCGGCCGGAGGGCTCGGCCACCGGCGCCGGACGCCGGTTCAGGGAGCCCGTCTCGGGGCCGGGCGGCGGCTGGCCGGGCCGCCGGCGGGACGCGGCCGTGTCGAGGACCGAGGCCAGTCCCCGGTTGTGGTCGGCGGACGGCGCCGGCCGGACCGGGACGACGGGCACCCCGCGACTGGAGCCGGCAGGTACCGGGATCCGCACCGCCTGCCGTTCACTGCAGGCAGAGCGGGGCGCTATCGGTCGGACACAGCGCGCACCAGGCAGACGGGGTGGTGTAATGGGGGACAGGGTGGGCAACGAGGCGGCTAGGCTCGTACTGACGGGATGCTGACTGGAACCGTAAGGGGATACATGCAACGGTGAACGGAGAGAGGACTGGGACTGGGAAGATACATGATACAACGAACAAATTATACATATGTAGGTGAGGCGTATGCAGCAAGAGCAGCAATGTACTTCATGAAACTAACGTTCCGCAGCGACAGCTTTCATTCATAAGCATGGACGGACATGCACAATTATTCACAAATAAACGTCATCAGTAAATTCTTCAGCAGCAGTACTCCCCACTGCACCGACTCAGTGGATGAGGCAGCTCACTGAAGCATGACGCTGAGACTACCACAGTATCGCGTCTCCGCATTCCATGGCTCGATCGTTACTCACTCGAGTCTTAGGGCGGGTGGTGCGACGGCCGGCGGGGCGGCCGCCGAGGATTGCGGATCAGTGTCGCCGCGACCTCTACCGAGCACTACCACCTTGTCGCCCACCTGATGGAGAGGCAGATCACAGGTTAACGTGAGGCCACGCGGAACACACATATCAGTCCCGGATGCCGCAGTAACGGAACATCGGGCAATGGTAACATCTCAATTGGGATACAGAATTGATGCCATCGTTAGGAGCGCGGGCGGGCGTAGCTCTGCGGGCGTAGCTGTAATACAACAGTTGGGAGGCAAGGATGGCAAATGACAGTAGAAGGATCCTCCCCGGGCGCTCACCTGACAGGCGGGGTGACACCACAGCTGCGAGGGCGCCCTCTCGGCACCGTTCACAGTCAGCTGGTGCCAGTGCCACACGGCGTTAGGTTCACCCAGCTCCAGCAGCCAGATGTCCTGTTTCAGCTGTTTAGGACCGCCAGACCCACCTGGCGGACAAAGTTGAAAATACCAACTGATTATGATGGAATTCAACACTCGCATACAGCAAACATTTGATATTTGTAACCAATAAAGAAATTATTTTTATCAACAGGTTATCCTAAGATGAGAAGTCTGCAAATACTTTGTCACAGGGCTAGTTAGTTCCGATAGCTGATTCGGTGCGATTCCGCTTGCTTTCGGCGCCGGGTCAAATTTATGTGAGTAGCTAACCGTCTCCGGTTCCGGGCCGCTCAGCCCCGACACGTCCCGTCTACAACCCTCCCTCTCTCACCTAGCAGAAGCATGTGCCGCTCATCCAGCGCCACCTGCGAGTGTCCGTACCGGGGCGGCGGCGCCGGCTGGCTGCAGCGCTGGTGGCGCCATTCCCCCGACACAAAGTCATACACCCACACCTCGTTGGTTCTGCCCGGTCACAAACGAGAGATACTGTGAGCTGGTGAAACGGCGCATCAGCAGGAAGAGCCATCGAAATCAACGCCAAACGCAAACCAGCAAGTATGTGTACCTCAATATCAAGCTGAAAATATGTAGGCAGTACATAATTTCGTGTCTTAGTGGCGCAATTTCGGCCGTGAAACTTTGAATATAATTCTTATCACAGGGTGAACTGAATATGTAAATGAGGACTACAACTACGCATTGCTGAATCTAGAGGACATCGTGACACAAAATATTGGTCTCCAATGCCAGCGTTAGCTCCAAAACCATGGACTTTCCACACCATTCCTCTAATCCCCGTCATCAGTCTCGCTCACTCCGCGCCAGTCCCCAGGTCACTCCAGTCCGTCAGCCCCGTCCGTCCGGCCGACCCCAGCGTTCCATAGTCGCTCAGCTGTTCGATCAGCCCCACCCCCCGTCTCCACTCTGGCTGCAGTCCGACACCGGTGAGCGCCCGTCCCCCTCCCTCTGAGGCCACTAACGGGGAGAAAGTTCGGGAGTAGGCAGAAGACGACGACGGCGGCGTACATTTGCCGTTACTCCACGGGTGCCGGGCAGCTGGGTTAAACCTCCAAACCAAGTGGGTCCTGTCGGAGCACCAGTCACCATTAGATGGGTTCAGGTGGATACAGAATAGATAAGTATACGTACTAAGAAGGAGCCTAAACAGCCATACGAGCAGTCTTCAATAAGGCGCCTACCCCATTCCCAAGGTGCAACACGACGAGCCTTTACTCCTTGGCCCTACAGGACAAACGATGAACTCCAAGCATATTACGCCTTCGCTCGCACGATCGATATTAACATTCAATTTGTATTAAGTTCATAAAGTTAGTCCAAATCACCATAATGTTTGGAAGGGACCAAGTGATAATGTTGATTCCATGCCAAACAAATATTGCTGCGCATGCTGTACAGTCTGAGATTGGGAGATTCTGAATGATAAGGAAGTTCAGCAAAACCTACAAAATCTTCTTATAATCTCGCTCGTACAATTACACCGAGCTAGTCTCACTGCGTGAACAGCTTCTTATTCAGACAGAACCGGGAATCAGGGTTGCGGAGTCGATGGATTTTCGGCGACTCCGACTCCGACTCCGACTCCGGCTTTCAAAAACCAGCTCCGACTCCGACTCCGGGCAGAATTGTCGACTCCGACCGACTCCAACTCCCGACTCCGACTCCGCAGACCTAGCAGGGCTGCGGAGTCGACAGATTTTCGGTGAATCCGACCACGACTCCGGCTCGGGTTTCTAAAATCGACTCCGACTCCGACTCCGGTCACAACTGTCGACTCCGACCGACTCCGACTCCGACTCCGCAGCCCTGCCGAGAATGGTTTTAAAGATGTGATATCAGTCACTAGGAAAGCATAACACGCAGGCACGCAATGTTAACCGTTGATTGAAGTAAACGCTGACTTACCTCCTAGCTCAGTTTCGTCAAAATATGCAGTAGCTTTCTAAGGTTAACAATAAAATATAAGCATATGAATATTGTAGTCAAGCTGGGCTGGGCTGGGATTTCAGTTAAAGTTTAGCTCAATATTAGGTATGGAGCATCACGTCTCTCCATTTTACGATTTCCGTGTGAGTGTCGGGTGACACAGCTGACGATGTTTGGCATTGACGACATAGGCATGTCTACCACGCCGTGCAGCGGGGCGTGGACTGTTGATGTGAGGGAAACCACTAACACCCCTACCTACCACCCTCGCCACTGATTTGTCATCCTATCAGTATGAAGAACATCGGCGGCCAGACACCCGTCCCACCGACCGATTCCGATGTCACCCGCATCTCCCATCGGCCTTGTCCCTCCCGTCTCCAGTCTGTCAGTCCGATCAGTCTGTCCCAGGTCAGTCTGTCCCCTCCTGACCCCAGCAGCTGCAGTCAGTCTGTGCCTCCCGGCCCCTCCACCCCGCCCAACTGACGCGCCAAAGTGCCGACTGTGCAGGTGGTGCAGACCACCCGTCACCACCATCTGGTGACCGTGCACCGAGGCGGCGTGACGAGCCATCTTTGGTGGCCACCGCTCGGCCAGCGGAGGGGGAGCGCCCGGCAGGCCCACCACGCGCTCAGTGGAGCTCACGCCGCACACTTCCTCCCAGCGGCACTCCTGGGGGGGGGGGGGCAGAGGTCAGCCCGGACACAGCGGCACTCCTGGGGGGGGGGGGCAGGGGGCAGTCTGCACACAGCGGCACTCCTGGGGGGAGCAGGGGGGGGGGGCAGAGGTCAGCCCACACACCTCTCAGCTGTACCTTCGTGAATCTCTTTTTATTTGAAGTTCATGATTCATCAACGTAGCTGAGATCCAATGTTCATCCAATTCATCCATTGTAGCTGAGACGGTATTAAAACTTGACCTTTATCAAATAAAACGAGCAACACCAAATGCTAATGACACAGATTAGATTCAGAACCACCGGTAGTTGGGAGAACAGCATAGGTATGTTTCCCGCTGACACTTCTCCATCGGCCTGTCCTCGGCTTGCAGTCGCCACACACCTTGGTGTCGTAGATGTGCATCTCGTCGAACAGTTTCCAGCTCTGGTGGAGCGGGTAGGGCGCCGCCTGGCTCCAGCCGCCGAACAGCACCAGCTTGTCGCCGTAAGCCACCATGGAGGCGTACGCCTTGGGGCTGGGGTACGAGCCGACCACCTGCGGCCTCCGCCACTCGAGCTCGCCCAGCTCCAGCCACCACAGGTCGTTGAACGACGTCATCCGAGAGCTGCAGCCGCCGAACACGTACATGCGGCCGTCTATAGGGGGGGGGGAGGGGGTGGAAGGTCAGCGAGGAAATATCGGCGTACAGCAGCGCGACACAGAGTACAACTGCACACCGGAGACAACACAAAGATGAGACGACAGACTGATGACAGCTTAACGGACAGGAAAACAAACACGGAATTCGACAAAGCAACAATGCTTCTAAAATTATTATCCGTTCAATAGGAGCGATCAGTCACAGTGTCCAGGTGTTGGTATGTGTCTCGCGCGTTTGTGGCAATCGGAAGCCGAAGCACTGTGCGATACCCAGACCAGTAGCATACCTAGCATGGCCGCTGAGTGGGCGCAGCGTTTGGTGATGACCCGGTGAGCTGCGGCCGGCAGCGGGCTGCCCACCGGGTTTGGCGTGTCGTAGTGGAACCAGGCCACGTTCAGCTCATCCAGGGAGCGCGCCAGCAGCCGACACAGCTTCTGCTCCACACCTGGCAGCAGATGGTGGAGTTAGAGTCGAGAAGAGAGTGGGTATGTGAGGCCGGTGCAGACTTCCAGTGGGCGGGTCAGAATTGAGCCAATACAGACAAACTAGATCAGGATAGATGAGAATTAGAAGTGATTGAAAGAATGCATGTCTTGACTCACGTTTCACGGCATGGTACCAGCGGTGAGATACCAGCTTGCAGCTCTGCATGTCGTCATAGGGCAGCACGAAGGTCAGCAGGTGGTCCAAAATCTCATCAGGCAAATTCCTCATGGACACCTGGCCACCGGTATCATCATCATCCTCCTCACTGTCATTTGTTCCAGACTCCATGGTGGCATCCTGACTGCTGCTGCATTCACTCAGACCAGCAGCAGGGGGAGCTGATGGTTCCAGGACTGGAAAGCCAGGCATAGTTGTGCTTGTAATTTGTTGGCTTGCTTCTGTATTATCAACAATCGATAGATCAGCACTTGAAGAGCCATGATGAGCAGACTTTGCATGCTCCGGTCTATTGATTGGATTCCAGCCACATGAATTGTTTCTGGAGTTTGGTTCTGTGTCAGATGGAATAGAATCTTTTGTTGACATACAATCAGCTCCTGAACCTCCAGCTTTGGAAACCCCTGCCTCAGCCTCTTGCTCTGGGTCTAGCGCTGGAGCTGTGTTTCTGCTAGTACCTTCCATTAGCCCCTTCTTCCAATAACCTGGAATATGAAGATCAAGAGATTAGGTATTTGTTAGCCATTTACATCACTTGCCTTTATGGCATTACACTTAACTGTTTAGAAAAACGCAAAGAAGCAAAATAAAATCACATGGATGCCAGCACAGTGGCCCCTTGGTATCTACAAAAATGAAATCCGAGTGATATTGTGATATGTCGTAGGCTGGTAAGTTCCCAGCCAGCACACCCAAGTGGGTCCCATATAGGTCTGATATGGGCAGCCCAAGTGGGTCCCAGTGGGTTTTGTCACACAGCTCCAACTGGATCCCATGTGGGACAGCCCAGATAGGTGGGTCCCAGGGGCCCAGTTGGAGCCATGTGACAAAACCCACTGTGACCCACATTGCACATGGGCTGCCCATATCGAACCCATACAGGACCCAATTGGGTGTGCTGGCTGGGTTGTAGGTTGGTAGGTTGTAAGTTGGTAGGTTGGGTAGGTATTTGTCAAGATCAGTTGGTGACATACCAGGGAAATAAGCTAAAATTAGAGCGCTCTATTTATTGCTCCTGCCCCATGTTGAAGAGATACCCCTAAAAACGTGATCTTTTATCGGCCCTTACGCAGCAAGGCAGTAATTCTCAGACCGGTGGATGGTATCAATAGAAAGAGAATGCGTCAAAGATTAAAATGAATTAATTAAAATAACATTAAAATGTTAATTAAGCGTGGAAATTAGTCCCAAACATAAGCTAATTATTGCTCCTACCTCGGCGACGGCGCTCCCCGCAGTCAGCGGAGAAGCTAAAATAAAAGCCACCATCCTCCTCCGTAAGTCAATTTTAGAGCGGCCGAGTGGGCCGATGCGGGGCCACCAAACTGAGGTAAGACGTGGCTAGCAATTGCAAACCGCCATAGAAATCAATATCTTAAGACGTACAATATGGGATGATTACTCTGAAGCTGGAGTGAAAGCATGAGTAGATTGCAAGAAACGAAATGCATAGATTGGTTGAATTATGTACAATAGGCACAGCTCAATAGATGAAGCCATTTCTATGTTGACATTTGACACAACCCTTCCTCTCCTCACCTATGACCTAAGTGCATTGGCAGTTACCGGCATAGTTTTTGAGCACGAGTGTAATTCGCCATCGGACCGCAATGCATGTTGCTAGGCTGCTGCAATTACAAAGAACATACGAATACTGCCTTCATTTGTAGATGTTTGTTTTTTAAGCGGTCTTTGACGTACAAGGGGGCATACCTGTCGACAACTTGAGTTTCTCCGAATTTCAAAAACTCCCAGAATTTCAATTCCTTATGCACTGTTGTAGGTAGGTACAGCTATGTTCACAAGTTTTCGTTTTTTTTTAATAAATTTAGTCCGAACCTTTTGATGGGAAGGATTCACAAGGACAGAGCCACCGCTAAGCGAAGCTTGTTGCGATGACCCTGCCCTCTACCCTCCGATCGCGCAATTCCGATTCTATGGCAGAATTTAGAGTCCAAAGTTTAACGTGCGCACAAAGCCGCGCACGGCCGGTCCCCTCGCTGACTTCGCCTGGCTACGGCCTGCCACCAACCGCAGCCATACCTGTCAGGAGGCCCATAAATGTCGAGCGCCCGTCGCGCTTCGAACCCGGACTGTCATAACCGGGAACGCGTGCTCTCACCACGCGGAGTCCAACGCTCTAACCAACTGAGCTACGGGACCGACTGTTCTAAAAAGGATTATATTTGTCGATTTCGTGCGTCGCTGATAGGAGGGTGCGTTTAATAATTAGGCCCAACGCTTTCTGCATCCGCGAGTACCTTCAAAAGGGAACAACAGTTTCCATTTATTACACTATGGGACATGTGACAAAATGACCACTGGAACATGCATGAAACGGAGCTCACATTCCTAAAAATGTCTACAATCACTTCCTTTCTGACACTATTAGCAAATACCATCTCAAGTTAGGTGGTTGACAGACAGTCAATGGAGATCTGGGGTGACTGAGTGATGCCAATTCACCACTTAACTGATAATGAGGGCCGAGGGCAGAGAAACATGCAACATGCACAACTGACAACTTGACAAGTGACAAAACACTACCAATATTGCGCAGTGCACAACATATTACAGCGGCCAGCCCAAAAAATGCTTTTGGTGGCTAATTGCAAAAACAAGTCACTAATAAAATATGTCTTAGTTGCAGCTGAACACTGCACAATGATCACACTGTTCACGCATTGAGTGAGATGCCACAGGTGGTTTGAATCACACTTTGGTACAACTGCAAATCTGAAGTGTTGTTATGAGGTTCATGCCTCCATGATCACAGCACTTTGGTTGTGGTTGGCATTACACTTGTAGTCTGCAGAGTTCCACATGAACTGCAGACACCTCATCTGGTGGTCTTCATGTTGCTCAACTTCTTCAGGAGGCAAATGTCGACCACCCAGCGGAAGCATGGTCCTGCAGAAAAGAAAGGTAATGCATAAGGTACAAATATTATCTGCTGAAACAGCCCCTTCTGTTGGCTGTTATTAAACTTTTAACATAACATAATAACATGTAGGTATTCCATGTGTATTACATTTGTTGAAGTAAAATACTGCCGGCTATTTCAATACCAGAAAATGAAATTATGTTGTGGCATAATTCACATGCTCAGCTATCAGTATCAAATAATAAATTAATTTAAAAATTGGCATATTCTATAAGACACATTCATAGAATATTCTACTTCACGTCACAAGGACTCACAATCTTTCTGTTGGGTGTTTGATTGACGCATTAACTAAGTTTGTCTTAGGTTTTATTATTACAAAAAAAATTCATATTGCATTATTGTATCAAAATACTGCCAGCAATAACAAAACAAGAACATGAAATGTCAATGAGCAAGCCGCCTTTCCTAAAAATGGGTTACTTTAAAAAGAATTTCAGTTTCTTTTAAGGAAAAGGAGAAATGATTATCAGGTAATTATCAGAAAACCACTCAACCAGCAAGTGTCTGGGTGGTTTCACAGCAAACATCAAGCCAAAACAAATACTTACATTTATCTAAATTGAGCCATTTGACTACTACAAGGATATGTGAGCAAAATAAGAATGCAATTATCCAATGTTGACTTCCTTGCAAAGTTTATGCCTTATTTTATGAAAACGTGTCACTAGAATATGATACTTATCATCGAATATTATTTAATTTACGATTAATTTCGATCGAAACGCACATGGAGTCCCGCGCCATTTTCGTCGACGATGAATATGATCGTGTTTCATGAAGAGATAAGGGGTTTCAATGGTCTTTCAAAGCAATAATTTGATGCAAAAATTGGTAGGAAATAATAAAAAGCTGGTTCAAATGGCCATCAACCATTTAAAACACCGAAAATACTCACAACTCCGTCCCGACGACCACGCAGCACCGCGCACGCCACACTACTGGTACAATGCCAAAACTGCTGTCACAGAAGAAATGTTTTTTTTTCTCGATTGCAATTATGGAATTATTTATTAAACAGAAGACGATCTTTCCGAAAAATCGACTGATTTCATACACAGATGTATGGAAAATAAAAAAATCCCGGGAAATTTATTTGTATTGTTTTGTCGATTTTGACATGCTCCTAGTTTGCAGCCATATTTCGATATGTTCTACAGGGAGTTCAGAATTATTTCAGGACCAATCTTTTCCTCGTTCATTTTCCCGTCGATCATTAAATTTTTAGAGCGGAACAATTAGTTTCCAGGCGGTCCGAGCGGTTTTCGTGAGAAGGGTGCAAAAATCGGCGTCATTTTTAGAGCCTCGACACCAGCTCAACACAGGACCCTATGGGAGACGGTGAAGTAGCGGGAGCAATAAATAGAGCGCTCTAATTTTAGCTTATTTCCCTGTAGTGTCACCGACTGAGATAAGGTCAAGTCAACAATTGTGGCAGTGAAATTGAAGAATTGTAATTGAAAGAATTGTACAGAAATTGTAGGATTTAGGTTGCAGGTTTTGAGGTTGTAGGTTACCTAGGTTAGGTTGTAGGTTTATAGGTTTGTAGGGGTAGCCGCAAAGCAGGCGTCAATTCCATGTAAAACGTACCGTCGTACAACCTACAGTAAATGTAAAAGTCAAGGACACTGGTCAAGGTTGTCGTAGGTTGTAAATTTTCAAAGGTCTTGACATTGACAGTTCTAAAATCAAAATAAGTCATAAACCCTCTTATCATGATGCTCTTAGCTCCCACATGCCACAAAAACAAATTTTCACAGTGTAAATCAGTCGGTGACACTACAGGGAAATAAGCTAAAATTAGAGCGCTCTATTTATTGCTCCCGCTACTTCACCGTCTCCCATAGGGTCCTGTGTTGAGCTGGTGTCGAGGCTCTAAAAATGACGCCGATTTTTGCACCCTTCTCACGAAAACCGCTCGGACCGCCTGGAAACTAATTGTTCCGCTCTAAAAATTTAATGATCGACGGGAAAATGAACGAGGAAAAGATTGGTCCTGAAATAATTCTGAACTCCCTGTAGAACATATCGAAATATGGCTGCAAACTAGGAGCATGTCAAAATCGACAAAACAATACAAATAAATTTCCCGGGATTTTTTTATTTTCCATACATCTGTGTATGAAATCAGTCGATTTTTCGGAAAGATCGTCTTCTGTTTAATAAATAATTCCATAATTGCAATCGAGAAAAAAAAAACATTTCTTCTGTGACAGCAGTTTTGGCATTGTACCAGTAGTGTGGCGTGCGCGGTGCTGCGTGGTCGTCGGGACGGAGTTGTGAGTATTTTCGGTGTTTTAAATGGTTGATGGCCATTTGAACCAGCTTTTTATTATTTCCTACCAATTTTTGCATCAAATTATTGCTTTGAAAGACCATTGAAACCCCTTATCTCTTCATGAAACACGATCATATTCATCGTCGACGAAAATGGCGCGGGACTCCATGTGCGTTTCGATCGAAATTAATCGTAAATTAAATAATATTCGATGATAAGTATCATATTCTAGTGACACGTTTTCATAAAATAAGGCATAAACTTTGCAAGGAAGTCAACATTGGATAATTGCATTCTTATTTTGCTCACATATCCTTGTAGTAGTCAAATGGCTCAATTTAGATAAATGTAAGTATTTGTTTTGGCTTGATGTTTGCTGTGAAACCACCCAGACACTTGCTGGTTGAGTGGTTTTCTGATAATTACCTGATAATCATTTCTCCTTTTCCTTAAAAGAAACTGAAATTCTTTTTAAAGTAACCCATTTTTAGGAAAGGCGGCTTGCTCATTGACATTTCATGTTCTTGTTTTGTTATTGCTGGCAGTATTTTGATACAATAATGCAATATGAATTTTTTTTGTAATAATAAAACCTAAGACAAACTTAGTTAATGCGTCAATCAAACACCCAACAGAAAGATTGTGAGTCCTTGTGACGTGAAGTAGAATATTCTATGAATGTGTCTTATAGAATATGCCAAATTTTAAATTAATTTATTATTTGATACTGATAGCTGAGCATGTGAATTATGCCACAACATAATTTCATTTTCTGGTATTGAAATAGCCGGCAGTATTTTACTTCAACAAATGTAATACACATGGAATACCTACATGTTATTATGTTATGTTAAAAGTTTAATAACAGCCAACAGAAGGGGCTGTTTCAGCAGATAATATTTGTACCTTATGCATTACCTTTCTTTTCTGCAGGACCATGCTTCCGCTGGGTGGTCGACATTTGCCTCCTGAAGAAGTTGAGCAACATGAAGACCACCAGATGAGGTGTCTGCAGTTCATGTGGAACTCTGCAGACTACAAGTGTAATGCCAACCACAACCAAAGTGCTGTGATCATGGAGGCATGAACCTCATAACAACACTTCAGATTTGCAGTTGTACCAAAGTGTGATTCAAACCACCTGTGGCATCTCACTCAATGCGTGAACAGTGTGATCATTGTGCAGTGTTCAGCTGCAACTAAGACATATTTTATTAGTGACTTGTTTTTGCAATTAGCCACCAAAAGCATTTTTTGGGCTGGCCGCTGTAATATGTTGTGCACTGCGCAATATTGGTAGTGTTTTGTCACTTGTCAAGTTGTCAGTTGTGCATGTTGCATGTTTCTCTGCCCTCGGCCCTCATTATCAGTTAAGTGGTGAATTGGCATCACTCAGTCACCCCAGATCTCCATTGACTGTCTGTCAACCACCTAACTTGAGATGGTATTTGCTAATAGTGTCAGAAAGGAAGTGATTGTAGACATTTTTAGGAATGTGAGCTCCGTTTCATGCATGTTCCAGTGGTCATTTTGTCACATGTCCCATAGTGTAATAAATGGAAACTGTTGTTCCCTTTTGAAGGTACTCGCGGATGCAGAAAGCGTTGGGCCTAATTATTAAACGCACCCTCCTATCAGCGACGCACGAAATCGACAAATATAATCCTTTTTAGAACAGTCGGTCCCGTAGCTCAGTTGGTTAGAGCGTTGGACTCCGCGTGGTGAGAGCACGCGTTCCCGGTTATGACAGTCCGGGTTCGAAGCGCGACGGGCGCTCGACATTTATGGGCCTCCTGACAGGTATGGCTGCGGTTGGTGGCAGGCCGTAGCCAGGCGAAGTCAGCGAGGGGACCGGCCGTGCGCGGCTTTGTGCGCACGTTAAACTTTGGACTCTAAATTCTGCCATAGAATCGGAATTGCGCGATCGGAGGGTAGAGGGCAGGGTCATCGCAACAAGCTTCGCTTAGCGGTGGCTCTGTCCTTGTGAATCCTTCCCATCAAAAGGTTCGGACTAAATTTATTAAAAAAAAACGAAAACTTGTGAACATAGCTGTACCTACCTACAACAGTGCATAAGGAATTGAAATTCTGGGAGTTTTTGAAATTCGGAGAAACTCAAGTTGTCGACAGGTATGCCCCCTTGTACGTCAAAGACCGCTTAAAAAACAAACATCTACAAATGAAGGCAGTATTCGTATGTTCTTTGTAATTGCAGCAGCCTAGCAACATGCATTGCGGTCCGATGGCGAATTACACTCGTGCTCAAAAACTATGCCGGTAACTGCCAATGCACTTAGGTCATAGGTGAGGAGAGGAAGGGTTGTGTCAAATGTCAACATAGAAATGGCTTCATCTATTGAGCTGTGCCTATTGTACATAATTCAACCAATCTATGCATTTCGTTTCTTGCAATCTACTCATGCTTTCACTCCAGCTTCAGAGTAATCATCCCATATTGTACGTCTTAAGATATTGATTTCTATGGCGGTTTGCAATTGCTAGCCACGTCTTACCTCAGTTTGGTGGCCCCGCATCGGCCCACTCGGCCGCTCTAAAATTGACTTACGGAGGAGGATGGTGGCTTTTATTTTAGCTTCTCCGCTGACTGCGGGGAGCGCCGTCGCCGAGGTAGGAGCAATAATTAGCTTATGTTTGGGACTAATTTCCACGCTTAATTAACATTTTAATGTTATTTTAATTAATTCATTTTAATCTTTGACGCATTCTCTTTCTATTGATACCATCCACCGGTCTGAGAATTACTGCCTTGCTGCGTAAGGGCCGATAAAAGATCACGTTTTTAGGGGTATCTCTTCAACATGGGGCAGGAGCAATAAATAGAGCGCTCTAATTTTAGCTTATTTCCCTGGTATGTCACCAACTGAAATGTTAACTCAAACTTACCTGGTTTACTGTTAACTATACAAATACAAATTATAATACTCCTTTCAGCTTCAAATGCGTATTCCTGTCGTGTGCCGTATTGCACGGCATATACCAATATGTAATATGTTGATATAGGTACCTAGGTATATAGTACGCGCGCAGCACCGCGTATTATTTTGGTATTGGCGTATTGCCTTCAAGGTTATCTGAAATCACCCGCTCTGAGAATGACGAGCTCAAGGCAGTATATACCAACTTACGGGACACTTGTGTTCCTTTTTAATACTAAATTTAGTATTAAAAGAATTTTGAGTCTAGGCTTAAAAGAATTTTGTACTAGCTGTAAAATGTATATTTAATCTGGAAGTTACGGGGAGAAAGTTTTTGGTGATTTCAGCCTAAAATTGACGTCTAAGTATGCAAATAAATTGTAAAATTAAAATGATGAAATGATCTTTTTCTAGTGTGTGCACTGTGCGTGGAACTGGAATTGGAATATTTTATTCTGGCGTCGTGCCCAAACTGTATGTGTGCTGCAGCCTGTCAATAAATATGATTGCAGAAGAGCTCTTGGATGCTGAAATATTTTATAAATTGCAAAAATTGCAGATGAACTATTCAATATTTTATTGTTTTTGTGTTTTTGCATGCAGTAAATATTTAGTAGATAAGCATCCTCTTGGCATATTGATGCCAAATACCGTCGGGTCTGTTACGGCAGTAATGGCGCATATTCTACAAAAGTGAAGCACTGCTGGCTTGTGGTCACTGAACCTTGTGGTAGAATTTGGGAGTTAAACCTTGGGGAGTTTCTGTGGAGTTTTTTTTCTCGGTATTTTTATGTTTCGATTGACCAGAGGGGTCTCTTCTATTGTTTTCAATTCGAGCACCATACCTTGTGCGCGCCGGTGCAGAAAAATGAGTTCGGAAGTCGTCAACCGCCTGGAGAATCGAGCTAAGCAGGCTGATGACATCATTCAGCATCTGAAGAAAGAGGTGAGATTCCTAATCGCTGGCTGCTGATAGAAGGCAAACTGGCAGATCAAGATACCCACCAGCCAGGGCCCTGTTTCACCGGTGATAGCAGCACGCTGCTATTCCATTTCGTGAGCTGACATCACAATTCTGGGCCCTGTTTCACCTATAGACCTCGTAGCGCAAAACAAAGACCACCATTTGACTCCCTGTGACGAGGTTTCACTGGTTTCACCAGTGATTGCAGCACGCTACTATCAAATGACACATGTAATAGCAGCGTGCTGCTATCACCGCCCACCGGTGAAACAGGGCCCTGGTAGTGTTGGAGGAATAGCCTGACGTCTCCATGACCATGGAAACCCAATTTGACACGTATAATACCAGCATGCTGCTATCACCGGTGAAACAGGGCCAAGGACCCAGGGGCTGAATTTCAAAGCATGCCTATGTGGACAAGATCTTGTCGGTGCTATGGCACTTGGCTGGTACCTATGTTGATATAGCTTGGTTTAAAATTGTTGTGGCGCTGATTCTGTAAAGCTGTGGCCTGTGGGTATTCATATAGCTGGTGTCTCACATGCTGTTACCTATTATTGAAATTTCAAAAACACCACTAGACTGTTCAGTTCTTGAGATATTTACACAAATTTCATTTGTAAAAGTTTCATACCAGTCATACCAATACAACAACTTGCATAACAAAACATAATCTTACCTGACCTTACCTCACCTTCTGACCTGACCTATAACCTACCACATACAAACCTAAAACCTACAATCTACCAATGTGCAGCCAACAGCAAAATTCGTGTAAACATCTCAAGAACTGGAGTCTAATGACTTGAAAAACAGGAGGCAGCATGTGAGATGCCTCAGCCTGCTTTATCATTACCCAGCTCTGCACACTCCAGCTCATCACTGTGCTGTGCTTGTGCAGAAATTATGAACTAATCTAGAAACAATGAATGAAACTGTTGGAGCAAGGAACAAAAATCCTTTAAAAGCAGTTTTCTCTTCAGCAACAAAAGGACTTTCATTTTCATAGTAAAACCCTTAGGCCATGTTTGGTGTGAGTTAAGGCAAATGTCCAGCCTTGTTGTTGGTGTTAGCTGTCTAAGATTTCTTACCCTGGTTGGTGCAGCTCATTGACTCTCTGCCATGCTTTGCATTTGGCCTAGGGCTTTGCTAAATGCTTACCTCTACCTTTCAGCTAGGGATGAAGAGGATATTTGTTCTTTGACCCTTTCTGTCACTGGATCAGATGTTGTGCACTCTTAGATCATGATAGTAATTATGGTAGCAGGTTGTTCACTGTTCACCATGCTGGTCCTTATTTACAGAAGGTGGATGGACACTGGGCAAGGGGCCAGTACTGCAGGACTGTCCTGCCTGTTGATGTGAAACTGACTGATATATTGCCTCATATGGTAGAAGGGGAGTAAGAATAAGCACAAAAACTACAGTCTTGTCAGTTTGGCATAAGTTTCTTGTAAGATGATGGAGTTGATCTGCAGCCAGCTGATGCCATCTTGAGGTGGAGAACCTAAGCAAAAATGACAAGCATGGTTTCCATCTGAACATGTCTTGATCTACCCAATGGCTGTTAGTTACTTGCTAACAACTGTGGAAAGCAGAGCATGATTGAAATCAACCAGCCCATCAGTCATCACAACATCAGAAATCAAGACCTTGCAAAAGCCTTCAACACAGCCCCACCATGAAGACTTAAGAGTCCTGAAGAAGATAGAGGGGCATGACATCAGAGTCGAAATTTCCTCAAATAGAAGAGTGCATTCCTGAAACACAAGTCACAACCACCAGCAGGCTTCTGTTGAAAGCAGAGAGTCAGACCAGGCCCCCTGCACAGAGTAGAGTTCCCCAGGGACCAGCCCTTGCTCCATCACTGTTCATACTTCATGCTGTATGTGAATGACTGGTCTGGCCCGCTGCTGCACTGTCGGTCGTCCCGTCGTCGCATCAATATGTTTACCTACGATAGCAAACCTACCCCAGATATCCGCTGTTCATCTGGCTTGGCTGGTCTGCAAAAGGACCAGACCTAAGCACGACACTCCATTGGGCTGACGGGTGGCAGCTGTCATTGATTTTATCCTGGAATGTGTATGGTGCTCCAGATTTAGGCGGAGGCCACCAGCACTGCAATTACATGATGGGAGAAGCAACCATAATTAAAGAGTATATTGTTTTATGAATCTAGTCGAGATGGGTGAGTGGATGGCTTTAGGCTTGGGTGTGACGCTGAGCGATGCTTGTTGAAAATGTGTCCATGGACCCACCATCCGACATTGGCCGCGCCCAGTTCACCAGTTATGTCGAAAGTTAACGTATCACTGGTAGATGGCAGTTGGCACCGTCTTCCGGGTGTAACTTGGCCCTCTCGCCAGTTGCCAGCTGGCTGAATGTAGAAGCGCGGGTCAAACGACGTTGGAGCTCTCCGGGTTGCGAACTCGCTACCTGCCACCTATTTACAAGACGGAGGTCTTGTACAGTTGCACCAAGCAGCTCACATGAAGAACAAAGGGATTATACATGGATGTGGAAATGGAGCTTAGAAAGACCAACCACTCCCTCAGCTATCCGAAAAAGAAAACTAAGAAAAAAATATGACGATTGTTCAAAACGTCTCTGAGGGTGCAGCGACTCCCCAGATGAATTCCCAAATGGTGGTTTAAAACACGCCATCGTCCGATTAAAACTGAGATCGCTTCACGTATGTCCTCAGATCGCAGCTCTGCAGTCGGCGACCCAGTCCGAAGAGCTGCTGAGTCTCCAGGAGGAGAACTCTCAGTTGAAGGCCGAGGTGGAGCGATGGACTAAGGCACTCGTCCAAGCAGAAGAAAAGAATGGAGTAAAACAGGTTAGCTCAAAAACTTGGCATGACACCGGTGTTATTCGGTGCTGATAAACGTTTTTATTGTTCTCATATATTGGTTTGTGGGCAAGGGGCATGCGTGACTTTCAACACAATAACTCCATACTTGTATATTACTTCGATAGCAATATTTTCTCAGCTTGTCTGTGGCAGGTGGATTGAAGAGCAGTAACGCTTTGATCTTGAAACATGAGACGGGTGTTAACTATTTGAACATGGTCCCGTGTGAAAATAATAGAACTGAATGCTGACAATGCGGTGCTATTTCAGGTGCCTCTCCCCGGCCGGAGTGCCGCTCCTGCTGCGTCTGTGACCGCCGCAGCTGCCCCGGCGGCAGCCCCTGCAACAAAGGCGCCCGCCGACACCAAACCCGCCAAAGAGGCCAAGACCGACAAGAAGAAGGCGGACAAGAAGGACGAGAAGAAGCCCAAAGCTGACGCGAAGGCGGCGAGTGGCGCGGGCGACGCCGACTCGGTGGATATCGGCCTGCTGGACCTGCGCGTGGGCCGCATAGTGACCGCCGAGAAGCACCCGGACGCCGACAGTCTGTACGTGGAACAGGTGGACGTCGGCGAGACGGCGCCGCGCACCGTCGTCTCCGGCCTGGTGCGCTTCGTACCCGTGGAGCAGATGCAGGACCGCATGGCCGTGCTGCTCTGTAACCTCAAACCGGCCAAGATGCGGGGAGTCACCTCTCAGGCGATGGTGATGTGCGCCAGCACCCCGGACAAGGTGGAGATCCTGTCGCCGCCGGCCGGTGCGCAGCCCGGCGACCTGGTCACCTGCGAGGGCTTCGTGCGCCGCGCCGACGCACAGTTGAACCCCAAGAAGAAGATCTTCGAGCAGGTGGCGCCCGACCTGAAGACGGACGCGGAGAAGCGCGCCACTTATCGCGGGGTGGTCTGGGAGGTGGCGGGGAAGGGTGTCGTCACTGCCCAGACGCTCACCAACGTCATTATCAAATAGATAATTTGTTGTGGAATCGGGAAGTGCTGCTTTCTATCGACTATTTGGATCCATTGTGAGCTTTTGTTTTTTGTTACCAATCTGATGACACACTTGAACAGGTGGACAATAAAAAGTATGCACTACATATGCATAGGATAGCCGTTTGTCCAGTTTCCACATAAATGCTCGAGACCCTGCAATTATGCCTCATATATTTCGATGCAATGCACCGTGTTGCAGTAGGTACATAGGGCGTTGCGTGTTATGAAGTTTGGATACCATAGGTGCAAAATGTGCGACCTGTCCAAGTCGATTATTGGATTGGTGTCACTGACCAGGCGGGTTTACAATAGACTGGTTGATGCTATTTAGAGGCATTGAGATTAATCCACGGATTTTTTCGTTTTCCTGAGATATTGCAGTATTTGTTTCCCTAAAAAGTCTTCGCCTTGCATTATCTGTTCAGCGGTTGTGGTGTTTTGTTTACATGAGTCGGATTGACCATGGATGAAAGAACCTGGATAGGAAACTCCTATTCCTTCAACATTACGGGCAGCGTTCCGGGCGATCGACCTGCCACCTAGCGTTCGGTAAGTATCGGGACTGGAAACTCCCGCCGTTAAGCATTACGGTCTATGGGGGACGCGGGGCGGCATGTTTTGAAATGGGTATTAGACCGCTATGCGGATTTATTTTTAGGTTTAGAAGCTATTTACGACAGACAAAATTGATCAGGCTATCGAATGAGACCAAAACTATTATTGTCCGTTTCGCACAAAAGTCGTACACGAGGGCCGAATACAGGCGACCTTGAAAAAGAGGGCCATTTCTAGTGTTTTTCTCTTACGCGGCGCCGGTGAACGCTTGCGCGGCGCCAGTGAATGCGCGGCAGACGCGGCTCCCGCTGCCGCCGCGCGTGCCCTCGGGCACTTACCGAAGGGAACGCAATCAGCTGTTAGTTTCCAATCCAGGTTCTCCTTCATCCATGGATTGACCAAGGCATACAGACACGGTCTTTATTTCTATGCAGACACAGGGGACTGTCGGCGTTTTCTGTTGATTCTCCTGTTTGAAATTGTTTTGACTTATGCTACAACCTTTGGAAATCTGAAATGGAAAAATCCGCTTCATTCCAAGCATAAGTGATATACTACTTTGGTATATATTTGCTTCTCCGGATCCGCACGTCAGCAGAGTGCGCGAGTTTCTGAACAGGCAGAAGCTTATAATCAAGCTTGGGAACGCACGAATGCACTTTCCTTTTTGTTTTCTATTGTCAGTGAATGGGTTTTCAAATAGTTTTCCCGTGGTAGGTATTTTGCTTATTTGCATTTATTGATACTTTTCTGGGTATTTTGATTCCTGCAGATAATTGCGTTGTTTGTTACAAGTTTGTTATAGGTTTCTTGATTGCATATGAAATGCCAATGTTTCATAGACGTTGAATACTATTTCTTGGCTGCTTGGTGTGCACGGTTTACCCAAATGCCTAGTCCAATTTGTTAAAAAAATCACTTGAAATAGGTACCCACTTATGTTATTTGTAAATGTTTTATAGTGTACATTGACATGGTACATAATATAAAATTGTAATAGTAGGAAGGCCTGACTGCAAAATATGGCAATGGCCAATGGGGTTGTTCACGTTGAGATGCACCACTTAAGGTCCATGACGCTTCGCACTAAATGTGCAGCACACCACAGGGTATATACTGCCTTGCACCACAGTAAATTCATGCTGCAATGGACTGGTGGAGTATGCCCTTGCTCTGATGAGATCTTGTATTGATCTTGTAGAGCTTTCCATAGTCTGGTAGATAAGTGCCCCCTAGTTGGTTGTTGCATTTACCTGCCATGTTACTGATTACCTAATGGTTTTCATTTTGTTAGCTTAATTGATTTGTTGAATTATCAATGGGCATTAAATTCAATCATAGATGAAAGTTTATGCAAAAACACCATTTCAGTCATGTGCTGGTCTGGAGTCTTGTGGTAGCCTCAGCAAATAAGTATGTTCAATTTTGATTAATGATTAATGTGTTACACTGAAGAGATTCAACACCCTCAAGTCAACAGCAGAAGTTGGTGAAGGAATCAACTTCATACTTCATAGTTAATGATAGGTGTTTAATACATTAGTTACTTAGGTACCTACTCTGTGTTATGGGCACTCCTTACTGTGGGATTGTTTATCAGCATGCTGCCGGCCTAGGTAGGTACCAGTGTTTCTCCGCTTCTTATTGGTGAAATCCATTTGGAGTGTAGAGTTCACCAACAAGAGGTTGGGAAATGTCAGCAACTATCTTCCATATTTGGGAAGTTTGGCAGCCTGCTGAAAAAAATGTGTCAATCAGCACTCTCCTGCATAGTGTAGCCATAGCCAGCAGTTGAAAATCTACAGACTGACCTCCTCATTCATTCCAGACTGTGAGCTGCATGAGGAATTGAGCCACTTCCACCTGCCGAGGCAGCAGCCATGGAGTCTGCACCTGAGCTGGATGATAATCATGTCGCCGCCCCACCAGTCACTGAGGCTGACTTCACCAGTGTGCTGCCAACTGCCGAGCCAGAGACCTACAGTGTACTCATGCATTCTTCAGAGCCGCTTGACGGGTTCGTGTTGGCCGACGGCAGCGGCACTGTGCTCGCGCCGCTGCCGCGGTCCGCCGGCGCCGCGCTGAAACCGCCGGTGGGTCTAGACGCGCTGTCGGCGCTGGTGGACGTGGCTGTGGGCCACCCGGGACCGGCCGCCGACCCCGACGACCCGCCGGAGCCGGCCGACAGCGGCGCACAGACGGGCGCCGCCGGCCCGCTGCCGCCGCCCGCCGGTGACCACTGCCTGGTGTGCAACTCGCGCCAGCTGGACCGCCAGCCCGTGTCCGTGTTCGAGGAGAGCGTCCGCTCGTCGACCAGCCTGCGGCCGGTGCTGCACGCGCTGGAGGCGGCGCTGGAGACGCCGCTGGACCCGCGCGTCACGCACAGTCACGTGCTGTGCTCGGCGTGTTTCGAGCTGACGGAGCGGCTGGACCGGCTGAGAGAGGAGCTGACGGAGACGTGCGCAGCCGTACGCCGGCTCTACTGGCAGACGGCTGGGCTCTACTCGGAGCCGCAGCCGCCGGCCGACCCGGAGCCGGAGTCGGCGGCCGAGGAGGCGCGCCGCCGGCCGCTCCGGCCCGCCGCTCAGCACGAGACGGGGCACTGCCGGAGCGCGGCTGGTGGCCGGCGCGCGTCCCCGGCACCTCCGCCGGACCCGCCGCCGGCCACCGAGCCTGAGTCGCCCGCCCAGTGCAGGGACCTGGATGTCAACATACACGTGCATAAGGCCGGGTCGAGGAAACGAACTGCCGCCGCACTGAACGTGAGATACTGGGACACCTCTCCGATTCCTTTTGTTTTTGACTATAGTTATGATACCTAAGAGTTGAAATACCGAAACTGTCTGGACCAGGCTAACTTGATGCCATACTGTTGTGCTGTATCATATCCAGTCAATCCATGATTCATCCCCATTTTCGTTTCGATTATACCTTGGACATGCCCTACCCAGTACCCATTCCTCCTGCCCTAACAATGCGTCAACTGCCCCTGAAGTTCACCGAGTGTCTACTCTCCTGTCTCCTGTCCACTTTCGCTCTCCCATTAGCGCCTCCCTGACCCCCACGCCGCGTCCCCAGGAGGACCGACTGACGTGTCGCTACTGCTGTAAGAAGTTTCAGCGGCCGGCGCGGCTCCGTCAGCACCTGGCCACGCACACGCCGGAGGGATCCAACAATCGGTGCCACCTGTGCAACAAGACATTCAGCCAGAAGTACTACCTGAGGGAGCACGTTAAACAGGTGCGTGCAGGGTGTAATGGGGCGCAAAGTAGAGTGTCATTGCGACTCTGTGTAAACATTAGTCTTTTGGCTGTCAGCGTGTTAGTGTCTGCTTATATCAGTATGTCAGCAGCGTATGACACGCCGAATGCCGGTCTGTTTTATGTATCAGTGTCATAACTTAGTGTGTCACTGTCGGCAGTGTGTCATCATCTCGCCCCTATTTCACCAGGTGCACGAGCGGCGCAGTCTGCACAGCTGCGACCAATGTGGCAAGGCGTTCATGCGCCGACTCCATTTGGACGACCACATGCGCACGCACAGCGGCGACCGGCCCTACACCTGTGAGGTGTGCGGCCGTGGCTTTAGCCAGCGCGGCAACTTGCGAGCGCACGCCATGGTGCATACGGTCAGTGCGGGGCGAGCGGCGGGCGAAATTCCGTCTTGGATCTCGGGTACACCATATATATTTTGTTTATCATTAAGGCCTTTTGTTGTGGGATGTCGATGGTTCTAAAAATTACGACACTAACCCGGCTGTTTGCTGCTAACTTGTTAAATGCTCGTCGATTCTCATCTGCGCCCTCCCTACCTCCCTTCCAGGACCAGTTTGCGTTCCAGTGCGACACTTGCGGGAAGCGAGTTAGGACGCGCCAGGCGCTCGAAGCCCACCAGAGGAAACACAACGACGAACGGCGCTTCGCGTGCACCATGTGCAGCGAAACTTTCCTGCTCAAGCGCTCGCTGGACCGGCACAAACGCAAGCACACAGGTCAGTGACTGCGTACGCCCCGCGACCCGCGGAGGGTGCTTTTGGTAACTTTTGGGAGGGTGCTATGTCCATACTGGCTGATTTAGGACATGCGGATTGCGGGTTTTGTGGGGCGCCCTCTGGTACGCGTTTGATCTGTGGAACGAATGCTACGTGACAAACTGAAACTTCTTCGTTTATCGATTCAAATTTACAAGTATGTCAGTATTCGCGCAATGATTGCACTTTTTATCGATTTGCAGGATAAACATTCACACCGTCTCTAATCATTCTGATATTGTATTAGCTCATGTTCATTTAGTCTTGAACCGCCCTCCAGTGCCAGTCTGATCTCCCCCGTTCATAGACCGACTCTCACGCCCTCGGTGGCCACTGGTCGTTCTATTTATTCTTTCTCTCCGCCTCAGGCGACCGTCCGTTCAAGTGCAGTCAGTGTACGCGGGCCTTCCGGGACCGCGGTGACCTGCGCTGTCACGAGGACACCCACAACGCGTCGCGCGCGCACGTCTGTCCGCTGTGCGGCCAGGGGTTCGGCCGGCGGTACAAGATGCAGGCCCACCTGCGCTCGAAGCACGACCGGACCGACAGTCAGGTGCAGGAGCTGTGTCTGCTGCAGCAGACGGCGCACACGGTAAGCGGCCAGGGGGACTCGCCGGGTGCGGGGGGGAGGTGGTCGGGGGTGGGGGGGGGGGGGGTCAGAACGGAGTTGGCGGGGAGGTAAATGAAGTCATACAGGGGTGCGGAGTGTTGTAGGGTGCGGATATGGAAGGATGCCGAGATCAGCTGTATCGCAGCTATATGCCGCTCTCGTCTGATACTGTACTGATGACTGAGAGGCGTCACACTGGCCCGTCTGCTCCCCTGTTCAGATGTTGCAGCAGTCGCAGCAGAAGCTGGAGCCCATCACTATAATGGAGATGGACGAGATGGCCGAGGCGGACCACCAGCAGCACACGGCGGCCGCCGCGACCGAGGGCGGCACGGAGTCGCAGACGCAGCATCTTCTGGTCCTGGCCTCCAACGATCCGCTGCCACCCGGCTAGGCAGGACTAGTTACAGAGTCTCTGGGTGAACCAACGGACAACCGGACGTCCTAGACCCTAGTCTCACTGGATCAGAACGGCCGGCAGGGCATAGTCTCAGTGAACGAGAAGGGACGGCCGGGCATAGTCTCACTGAACCAGAAGGGACGGCCGGGCCCAGTCTCGGTGATTCAGAAGTCATAACGGACGGCCTGGAGCAGATGGTAGGTCCCGTGTTCAGAGGAGGGTCTCCAGCCGAGGTCCCATCGGTTACGATCCTCGCCAGATGCCAGCTGTTAACGAGGTACGAACAACTGAAAGCAGGTACCTGTCGACCTCGCCGACTGTATATCCATCGAGTCGGCTCTGGCCCAGTGTTCCTTTCATAGCTCGTGGGGTATATGTAATATCTCGTACTTCATCCATAATATGTCAGTTGTGAATGTTCATAAGTGATCAATCACGCATATCCACTGACTCATATTTCATGCCTATATTCATCGTCATACCAGCTCCATTTGGGGATCTAGGGGGTGCATCTTGCTAGTATTCCATTGGGGATGATCTGAATCATATTCTCCGAACAGCGGTAAATGTGGCGTATATTCACCACACCTGAATCGGCTATGTCATCATCACACAATTTTAATCACTTATTGTGTTGACTGCGGTGCGAATATATAACATATGTTTATTATGTTTTTTTTTTTTGTATTTGACATTTACCGGATCCCGGCATCGCTGAGGTGATTATTTTGCACTTAAAACCGCTAGGCGCATGACAACGGCGCTGGCTTAAAGCCGACGTCATTTTCAAAAGACAAACTTCTCACAACAGTTGCTAAGCTCATGCTTACGAGTACACTAACGAAACACCGCTTCCCCATGTACACTTCATTCCATATGCATTCTGACCTGCAACAGATCGAACGAACTATCTCTCCAGAAGCGTCCACCCGCTCTCCATCGCCATACTCACAATACAGACACCTGAGTCAGTCACTCCGTCCCACACCGTACGTTGGTTACGCTGCGGCCGCACCGCGCGGGGACTCCCCTGACGCCGGCGGCGGGTCCTCTGTATCCTGCAGAGGATCCTCCGGCGGGTCCAGCGGGTCCTCGGGCGCCACCAGGTGCATGGCGTAGCTGACGGAGCAGTCGGAGGTCCAGCTCCATCGGCTGCTGACCGGGTTATAGCGCATACCGTGCTGGAGACGCAGCGACATGCCGTCTGGGGAAGACGCGGAGCAGGTTAGAAGGGGTGCCCGGGAGAGACGAAAGGCATGCAACTGACCAAACGCATCCGGAAGCAGGGCGAGTTGTGCGACAGGACACACATGCGGTGTAGTCAACAATACGGCTATCCAGAGCTAGGGAGGAGAGCAATTGAAGAGACGGTTTGCGTCTCTCGATGCCTTTGAATGTAATAACTAATAAGGTGTTCAGAAAGTGCACACCCAGCCCACCCAGTGCAGCCACTCAGCCAACATTGTCCAAATCCCGTATAACTAGGCCAGACCCACGTCCCTCACGCCCACTCACTGGCTGCCAGGAGGCTGTGCAGCTCCGCCGGCGGGATGAACTTGTTCCAGTCGTGGGTTCCCACCGGGAGAATCCGCAATACGTACTCGGCAGCCAGTATGGCCGCCAGCCACGAGCACTGGCTTCGGTTCAGCGTGGTGAGAAACAGCGAGCCGCCAGGCTGGGGAAAGCCGGAGAGGGGCAGTCAAATATAATGCAACGAGCAGCATAACGACACTATTAGTAACTAAATTACGTTATTGTATTACAGTAAATCGATTCCATTTCAGACTCGGCACCATGTCGACTCGCCGCTGCAAGTTCTCACCCTCAGCAGTTGACAGCACATGTCCAGGAACAGAGGCTGGTTATCCACGTGCTCCAGCACCTCGGAGGCCACGACGGCGTCAAAGGCGCGCGGCTGCTCCTGGGCAAGCTCCTCCACGGTGCAGCAGAGGTACTGGGGAGGCCGCAGCCCCGGGGACCGCAGCCGACGGTCCTCAGTCGCGTGCAGTGCGGCCACCTGGCGGCAGCGCGCCAACGAACAATGAACAGCCCAGAGGAACGTACGAATCCAGGGTATATTGAGTGAAGTACGAATCAACATACACCACCACACGCAACTTCACATCGGTGCGGCTTCACATCCCTGGGAGTCACTGACGCGCAGCACCCGCCGCCGACGCACCTGTATATTCTCCTCGGCGGCATCGATGCCTGTGACGTGGGCTCCCAGTCTGGCCAGCGGCTCAGAGAGCAGTCCCCCACCACAGCCGACGTCCGCCACCCGCAGACCGGCGAGGGGTCGGGCCGAGCGGCGCAGCGGCGGTGGCACGGCCCCGGTGCCCACCAGGCCGTCACGGACCAGCGGCACCCTACCGGCGGACGGAGAGGGAGTCGGGTGTGCTGGTGAGGGCGCCCAAACGGTAGTAGAATAATTGAGAACTGTTGGAACTGAATATGTAGGACAGATTTGACGACAAACAGAGTAAAGTCGCGAAAAGAAAATGTAAAGGGGATACGTTACAACGAGCTATCATTAAAAATATGTATAAATATCATAAAAAAATGTTTCATACATCCGGTGCTGACCAGCGCGGCTCGCTCAGTGTTCATCACCGTTTTACATCCAGTGACCAGTCGGCTGGGCTCGCTCAATATGACACACCACAGCAGCCTGACCTGAGCTCGTTCATGGCGTGCAGGGGTCGCACCTCGCCCGTCTCGTCCCACCACAGCGCCGCCAGACGGCTGAACTTGGCCACCTCATCCGGGTTCACCGTGCTCTCTCCTGTGGGTAGGGTGAGTGAACAGGAGTGTCCGGCAAGGTCGGAAAAACCCAACACCATGACCGACATTAGAGAGTAGGGGAGGGGAGGGATAGGGATACGATTGAAATACCTGGGACAGCATTTGCCAATAAAAAAGATGTGAGGTTGATTTCGGTCCTAGTGCAGGCCCTGGCACATTGACTGAAATATAAATTTGGCTGGGCTAAGCCTGGAGAGCAGCCCCACCCCTTGGCCCACATATACATGCCCAGCAAACATGGCTGATAAAGACTGTTGTATCCTCAGCACTCGCTGCTCTGCCGACCTCCGCCGTGACACTCCAGTTCTCTTGCTTGACTCTATATTGTAACGGGACTTGACCACTTCAAGAGACACACCCAGTTCCGCCGCCCAAAACCGACTGGCCGGCGGAACAGACGAAAACACCCGACATCAACCACGCCGCCGACCGCCCGCGGCCTGACCCGGGGCGGCGGCGGCGGACAAGCGACCGGCGACCGCGACCGAAAACGGGACGAACACGTGGACGGGCCCGTATCACAAACGGAGGGGGGTACGGGCCCGTATCACAACAATCCTCCACCTTTAGAACACAAGTCAGCAATCACGACGCGCTGTAACGCGAGGGCGCCCGACGCACGCGCGTGGAACGACGGGTCCCGACAGCACCCCCAGGCGGGACGACAGGTGCTGACCCAGAGGGCACCCCCGGAGGAGCCGGCGCAGCTGCCACCGACTCGGGCAGCCGAGCGGGGTGCACCTCCGATGTAGCTGTCGCCGGAGAGGACGCGTCCTGTGCCGCCGGCGCGCCAGCACAGAGCGCCTCCAGCGCGCTCGGTGCGCGAGCAGAGTGAGCCGGCGTGGTAGTCTCCGGAACAGGCTGTGCCGGGTCGGCCTGACCCGGCACGAGGGACGGCAGCGCGCACACGCGAGGCCGGACGTGGTCCCGGTGGCGCGTGAAGATCCGTCCATCGGCCAGTTGAACGGTGCAGATCTGTCCGCCAGCAGCGGTGACGACGCCTGGCACCCATGGGGCGCCGGGGCCTTTCAAGAAGGCACTAAACTCTGACGACGCGAAGGCAGTGGCGTTGTCCGACACGAGCACCAGTGGCAGGCCGTGGCAGGCGAACGTCTGGCGGAGTCTGTCGATCGTCACTGCCGCCGACGTCGACGTGGTGATGTGCGCGTCGACCCACTTGGAGTAGCTGTCGACTATGATCAGCAGCCAGTGACCGCCCTCCATCGGACCCGCGTAGTCTATATGCAGACGCTGCCAGGGCCGGTAGACGGCTGACAGCACCGGATCGCGGCGGGTGGCGATGGCGAGCTGCTGAGCACTCACCTGGTGGGACATCTCCTCCATCAGGTTCACGACGTCGGCCGGAACGGGAAACTCTCCATCTGTGTCTGGAAGCGGCAGGCGACTGAGCCCATCCGCGTTGGCGATCTCTCGACCCGGTACAAACTGCAGGTCGAAGTCATACCCAGTCAGCGTGAGCTTCCATCGTAACACCCTGGGCGAGACAACCATTGGCAGACATTTACCAGGTGCTAGCAGGCCCAACAGCGGCTTATGGTCAGTCTTAATCACAAACTTCCGACCATATACATACTGATGATACTTGCTCACCCCGAAGATGATCGCGAGCGCCTCACGGTCGAGCTGGCTGTAGTTGCGCTCGGCTGGCGTCAGACTGCGGCTCGCGAAGGCGATGGGCTGGTCCGCACCAGTCTGCGGATCCGGATGGCTGAGCACGGCGGCTACTCCGTACGGGCTGGCATCTGCCGTGAGGACGAGCGGCTTGTCTTGCTGGTAGTGCACCAGCACTGGAGCGACAGCGAGCAGGTCCTTCGTCTCCTGAAACGAAACCTTTTGCCTCTCTCCCCAAGCCCATTTCACATCTTTCTTCTCTAGCTCGTACATCGGTGCGGCGACAGTAGACAGGCGGGGAAGGAAGCGGCTATAATACTGCACCAGACCCAGGAATGCGCGCAGCTCCTGCAGGGACGCTGGTTCTCGGGCTTCCGAGACGGCACGTACCTTCTCAGCGGACGGTCTGATGCCGGCGGCTGTGATCCGGTGGCCCAGATACTGCACTTCGTCTGCTACCCAGACCGTTTTCTCAGCGTTGATCTTGAGACCAGCGGCGGCGAGACGTCTCAGAACCTCACGGACGTTCGCAAGATGCTCTGCGGGAGTGCGTCCGGTTACGCAGATGTCGTCCAGGTAGATGGCGGTATGCGGAATGCCGGCCAGCAGGTTCTCCATCTCCCTCTGGAACACGGCTACCGCGGACTTGATTCCGAAGACCAGTCTCGTAGCCTGGAACAGACCTTTGTGCGTACTGACCGTGGTGAACTTGCGGCTCTGCTCATCCAATTCGAGCTGCAAGTATGCTTCCTTGAGATCAATTTTGGTAAACTTTGCACCACCAGACAGCACAGCAAACAACTCCTCCACCCGAGGCAACGGATACGTTTCCAGGGCAGAAGCGACATTTACTGTCAGGTCGTAGCTGCCACACAGCCTGATGGACCCATCCCTCTTCTTAACCGGAACAATGGGTGCGGCCCACTGGGATGTGGTGACAGGTTCGAGGATGCCCAACTTGACTTGCCTTTCTAACTCCTCCTCAATCTGACCTTTCAGAGCCAAAGGTGGTGGGCGGTGCTTGTAGAAGCGCGGCTTGCTGTCGTCCACCTGCAGCGAGACTTGTCTGGGCGTGTACTTGCCGAGACCAGGGCTGAACAGCTCCGGGAACGTCGGCACGAGCTTCCGTAGCTCGTTCTCCAGATCCAGGCCAGGGACTGCAACATAGTCAACACGTGCGGCGCCGCCAAACAGTGCTGGCCAGTCCAGCCTGATCGTGGCCAACCAGTCCCGACCCATCAAGGTAGGACCGTCATTGTCAACAATGATGAGGGGCAGACGGGCTGACTGGTCACGATAGGCGACAACAACTTGAGCTACACCAGCTACAGGGACCTCTTCACCTGTGTAGGTGTACAGACGGCGACGGTAGGGCGCTAGATCTGGGACCGACTGGAGAAACGCTTTCTCAAACACTGCACGGCTCATCATGGAACAGCTGGCACCAGTGTCTACCTCCATTGTAACGGGGCTACCGTTCAGGGACACTTCAACATGCAGTGGTTGAACAGATCCCGATGACCTCACCGTGAACAGAAGATCAGCAGACACCTCTGTGGCGGGAGGGCTGCTACCAGAGACGTAATGGGCGCGGCGCTGGCGCGACGGTCGGCTGGCGGCGGGCTGATGCTGAGCCGGGCGCTGGCTGCTCTGAGCTGGGCGGTTCTGGCAGGCGACACGCGTGTGACCCGGCCTCTGGCATCTGTAACAGATCTGGTCACGGAACGGGCAGACGTCCTGACCATGACGGCGGCTGAGACAGCGAGAGCAGGACTGGTTTCCTGACTGTGCTGTCCCCTGGAGAGGTCGCGATGCTGGAGACGATGCTGAAGCTGACGGCGCTCGAGACTGTCCTCCGGCTTGGCTCGGCTTGACGGGCTCGCTGGGGGCATGCAGCACGCGAATGGCCCACACGGTGACAAGCGAAACATTCTCGTGTGCGATACGGACATGCTGAAGCATCATGAGTCGTGGAGAGACAGCGATGGCACGGCGCGGTCACATACTGTACAGCTGCAGTCGACCGGTTCAAATCCTCTAGCTGAGAGCGAGTGGTTTCAAAGTGACGAGCTATTTCGAGGGCTTGTGCCAGAGTCAAGTCAGGTTTATCAAAAAATTTCCTCTGCAGCTCAGTGGACCTGGCGTGAGCTACAGCACACTGAAGAACAGTTTGCTCCAACAGAACATAGTCAAACTGGCATCTGTCTGCCTGAAGACGGAGACGGGTGACAAATGCCTCGAATGACTCACCGTCTTTTCTGTAGATGTCATGAAGAACAGACCTTTCATACGTCGCGTTGACTCGTGGCTGGTAGTACGCCTGAAGCTTGGCGGTGAGGACTTGGTACTCTGTGGCGGCGTCATCCAGTTCCGGAGGCTGCGGCAATGTGCGAACAACGTCTTGAATTTCAAGTCCGAGAAGGGTGAGAACAGTGGCACTTTTTCTTTGATTAGAAGTAATGCCAGATGCAATCATATAATACTCCACACCGCGCAACCAACGATCAAAATTTTCTCCGGGCTGATATGGTGGCGGCACAGGCAGAGAAGACATGTCGATAAAATTACTCCTGGCTTCAACGGACTTTACTTGAATGGCAGGCAACAGTAAACATCAATACATTGCACTTGCTATAGCAAACTTGATTTATCGACAATCACTTGAGTCAGACCATGCAAAGGCATACAACAATAAAAACAGAAAATGGGGTATACCACGTCCCTCGTCGCCAATTTGTTGTATCCTCAGCACTCGCTGCTCTGCCGACCTCCGCCGTGACACTCCAGTTCTCTTGCTTGACTCTATATTGTAACGGGACTTGACCACTTCAAGAGACACACCCAGTTCCGCCGCCCAAAACCGACTGGCCGGCGGAACAGACGAAAACACCCGACATCAACCACGCCGCCGACCGCCCGCGGCCTGACCCGGGGCGGCGGCGGCGGACAAGCGACCGGCGACCGCGACCGAAAACGGGACGAACACGTGGACGGGCCCGTATCACAAACGGAGGGGGGTACGGGCCCGTATCACAACAAAGACCTGTCATGAATAACCGATAGGTAGCTTTTATGGCAAGGCTTTATCACTTTGTGGTTACAATTGAGTCTATAAGTAGGTACAGATGTTAAAAAAAAGATCTTAGGAGCAGCCCTTTCAATGCCCTTTATCTTGTTCAAATGCTTATCAACTGACATCCATGACAAGTGTAGTAACATAAAGAACAGTGCACTTGTTCATTTATAATGCCTGCCAGCAACTTTTTAAGCAATCAATGACATAAAAGGTGCATGTGAACTAAGATACCTCCACACTAATGCAATCAGCTGATTGTTAGAAATGCTTCCTACGGATGTCGCAGCAGGGATAAAGATAACCAAGATTATTTAAAACTCACCAGCTCCTGCATATCCTGAAAAAGAGGCTGTTTGTACATGTATTCTTCTCTTATGTACTGGCTTGAGCCTCGAGACAGATATTCCCACTTGCTCAGAAAAAGCAGCACACAGTTTACTGACATTGAGCATTGAGCCAGATTTTGTCGGACACCTAAATGAGTTGAAGACTGAACCTGAAACGATGTGAAGCCACAAAATCAACACATAACATAATGTGCTCCATTTGTTCTTGCTTTAAATAGAACATATGAATCTTAGAAAAAGATGCAAAGCATAGGTTAAACAAACATTCAACAAACAAACCACTTTCCCCTAGGCATAATTGCGTGATATTGTGATAAGTAGGTACAGCGTCGCGATCATATGATATGATATTCATAAACCTACTTATGATTATCATACTGATACTCATGATAACTAAGGTACAGCGTCAGCGTCGCAAAACGAGTAGGTAGCTAATGGAAAAGGCTAAAAAACTCGACGTGTAAATTCTGAAAGCACAAAAAAGGGACGATATGCTTAGCTAAGCACACAGCACTAATTCAGTGAGGACCTGAGGAGCAAAGAGGAGCTTAGAGTCCCTTAGAGCCTGGCTTAGAGCACCTAAGGTATATAAAAAAACACATGGGTGGAATGTTTCTTATAGGTATCTTGGGTGGAATAGCACCAGCTTACCCCGCGTTCGATGACTCTCGGACGGCGAAGATTCTACGCCGTCCGGCCAATCACGTTCCAGAACTGCAGCCGAGCCCCCGCTGACCTTGGACGGCATTGGCCGGATGACGTAGAATCTTTGTCGTCCGAGAGACATCGAACGTGGGGTACGTTCATAAAGTTGGCTTCAAATTCGGATTCGGATTCCAGCACCACATTCGTGGAAAAAATGACAAAAACGGACCCCTCAGAATCGATTTAAATTTACAGGATAGATAGAGCATGACATGCTTATTATGAAAATAAATCACCTAGGCTTGGCACCCCCTAAGAACTGAGGAATCTTAGGTCAAAGTTCAAGGTCATTCCCGGCGGACCCTTTGGATTCTCGTAAAAATTGGTACAGCTATAGCTTATGAAGAGCTGATTTCAAAAATATCAGTTTCTTACTTTGGCAAGCAGCATGAACTGATATATAGTAGGTCAAAGGTCAGAATCAAGGTCACGTATGTGTAATACATGAAGTGGAAGTGACCACGTGGCCAGGTGAGAAAGGAGGACCCCTTAGATTTCAATAATTTTTTGCTCAATGATGCAACCGATGCTGGAGATGCTACTGCTGGTTTTTTTTGTTTTGGCAAGGTCAAACTACGGAGAAATGACGGGTCAAAGGTCAAGGTCATTTTTAGCGGACCCTTTCGATTCACATATAGATTTTTATCCCAATACAATTTTTGATGCTGGTCATTATTCTACTTATTGTTAGGTTTGGCAGGTCTTAAATTATTTTAAAATATTTAAATAATCTAACCTCTAATTCACCTATCCCAACATGGCTACCGTGCGAGCACCTATCAAAACCTTGATGAAAATAACAAACCGAAAATTACCGGGGTTACATGAGCGATCCGTTCCAAATACGCACTACGCTAATGCGCATCAGCTCCCCACAAACGTATCTACGGCACCGGTTACATGAGACTAATTCGTTTTATCTACGTCAAACGGATCTTGTTTGGCTCACCCGGGCTGACTCCTCGACGGCCGGTAATTCGCATCACAAACGGAATAGGATTAGCGTACAGTCATGGCGCAGTTGCGGCATTTACCGGGACGACTGAGCTAAATTTTAAATACTTATATCATTTGATAGGCTCAAAACCATTTAAAATTAACATGAAATCAAAAAATGAAAACAAAGTTTTCTTGTTTTAAGTCAGTTGGCACTGATTCGCCATGCAGCGACAGCAGGGTGGTCAGAAAAAATTATCTATCAAAATATTTCATTCATTTTATTTCACATGCAAAGACTAAACCAAAATACCAACATTTTTTTGCTATTTTCTACGAGGCAGCCAATAAAAAAAATGCTTAGTATTTTGCATTTTGACGCTTCCAGTCAGCAAAAAATAGTTCTTGTGAAATACGGCCCGAATCGTGTGCCTCGGACGTTTCGGTTACATGAGCGATCCGTTCCAAATACGCACTACGCTAATTCGCATCAGCTCCCCAAGAACGCATTCAGTGCACCGACTACATGAGCAAATTCGTATCAGTGACGTCAAACGGATCTAGTTTGGCTCTCGGCCCGATGCGCATTACAAACGGAATAGCATACAAATGTGGCGCACTTCCGTAGCAATAGAGGTGACTAAATTAAAAATTTATTATCTTATGTCTTTTTTGCATTTAATCTGCTCAAAACATTCTCAATTAACTTAACAAAAAAAAGTTGAACAAAAAGTTGTCTTGCTTTGACTCATTGGGCAATTGCCTCTCTTGATTCGTCTGTAGTGCTGTCAGAAAAATGTTTCAACTGAAATTATGTGGATATTTACTATTTGGTTTTCACTATATTTATTGTTGAAAACTTATCAAAATACCGACATATTTTTTAAATATTATTTCAAAAGAAGAAAATGAAAAAAATTACCTATTATTTTGCATTTTAATGTTTCTTTTTGCGAAGAAATAGTTCCTGTAATACGTATCTTGGTCCTATTCGCTACTAAGCCTCTTTCCCAGCGGATTTTGTTCGGACCGCCGATTCGTATTAGCAGGTGGATACATGAGTCGGTAGTACGCTCCTGATTCGCATTAGCGGTGAATCCGATCGTGATACGTATTTGCTTTGCTCATGTAACCGCGGATCGGATCGCCGATTCGTACTAGCAGGTGGCTACATGAGTCGGTAATGCGTTCCTAATTCGAATTAGCGGCTAAATACGTATTTACTGTGCTCATGTAACCCCGATAAATCTGAGAAACGCGATTTGACCTTGGACGTGCCCCGTGCCAGTGCACTGGCCTTAGGGGTGCTGAAGGACTTGATTTGGTAGGTATAGTGTGTTTTTGTGTGGGTTATTGTAATTTTAATGTATTGCATGTTGCCTGATTTACGACACAACTTACAAAATTGAAGTAGCAGTCGTAAGTAGTGTCAGTGTCGCAAGTTGACCTTGCCTTGGGGAATACTGAATAGGTCACAGGTCATTCGGGTCATTGTCTCAAAATTTACGTGGTACGTGTAAAATTGTTTGAGCTTGAGATTCTGAAAATTTTGTTGCAATCCGTTGATGCTAATGCAAGTTATAGAGCTTGAACTGACAGGTCGTATATGAGGCCTCCATCCACGCCAGCGAGGCAGCAAGAGTGTTGAAAATGGTCCATAATATGCTATTTCACATTTATTGGGGTATTCAGGAATTGGAAGTAGCCTAACACCATTCCAGCAACTACTGGCGAATCCAGAAAGGCGGTCTTGGACGTTGCAAGGGTCATCCCCCCAAAATTCTCCCGATTCCAAAAACGTGTCCCAGTCCCAGATGACCCCCATGACCTCCAATGAGCTCTGCGATGACCCCAAGTTGACCTTTTTGACCTGACGTGTCCCAGATGACCTCCGTGACCTCCAGTTTAGCTCTGATAACTCTAAGCTGACCTCTGTGACCTGGCATGTCCCAGATGACCTCCATTTGAGCTCTGTGATGACCCCAACTTGACCTCTGGGACCTCACGTGTCCCATATGACCTCTGTAACCACTAAGTGATCTCTCTGATGACCCCAAGCTGAACTCTGTGACCTGACATGTCCCAGAAGACCCCCAGTTGAGCTCTGTGATGACCATAAGTTGACCTCTGTGACCTGATGTGCCCCCAAGTTGCCCTTTGTGACCGACGTGTCTCAGCTGCCTCAGTGGTCTCCAATTGAGCTCTGTGATGACCCCAAGTTGACATCTGTGACCTGACGTGTCTCATATGACCTCTGTAACCTCTATGTGGCCTCTATGATGACCCCATGTTGACCTCTGTGAGCTGATGTGTCCCAGATGACCCCCATGATCTCCAACAGAGCTCTGTGATGACCCCAAGTTGACCTCTGTGACCTTAGGTGTCCCAGATGACCTCCAATTGAGCTCTCTGATAACCCCAAGTTGACCTCTGTGACCTGACATGTCCCATATGACCTCTGTGACCTCTAAGTGACCTCTCTGATGACTCCAAGTTGACTTATGTGACCTGACGTGTCCAAGATGACCCCCATGACCTTCAATCGAGCTCTACGATGACCCCAAGTTGACCTTTTTGACCTGACGTGTCCCAGATGACCTCTGTGACCTCCAGTTTAGCTCTGATAATTCCAAGCTGACCTCTGTGACCTGACGTGTCCCATATGACTTCTGTGACCTCTAAGTGACTTCTCTGATGACCCCAAGCTGACCTCTGTGACCTGACGTGTCCCAGATGACCCCCATGACCTTCAATCGAGCTCTGTGATGACTTGAGTTGACCTCTGTGACTTGATGTGTCCGAAATAACCTCCTTAACCTCCAATTGAGCTCTTTGATGATCCTAAGCTGACCTCTGTGACCTGACGTGTCCCATATGACCTCTGTGACCTCAAGTGACCTCTCTGGATATTCCAAGCTGATCTCTGTGACATGACATGTCCCATATGACCTCTGTGACCTCTAAGTCACCTCTCTCATGACCCCAAGCTGACCTATGTGACCTGACGTGTCCCAAATGACCTCCGTGACCTCCAATTGAGCTCTGATGACTCCAAGCTGACCTTTTTGACCTGATATGTCCCAGATGACCTCCAATTGAGCTCACTGATGACCCCAAGCTGACCTCTGTGACCTGACGTGTCCATGATGACCCCCTTGACCTTCAATCGAGCTCTATGATGACCCAAGTTGACCTCTGTGACTTGACTTGTCCGAGATGACCTCCGTAACCTCCAATTGAGCTCTTTGATGATCCTAAGCTGACCTTTGTAACCCAGATGACCCTCAATTGAGCTCTGTGATGACCCCAAGTTGACCTCTGTGACTTGACGTGTCCCATATGACCTCTGTGGCCTCTAAGTGACCTCCCTCATGACCCCAAGTTGACCTGTGTGACCTGACGTGTCCCAGATGACCTCCGTGACCTCCAGTTGAGCTCTGATGACTCCAAGCTGACCTCTGTATCCTGATATGTCCCAGATGACCTCCAATTGAGCTCACTGATGACCCCAAGTTGATCTCTGTGACCTGACGTGTCCCATATGACCTCTGCGACCTCTAAGTGACCTCTCTGATGACCTTAAGCTGACCTCTGTGACCTGACGTGTCCGAGATGACCTCCGTGACCTTCAATTGAGCTCTGATGACTCCAAGGTGACCTCTGTGACCTGATATATCCCAGATGATCTCCAATTGAGCTCACTGATGACCCCAAGTTGACCTCTGTGACCTGACGTGTCCCATATGACCTCTGCGACCTCTAAGTAACTTCTCTGATGACCCCAAGCTCACCTCTGTGACCTGACCTGTCCCAGATGACCCCCATGACCTTCAATTGAGCTCTGTGTTGACCCAAGTTGACCTCTGTAACTTGATTTGTCCGAGATGCCTCCGTAACCTCCAATTGAGCTCTTTAATGATCCTAAGCTGACCTTTGTAACCCAGATGACCCTCAATTGAGCTCTGTGATGACTCCAAGTTGACCTCTGTGACTTGACGTGTCCCATATGACCTCTGTGACCTCAAGTGACCTCTCTGATGACTCCAAGCTGATCTCTGTGACCTGACATGTCCCAGATGACCTCCAATTGAGCTCTCTGATAACCCCAAGTTGACCTCTGTGACCTGACATGTCCCATATGACCTCTGTGACCTCTAAGTGACCTCCCTCATGACCCCAAGTTGACCTGTGTGACCTGACGTGTTCCATATGACCTCTGTGACCTCTAGATGACCTCTGATGACCCCAAGCTGACCTCTGTGACCTTAGGTGTCCCAGATGACTGCTGTAACCTCCAATTGAGCTCTTTGATGATCCCAAGCTGACCTCTGTGACCTGACGTGTCCCAGAAGACCCCCAATTGAGCTCTGTGATGACTATAAGTTGACCACTATGTCCTGACGTGCCCCCAAGTTGCCATTGTGACCGACGTGTCTCAGATGACCCCCATGACCTTCAATCGAGCTCTATGGTGACCCCAACTTGACATCTGTGACCTGACGTGTCCCATATGACCTCTGTAACCTCTACGTGACCTCTCTGATGACCCCCAAGTTGACCTCTGTGAGCTGACGTGTCCCAGATGACCCCCATGATCTCCAACAGAGCTCTGTGATGACCCCAAGTTGACCTCTGTTACCTGACGTGTCCCTGAAGACCTCCGTGACCTTTATTTGAGCTCTGATGACTCCAAGCTGACCTCTGTGACCTGACATGTCCCAGATGAACTCCAATTGAGCTCTCTGCTAACCCCAAGTTGACCTCTGTGACCTGACGTGTCCCAGACGACCCTCAATTGACCTCTGTGATGACCCTAAGTTGACCTCTGTGACCTGACCTGCCCCCAAGTTGCCCTTTGTGACCGACGTGTCTCAGATTGCCTCCGTGTCTCCAATTGAGTTCTGTGATGACCCCAAGTTGACCTCTGTGACTTGGCGTGTCCCATATGTTCTCTGTGACCTCTAAGTGACCTCTCTGATGACTCCAAGTTGACCTTTGTGACCTGACGTGTCCCAGATGACCCCCATGTCTCTCTCTCTCTCTCTCTCTCTCTCTCTCTCTCTCTCTCTCTCTCTCTCTCTCTCTCTCTCTCTCTCTCTCTCTCTCTCTCTCTCTCTCTCTCTCTTCACGTGCCGGTGTCGCGGATCCTATAGGCAAATTTTGTACATACCAGTGTTGATCCCAAGTCTCTGACCGGACATGTATTTTTCCTTCCCTTAGGATGCCGGTGGCGGCGACGACAGTGTGCCGGCGCACATCTCTATGGAGGTGGACACGGCGACCCGTGGGCGACCGCCGCTGCCGCGGTTTACTACAGGTGGCCATGGCCACTAATCAGTCACGAACTTCTGACAGTGAACGCCAGTCGGTTCTCGGATGTGAGGACGCGCCCGTCGAATAAAGTGACGGAGATGCGTCCGCCGACCCTGCGCCGGCCGCGCCGGGAGGCCGAGCTGCTGACCCAGCTGCAGCAGCTGGCGGTGGCCCTGGACGGCGCCTGCCCCCTGGTGTTGGATGGCAGCTGCGGGAGCCACGTGACGCCGTCTGCGCTTTTGGCGCCAGGAGAGCTTGACGCTGCTGCGAGCACTACAGGGCTACTAGCGGTACGTCACGTGCTGCTGGTTTTCTAGAGACGGATGTTTGCTGATATTAGGCTGTTAAGACTGAGCCGTGATGCTGTGGCCGGTGGGAGTGCCGGCGCCGGTCGTGGTGCACCCGACGCCCAGCGCTCCGCTTCGCGCTGCTACCACACAGGTAGGGTTCGGCACACCGACTCCCGATGGCTACGTGGACAGTGAAAATATTGCAATGTTATGGTACAGGTAGAGTGACCGTTCCGTTCTTTGTCAGGTCTCTGAATGGAGCTGCGTTCCGGTGGGCGGCTGGCTGCGCTCTCTCGGTCTGGCCCAGTACGCCGACGCGTTCGTCGCCCGCTCTGTGGATGGCGCCCGGCTTCTGGGGCTCACCGAACAGGCTATGGAAGACGAGCCCGACGTCGGTGAGAGATTCACATTGCTAGCTGAGAAGGTGGATGTGACTCGAATTATTCAGTTCATAGCCTGATTTATCTAGCTTAATCTATTTATATGAATCGTATTGCCACCATTAACCTGACTCCTGACTCGTGATTGTGGTTGCCTCAGTTGTAGGCCTTAAGTGCACCGCATTTTGACAGGTCTCGACGTGGCGACCTCGAAGCCAGCGTGTTGGGTCTCGGCTTCCCGCCACTCACCGGCGGACCTTTCCGCTTCGTGGACCGCATCGGTCCCGCACAGCTAGTCAAGGACATGGAGCGCTTCGCCGTCGTCAGTGGCGTCGGCTTCGAGCCGTGCCTGACCGTGCACTACCAGGCCGCTAGCGGCACCAAGTTCTGTTCGGCCGGGCCTCGTGTAATGCCCACATGTGATGACCGAGTGTACACGCATGTGAAGCCGCTCCGCGTGTGTGCCAGCGCTGGGCGTGATCAGTTTCAAAGTAAATATAGAACCCTGGTGATCAAGCTACAGTTTTTGACGAGAAATAGAGTGAGGTCATTTTGAAAGCGATCAGACGGTAGCGCCGCCGTTCTTTGGCACGCCTTAGCATGCATCTGTGCTACACTAAAAGTTTAGGCTCGTGTCTTTCAAGGTCAGCAGGGTGAGGGCACCAGGTGCTTCAAGTGGCCTCGTCTCAGGTAGAGTTCTAATACTCGTTCTAATACTACCAACACACGTATCTAGTCAAGGAGCTGAGTTGAAATCGAGGGGATGGGGGGCTGTTCAGCCCCTTCACTGGGGGGTTCACGGTTCAGCCCCTCCCCCATCAGGCGCGAAAATCTAGGAGCCCGGCCAGCGTGGAGTGAGATAACCTTTCCGACGGCATGTGATCGGGCATTGCATCGAATGACACTGGGCGATTGAAAAATGTTTCAACTCGCTTGTCAAGGCAAACATTTATTCACAACGAAAACAGACATAGGCACATGTGGATTGCTAATGGATAATGGATAATGGCAACGGGTAACACCCAGGTGGTGCGCCGTCTGCTGGAGAGCCAGCGGCTGGTGCGTCCTGAGCGGGGTCGCCACCGACGCCGTTCGTCACCCAGACAGCCGGAGACCGGCGGACCGGCCGGGACGCCTAACGACAGACTCAGCGACCCCTCATGGCTATGTAGCGGGCTACCAGTGAGAGGTCACGGAAAGGTCAGCTCATAATGTGCACGGCGTGACATACAGTGTTAATGTCATCCCGCGGTCGCCGGACAGTGAAAAATTGGACAATAACATTTCGCCGTCAAGACGAGCTCTACTGTCTACAAGACACAAGTAGTCTACATACTTTCTGCTACCGAAACTACTGTCGAGCTTCTTACTGTTAGTAAGAAATTACACAGGTCTAGATGCAATTTCAGCGATGAACTTCGGTAGTGCATGGCTGTGCAATTTCAATCACAAGATATTCTTGTTCATACATATCATATTATCGGCATGGTACTCGCTCGTTATCACGCTTGCGTGGGCATACGGTAGCTCAAGGAAAATCTGGATAATCGTAGAAGCCGGTATCAAGGGAATCCAGTGAGCACGAACACGCAGTACACGTGGGTGCTTTCTAGTTTCCTGGACGGTCACGCTTAGTGTAGCCAGCTCGGCCTTAAAAGATCATCACGGACACGGGGCTACGCGGCATTATATACCACCAGCAGACAGGATTTGATCTCCAGCAGACAAGCTTCTATCGGTGCCCCGCGCCGTCTCTCAACAATCGTCCACAGCCGCGGCTCCTGTGCACTGAGACGCTGTCACGACCGCGTCGTATTGCGACTGGAAGCCAGCCCACTGCCCGGTCTCTGCCGCGTCTCCGGCGGTTGGGACCTGTGCCGGGGGCGTCTCCTCCAACAGGTTAGTGGCCATTGCCACCTGAAGCAAACCGCAGCAGCGGCGGTCGCCCACGGGTCGCCGTCCACCTCCATAGAGATGTGCGCCGGCGCACTGTCGTCGCCGCCGCCGGCATCCTAAGGGAAGGAAAAATACATGTCCGGTCAGAGACTTGGGATCAACACTGGATGTACAAAATTTGCCTATAGGATCCGCGACACCGGCACGTGAAGAGAGAGAGAGAGAGACAGAGAGAGAGAGAGAGAGAGAGAGAGAGAGAGAGAGAGAGAGAGAGAGAGAGAGAGAGAGAGAGAGAGAGAGACATGGGGGTCATCTGGGACACGTCAGGTCACAAAGGTCAACTTGGAGTCATCAGAGAGGTCACTTAGAGGTCACAGAGGTCATATGGGACACGTCAAGTCACAGAGGTCAACTTGGGGTCATCACAGAGCTCAATTGGAGGTCATCTGGAACACGTCAGGTCACAGAGGTCAGCTTAGGATCATCAAAGAACTCAATTGGAGGTTACGGAGGTCATCTCGGACAAGTCAAGTCACAGAGGTCAACTTGGGTCATCATATAGCTCGATTGAAGGTCAAGGGGTCATCTTGGACACGTCAGGTCACATAGGTCAGCTTGGGGTCATCAGAGAGGTCACTTAGAGGTCGCAGAGGTCATATGGGACACGTCAGGTCACAGAGGTCAACTTGGGGTCATCACAGAGCTCTGTTGGAGATCATGGGGGTCATCTGGGACACGTCAGCTCACAGAGGTCAGCTTGGGGGTCATCAGAGAGGTCACGTAGAGGTTACAGAGGTCATATGGGACACGTCAGGTCACAGATGTCAAGTTGGGGTCACCATAGAGCTCGATTGAAGGTCATGGGGGTCATCTGAGACACGTCGGTCACAATGGCAACTTGGGGGCACGTCAGGACACAGGGGTCAACTTATAGTCATCACAGAGCTCAATTGGGGGTCTTCTGGGACACGTCAGGTCACAGAGGTCAGCTTGGGATCATCAAAGAGCTCAATTGGAGGTTACAGAAGTCATCTGGGACACGTCAAGTCACAGAGGTCAACTTGGGTCATCACAGAGCTCGATTGAAGGTCATGGGGTCATCTGGGACACGTCAGGTCACAGAGGTAAGCTTGGGGTCATCAGAGAGGTCATCTAGAGGTCACAGAGGTCATATGGGACACGTCAGGTCACACAGGTCAACTTGGGGTCATGAGGGAGGTCACTTAGAGGTCACAGAGGTCATATGGGACATGTCAGGTCACAGAGGTCAACTTGGGGTTATCAGAGAGCTCAATTGGAGGTCATCTGGGACATGTCAGGTCACAGAGATCAGCTTGGAGTCATCAGAGAGGTCACTTGAGGTCACAGAGGTCATATGGGACACGTGAAGTCACAGAGGTCAACTTGGGGTCATCACAGAGCTCAATTGAGGGTCATCTGGGTTACAAAGGTCAGCTTAGGATCATTAAAGAGCTCAATTGGAGGTTACGGAGGCATCTCGGACAAATCAAGTTACAGAGGTCCACTTGGGTCAACACAGAGCTCAATTGAAGGTCATGGGGGTCATCTGGGACAGGTCAGGTCACAGAGGTGCGCTTGGGGTCATCAGAGAAGTTACTTAGAGGTCGCAGAGGTCATATGGGACACGTCAGGTCACAGAGGTCAACTTGGGGTCACCATAGAGCTCGATTGAAGGTCATGGGGGTCATCTGAGACACGTCGGTCACAATGGCAACTTGGGGGCACGTCAGGACACAGGGGTTAACTTATAGTCATCACAGAGCTCAATTGGGGGTCTTCTGGGACACGTCAGGTCACAGAGGTTGCTTGGGATCATCAAAGAGCTCAATTGGAGGTTACAGAAGTCATCTGGGACACGTCAAGTCACAGAGGTCAACTTGGGTCATCACAGAGCTCGATTGAAGGTCATGGGGGTCATCTTGGACACGTCAGGTCACAGAGGTCAGCTTGGGGTCATCAGAGAGGTCATCTAGAGGTCACAGAGGTCATATGGGACACGTCAGGTCACACAGGTCAACTTGGGGTCATGAGGGAGGTCACTTAGAGGTCACAGAGGTCATATGGGACATGTCAGGTCACAGAGGTCAACTTGGGGTTATCAGAGAGCTCAATTGGAGGTCATCTGGGACATGTCAGGTCACAGAGATCAGCTTGGAGTCATCAGAGAGGTCACTTGAGGTCACAGAGGTCATATGGGACACGTGAAGTCACAGAGGTCAACTTGGGGTCATCACAGAGCTCAATTGAGGGTCATCTGGGTTACAAAGGTCAGCTTAGGATCATTAAAGAGCTCAATAGGAGGTTACGGAGGCATCTCGGACAAATCAAGTTACAGAGGTCCACTTGGGTCAACACAGAGCTCAATTGAAGGTCATGGGGGTCATCTGGGACAGGTCAGGTCACAGAGGTGCGCTTGGGGTCATCAGAGAAGTTACTTAGAGGTCGCAGAGGTCATATGGGACACGTCAGGTCACAGAGGTCAACTTGGGGTCATCAGTGAGCTCAATTGGAGATCATCTGAGACATATCGGGTCACAGAGGTCAGCTTGGAGTCATCAGAGCTCAATTGAAGGTCACGGAGGTCATCTCGGACACGTCAGGTCACAGAGGTCAGCTTAAGGTCATCAGAGAGGTCACTTAGAGGTCGCAGAGGTCATATGGGACACGTCAGGTCACAGAGGTCAACTTGGGGTCATCAGTGAGCTCAATTGGAGGTCATCTGGGACATATCAGGATACAGAAGTCAGCTTGGAGTCATCAGATCTCAACTGGAGGTCACGGAGGTCATCTGGGACACGTCAGGTCACACAGGTCAACTTGGGGTCATGAGGGAGGTCACTTAGAGGTCACAGAGGTCATATGGGACACGTGAAGTCACAGAGGTCAACTTGGGGTCATCACAGAGCTCAATTGGAGGTCATCTGGAACACGTCAGGTCACAGAGGTCAGCTTAGGATCATCAAAGAACTCAATTGGAGGTTACGGAGGTCATCTCGGACAAGTCAAGTCACAGAGGTCAACTTGGGTCATCATAGAGCTCGATTGAAGGTCAAGGGGGTCATCTTGGACACGTCAGGTCACAGAGGTCAATTTGGGGTCATCAGTGAGCTCAATTGGAGGTCATCTGGGACATATCAGGTCACAAAGGTCAGCTTGGAGTCATCAGAGCTCAATTGGAGGTCACGGAGGTCATTTGGGACACGTCAGGTCACATAGGTCAGCTTGGGGTCATGAGAGAGGTCACTTAGAGGTCACAGAGGTCATATGGGACATGTCAGGTCAGAGAGGTCAACTTGGGGTTATCAGAGAGCTCAATTGGAGGTCATCTGGGACATGTCATGTCACAGAGATCAGCTTGGAATATCCAGAGAGGTCACTTGAGGTCACAGAGGTCATATGGGACAGGTCAACTCACAGAGGTCAACTTGGGCCTTGGGGTCATCACAGAGCTCAATTGAGGGTCATCTGGGACACGTCAGGTCACAGAGGTCAGCTTAGGATCATCAAAGAGCTCAATTGGAGGTTGCGGAGGTTATTTCGGACACATCAAGTCACAGAGGTCAACTTGGGTCATCACAGAGCTCGATTGAAGGTCATGGGGGTCATCTGGGACACGTCAGGTCACAGAGGTCAGCTTGGGGTCATCAGAGAAGTCACTTAGAGGTCACAGAAGTCATATGGGACACGTCAGGTCACAGAGGTCAGCTTGGAGTTATCAGAGCTAAACTGGAGGTCACGGAGGTCATCTGGGACACGTCAGGTCAAAAAGGTCAACTTGGGGTCATCATAGAGCTCGATTGAAGGTCATGGGGGTCATCTTAGACACGTCAGGTCACATAAGTCAACTTGGAGTCATCAGAGAGGTCACTTAGAGGTCACAGAGGTCATATGGGACATGTCAGGTCACAGAGGTCAACTTGGGGTTATCAGAGAGCTCAATTGGAGGTCATCTGGGACACCTAAGGTCACAGAGGTCAGCTTGGAGTCATCAGAGAGCTCAATTGGAGGTTAAGGAGGTCATCTCGGACACATTAGGTAACAGAGGTCAACTTGGGGTCATCACAGAGCTCTGTTGGAGATCATGGGGGTCATCTGGGACACATCAGCTCACAGAGGTCAACTTGGGGTCATCATAGAGGTCACATAGAGGTTACAGAGGTCATATGAGACACGTCAGGTCACAGACCGATGTCAACTTGGGGTCATCACAGAGCTCAATTGGAGACCACTGAGGCAGCTGAGACACGTCGGTCACAAAGGGCAACTTGGGGGCACATCAGGTCACAGAGGTTAACTTATGGTCATCACAGAGCTCAACTGGGGGTCTTCTGGGACATGTCAGGTCACAGAGTTCAGCTTGGGGTCATCAGAGAGATCACTTAGTGGTTACAGAGGTCATATGGGACACGTGAGGTCCCAGAGGTCAAGTTGGGGTCATCACAGAGCTCAAATGGAGGTCATCTGGGACATGCCAGGTCACAGAGGTCAGCTTAGAGTTATCAGAGCTAAACTGGAGGTCACGGAGGTCATCTGGGACACGTCAGGTCAAAAAGGTCAACTTGGGGTCATCGCAGAGCTCATTGGAGGTCATGGGGGTCATCTGGGACTGGGACACGTTTTTGGAATCAGGAGAATTTTGGGGGGATGACCCTTGCAACGTCCAAGACCGCCTTTCTGGATTCGCCAGTAGTTGCTGGAATGGTGTTAGGCTACTTCCAATTCCTGAATACCCCAATAAATGTGAAATAGCATATTATGGACCATTTTCAACACTCTTGCTGCCTCGCTGGCGTGGATGGAGGCCTCATATACGACCTGTCAGTTCAAGCTCTATAACTTGCATTAGCATCAACGGATTGCAACAAAATTTTCAGAATCTCAAGCTCAAACAATTTTACACGTACCACGTAAATTTTGAGACAATGACCCGAATGACCTGTGACCTATTCGGTATTCCCCAAGGCAAGGTCAACTTGCGACACTGACACTACTTACGACTGCTACTTCAATTTTGTAAGTTGTGTCGTAAATCAGGCAACATGCAATACATTAAAATTACAATAACCCACACAAAAACACACTATACCTACCAAATCAAGTCCTTCAGCACCCCTAAGGCCAGTGCACTGGCACGGGGCACGTCCAAGGTCAAATCGCGTTTCTCAGATTTTCGGTTTGTTATTTTCATCAAGGTTTTGATAGGTGCTCGCACGGTAGCCATGTTGGGATAGGTGAATTAGAGGTTAGATTATTTAAATATTTTAAAATAATTTAAGACCTGCCAAACCTAACAATAAGTAGAATAATGACCAGCATCAAAAATTGTATTGGGATAAAAATCTATATGTGAATCGAAAGGGTCCGCTAAAAATGACCTTGACCTTTGACCCGTCATTTCTCCGTAGTTTGACCTTGCCAAAACAAGAAAAACCAGCATTAGCATCTCCAGCATCGGTTGCATCATTGAGCAAAAAATTATTGAAATCTAAGGGGTCCTCCTTTCTCACCTGGCCACGTGGTCACTTCCACTTCCTGTATTACACATACGTGACCTTGATTCTGACCTTTGACCTACTATATATCAGTTCATGCTGCTTGCCAAAGTAAGAAACTGATATTTTTGAAATCAGCTCTTCATAAGCTATAGCTGTACCAATTTTTACGGGAATCCAAAGGGTCCGCCAAAAATGACCTTGAACTTTGACCTAAGATTCCTCAGTTCTTAGGGGGTGCCAAGCCTAGGTGATTTATTTATATAATAAGCATGTCATGCTCTATCTATCCTGTAAATTTAAATCGATTCTGAGGGGTCCGTTTTTGTCATTTTTTCCACGAGTGTGGTGCTGGAATCCGAATCCGAATTTGAAGCCAACTTTATGAACAACTTTATGAACGAACGTATCCTGTAAATTTAAATCGATTCTGAGGGGTCCGTTTTTGTCATTTTTTCCACGAGTGTGGTGCTGGAATCCGAATCCGAATTTGAAGCCAACTTTATGAACGTACGCGGGGTTAGCACCATTTGCATCAACAAATTTTGCAGTGCTTTACCCCCTAGGAACTGAGGAATCTTAGGTCAAAGTTCAAGGTCATTCTCGGCGGACCCTTTGGATTCTCGTAAAAATTGGTACAACTATAGTCCATGAAGAGCTGATTTCAAAAATATCAGTTTCTTACTTTGGCAAGCAGCACGAACTGATATATAGTAGGTCAAAGGTCAGAATCAAGGTCACGTATGTGTAATACAGGAAGTGGAAGTGACCACGTGGCCAGGTGAGAAAGAAGGACCCCTTAGATTTCTAAAATTTTTTGCTTAATGATGCAACCAATGTTGGAGATGCTACTGCTGGTTTTTCTTGTTTTGGCAAGGTCAAACTACGGAGAAATGACGGGTCAAAGGTCAAGGTCATTTTTAGCGGACCCTTTCGATTCACATATAAATTTTTATCCTAATACAATTTTTAATGCTGGTTATTATTCTGCGTATTGTTAGGTTTGGCAGGTCTTAAATTATTTTAAAATATTTAAATAATTTAACCTTCAATTCACCTATCCCAACATGGCTACCGTGCGAGCACCTATCAACACCTTGATGAAAATAACAAACCGAAAATCTGAGAAACGCGATTTGACCTTGGACGTGCCCCGTGCCAGTGCACTGGCTTTAGGGGTGCTGAAGAACTTGATTTGGTGGGTATAGTGTGTTTTGGTGTGGGTTATTGTAATTTTAATGAATTGCACGTTGCCTGATTTGCGACTCAACTTACAAAATTGAAATAGCAGTCGTAAGTAGTGTCAGTGTCGCAGGTTGACCTTGCCTTGGGGAACACCGAATAGGTCACAGATCATCGGGGTCATTGTCTCGAAATTTACGTGGTACATGTAAAATTGTTTGAACTTGAGACCCTGAAAATTTTGTTGCAATCCGTTGATGCTAATGCAAGTTATAGAGCTTGAACTGACAGGTCTATGAGGCCTCCATCCATGCCAGCGAGGCAGCAAGAGTGTTGAAAATGGTCCATAATATGCAATTTCACATTAATTGGGGCATTCAGGAATTGGAAGTAGCCTAACACCATTCCAGCAACTACTGGCGAATCCAGAAAGGCGGTCTTGGACGCTGCAAGGGTCATCCCCCAAAAATTCTCCCGATTCCAAAAACGTGTCCCAGATGACCCCCATGACCTCCAATGAGCTCTGCGATGACCCCAAGTTGACCTTTTTGACCTGACGTGTCCCAGATGACCTCCATGACCTCCAATTGAGCTCTGATGACTCCAAGCTGACCTCTGTGACCTGATATGTCCCAGATGACCTCCAATTGAGCTCTTTGATGATCCTAAGCTGACCTCTGTGACCTTATATGTCCCAGATGGCCTCCAATTGAGCTCACTGATGACCCCCAAGTTGACCTCTGTGACCTGACGTGTCCCATATGACCTCTGCGATCTCTAAGTGACCTCTCTGATGACCTTAAGCTGACCTCTGTGACCTGACGTGTCCCAGATGACCTCCATGACCTCCAATTGAGCTCTGATGACTCCAAGCTGACCTCTGTGACCTGGTATGTCCCAGATGACCTCCAATTGAGCTCTTTGATGATCCTAAGCTGACCTCTGTGACCTGACGTGTCCCAGATGACCCTCAGTTGAGCTCTGTGATGACCCCAGTCCCCAAGTTGACCTCTGTGACTTGACGTGTCCCATATGACCTCTGTGACCTCAAGTGACCTCTCTGATGACTCCAAGCTGATCTTTGTGACCTGACATGTCCCAGATGACCTCCAATTGAGGTCTCTGATAAGCCCAAGCTGACCTCTGTGACCTGACATGTCCCATATGACCTCTGTGACCTCTAAGTGACCTCCCTCATGACCCCAAGTTGACCTGTGTGACCTGACGTGTCCCATATGACCTCTGCGACCTCTAAGTGATCGCTCTGATTACCCCAAGCTGACCTCTGTAACCTGACGTGTCCAAGATGACCCCCATGACCTTTAATCGAGCTCTGTGATGACCCAAGTTGACCTCTGTGACTTGACATGTCCCAGATGACCTCCGTAACCTCCAATTGGGCTCTTTGATGACCCCAAGCTGACCTCTGTGACCTGACGTGTCCCAGATGACCCTCAATTGAGCTCTGTGATGACCCCAAGTTGACCTCTGTGACTTGACGTGTCCCATATGACCTCTGTGACATCAAGTGACCTCTCTGATGACTCCAAGCTGATCTCTGTGACCTGACATGTCCCAGATGACCTCCAATTGAGCTCTCTGATAACCCCAAGCTGACCTATGTGACCTGACATGTCCCATATGACCTCTGTGACCTCTAAGTGACCTCCCTCATGACCCCAAGCTGACCTGTGTGACCTGACGTGTCCCATATGACCTCTGTGACCTCTAAGTGACCTCTCTCATGACCCCAAGCTGACCTGTGTGACCTGACGTGTCCCAGATGACCTCCGTGACCTCCAATTGAGCTCTGATGACTCCAAGGTGACCTCTGTGACCTGATATGTCCCAGATGACCTCCAATTGAGCTCACTGATGACCCCAAGTTGACCTCTGTGACCTGACGTGTCCCATATGACCTCTGCGATCTCTAAGTGACCTCTCTGATGACCTTAAGCTGACCTCTGTGACCTGACATGTCCCAGATGACCTCCGTGACCTCCAATTGAGCTCTGATGACTCCAAGCTGACCTCTGTGACCTGATATGTCCCAGATGACCTCCAATTGAGCTCTTTGATGATCCTAAGCTGACCTCTGTGACCTGACGTGTCCCAGATGACCCTCAGTTGAGCTCTGTGATGACCCCAAGTTGACCTCTGTGACTTGACGTGTCCTATATGACCTCTGTGACCTCAAGTGACCTCTCTGATGACTCCAAGCTGATCTCTGTGACCTGGCATGTCCCAGATGACCTCAACTTGAGGTCTCTGATAAGCCCAAGCTGACCTCTGTGACCTGACATGTCCCATATGACCTCTGTGACCTCTAAGTGACCTCCCTCATGACCCCAAGTTGACCTGTGTGACCTGACGTGTCCCATATGACCTCTGCGACCTCTAAGTGATCGCTCTGATTACCCCAAGCTGACCTCTGTGACCTGACGTGTCCAAGATGACCCCCATGACCTTTAATCGAGCTCTGTGATGACCCAAGTTGACCTCTGTGACTTGACATGTCCCAGATGACCTCCGTAACCTCCAATTGGGCTCTTTGATGACCCCAAGCTGACCTCTGTGACCTGACGTGTCCCAGATGACCCTCAATTGAGCTCTGTGATGACCCCAAGTTGACCTCTGTGACTTGACGTGTCCCATATGACCTCTGTGACATCAAGTGACCTCTCTGATGACTCCAAGCTGACCTCTGTGACTTGACATGTCCCATATGACCTCTGTGACCTCTAAGTGACCTCCCTCATGACCCCAAGTTGACCTGTGTGACCTGACGTGTCCCATATGACCTCTGCGACCTCTAAGTGATCGCTCTGATTACCCCAAGCTGACCTCTGTGACCTGACGTGTCCAAGATGACCCCCATGACCTTTAATCGAGCTCTGTGATGACCCAAGTTGACCTCTGTGACTTGACATGTCCCAGATGACCTCCGTAACCTCCAATTGGGCTCTTTGATGACCCCAAGCTGACCTCTGTGACCTGACGTGTCCCAGATGACCCTCAATTGAGCTCTGTGATGACCCCAAGTTGACCTCTGTGACTTGACGTGTCCCATATGACCTCTGTGACATCAAGTGACCTCTCTGATGACTCCAAGCTGATCTCTGTGACCTGACATGTCCCAGATGACCTCCAATTGAGCTCTCTGATAACCCCAAGCTGACCTATGTGACCTGACATGTCCCATATGACCTCTGTGACCTCTAAGTGACCGCCCTCATGACCCCAAGCTGACCTGTGTGACCTGACGTGTCCCAGATGACCTCCGTGACCTCCAATTGAGCTCTGATGACTCCAATCTGACCTCTGTGACCTGATATGTCCCAGATGACCTCCAATTGAGCTCACTGATGACCCCAAGTTGACCTCTGTGACCTGACGTGTCCCATATGACCTCTGCGACCTCTAAGTGATCTCTCTGATTACCCCAAGCTGACCTCTGTGACCTGACGTGTCCAAGATGACCCCCATGACCTTCAATCGAGCTCTGTGATGACCCAAGCTGACCTCTGTGAACTGACGTGTCCCATATGACCTCTGCGACCTCTAAGTGACCTCTCTGATGACCTTAAGCTGACCTCTGTGACCTGATGTGTCCCAGATGACCTCCGTGACCTCCAATTGAGCTCTGATGACTCCAAGCTGACCTCTGTGACCTGATATGTCCTAGATGACCTCCAATTGAGCTCTTTGATGATCCTAAGCTGACCTCTGTAACCTGACGTGTCCCAGATGACCCTCAGTTGAGCTCTGTGATGACCCTAAGTTGACCTCTGTGACTTGACGTGTCCCATATGACCTCTGTGACCTCAAGTGACATCTCTGATGACTCCAAGCTGATCTCTGTGACCTGACATGTCCCAGATGACCTCCAATTCAGGTCTCTGATAACCCCAAGTTGACGTCTGTGACTTGACGTGTCCCATATGACCTCTATGACCTCAAGTGACCTCTCTGATGACTCCAAGCTGATCTCTGTGACCTGATATGTCCTAGATGACCTCCAATTGAGCTCTTTGATGATCCTAAGCTGACCTCTGTGACCTGACGTGTCCCAGATGACCCTCAGTTGAGCTCTGTGATGACCCCAAGTTGACCTCTGTGACTTGACGTGTCCCATATGACCTCTGTGACCTCAAGTGACCTCTCTGATGACTCCAAGCTGATCTCTGTGACCTGACATGTCCCAGATGACCTACAATTGAGACCTCTGATAACCCCAAGCTGACCTCTGTGACCTGACATGTCCCATATGACCTCTGTGACCTCTAAGTGACCTCCCTCATGACCCCAAGTTGACCTGTGTGACCTGACGTGTCCCATATGACCTCTGCGACCTCTAAGTGATCTCTCTGATTACCCCAAGCTGACGTCTGTGACCTGACGTGTCTCAGATGACCCCCATGACCTTCAATCGAGCTCTATGATGACCCCAACTTGACATCTGTGACCTGACGTGTCCCATATGACCTCTGTAACCTCTACGTGACCTCTCTGATGATCCCCAAGCTGACTTCTGTGAGCTGACGTGTCCCAGATGACCCCCATGATCTCCAACAGAGCTCTGTGATGACCCCAAGTTGACCTCTGTTACCTGACGTGTCCCTGAAGACCTCCGTGACCTTTATTTGAGCTCTGATGACTCCAAGCTGACCTCTGTGACCTGACATGTCCCAGATGAACTCCAATTGAGCTCTCTGCTAACCCCGAGTTGACCTCTGTGAACTGATGTGTCCCAGATGACCCTCAATTGAGCTCTGTGATGACCCTAAGTTGACCTCTGTGACCTGACCTGCCCCCAAGCTGCCCTTTGTGACCGACGTGTCTCAGATTGCCTCCGTGGTCTCCAATTGAGTTCTGTGATGACCCCAAGTTGACCTCTGTGACTTGGCGTGTCCCATATGTCCTCTGTGACCTCTAAGTGACCTCTCTGATGACTCCAAGTTGACCTTTGTGACCTGACGTGTCCCAGATGACCCCCATGTCTCTCTCTCTCTCTCTCTCTCTCTCTCTCTCTCTCTCTCTCTCTCTCTCTCTCTCTCTCTCTCTCTCTCTCTCTCTCTCTCTCTCTCTCTCTCTCTCTCTCTCTCTCTCTCTCTCTCTCTCTCTCTCTCTCTCTCTCTCTCTCTTTCTCTTTCTCTTCACGTGCCGGTGTCGTGGATCCTATAGGCAAAATTTGTACATACCAATGTTGATCCCCAGTCTCTGACCGGACATGTATTTTTCCTTCCCGCAGGATGCCGGCGGCGGCGACGACAGTGTGCCGGCGCACATCTCTATGGAGGTGGACACGGCGACCCGTGGGCGACCGCCGCTGCCGCGGTTTGCTACAGGTGGCCATGGCCACTAATCTGTCACGAACTTCTGACAGTGAACGCCAGTCGGTTCTCGGATGTGAGGACGCGCCCGTCGAATAAAGTGACGGATATGCACCGTGTGACAGTGTGCGTTTTCCGGGCGAGTTCGTTGCGCTGTGTGCCGTCCGCGCGCGTGACTGGTTCCACCCGTCGTTCCACCAGTTCTCAGTGCTGCAGCGCGCCGTGCGCGATCTCAGTGCCGCCGCCGAGGAGACTGCGCCGCGAGCTGCCGCCCGAGGGCCTGCCGGCGCTGACCCGGCTGGAGCCGCTGGCTGACGGCGCGCTGTCGCTGTGTCCGCCGACCCTGCGCCGGCCGCGCTGGGAGGCCGAGCTGCTGACCCAACTGCAGCAGCTGGCGGTGGCCCTGGACGGCGCCTGCCCCCTGGTGTTGGATGGCAGCTGCGGGAGCCACGTGACGCCGTCTGCGCTCTCGGCGCCAGGAGAGCTTGACGCTGCTGCGAGCACTACAGGGCTACTAGCGGTACGTCACGTGCTGCTGGTTTTCTAGAGACGGATGTTTGCTGATTTTAGGCTGTTAATCTATTTATATGAATCTTATTGCCACCATTTACCTGACTCCTGACTGGTGATTGTGGTTGCCTCAGTAAATCTGTTGTAGGCCTTAAGTGCACCGCATTTTGACAGGTCTCGACGTGGCGACCTCGAAGCCAGCGTGTTGGGTCTCGGCTTCCCGCCACTCACCGGCGGACCTTTCCGCTTCGTGGACCGCATCGGTCCCGCACAGCTAGTCAAGGACATGGAGCGCTTTGCCGTCGGCTTCGAGCCGTGCCTGACCGTGCACTACCAGGCCGCTAGCGGCACCAAGTTCTGTTCGGCCGGGCCTCGTGTAATGCCCACATGTGATGACCGAGTGTATACGCATGTGAAGCCGCTCCGCGTGTGTGCCAGCGCTGGGCGTGTTCAGTTTCAAAGTAAATATAGAACCCTGGTGATCAAGCTACAGTTTTTGACGAGAAATAGAGTGAGGTCATTTTGAAAGCGATCAGACGGTAGCGCCGCCGTTCTTTGGCACGCCTTAGCATGCATCTGTGCTACACTAAAAGTTTAGGCTCGTGTCTTTTAAGGTCAGCAGGGTGAGGGCACCAGGTACTTCAAGTGGCCTCGTCTCAGGTAGAGTTCTAATACTCGTTCTAATACTACCAACACACGTATCTAGTCAAGGAGCTGAGTTGAAATCGAGGGGATGGGGGGCTGTTCAGCCCCTTCACTGGGGGGTTCACGGTTCAGCCCCTCCCCCATCAGGCGCGAAAATCTAGGAGCCCCAGCGTGGAGTGAGATAATCTTTTTGCTTTTCGACGGCATGTAATCGGGTATTGCATCGAATGACACTGGGCGATTGAAAGATGTTTCAACTCGCTTGTCAAGGCAAACATTTATTCACAACGAAAACAGACATAGGCACATGTGGATTGCTAATGGATAATGGATAATGGTAACGGGTAACACCCAGGTCGTGCGCCGTCTGCTGGAGAGCCAGCGGCTGGTGCGTCCTGAGCGGGGTCGCCACCGACGCCGTTCGTCACCCAGACAGCCGGAGACCGGCGGACCGGCCGGGACGCCTAACGACAGACACAACGACCCCTCATGGCTATGTAGCGGGCTACCAGTGAGAGGTCACGGAAAGGTCAGCTCATAATGTGCACGGCGTGACATACAGTGTTAATGTCATCCCGCGGTCGCCGGACAGTGAAAAATTGGACAATGACATTTCGCCGTCAAGACGAGCTCTACTGTCTACAAGACACAAGTAGTCTACATACTGTCTGCTACCGGAACTACTGTCGAGCTTCTTACTGTTAGTAAGAAATTACACAGGTCTAGATGCAATTTCAGCGATGAACTTCGGTAGTGCATGGCTGTGCAATTTCAATCACAAGATATTCTTGTTCATACATATCGTATTATCGGCATGGTACTCGCTCGTTATCACGCTTGCGTGGGCATACGGTAGCTCAAGGAAAATATGGATAATCGTAGAAGCCGGTATCAAGGGAATCCAGTGAGCACGAACACGCAGTACACGTGGGTGCTTTCTAGTTTCCTGGACGGTCACGCTTAGTGTAGCTAGCTCGGCCTTAAAAGATCATCACGGACACGGGGCAACGCGGCACTAAGACAGGATTTGATCTCCAGCAGACAAGCTTCTATCGGTGCCCCGCGCCATCTCTCAACAATCGTCCACAGCCGCGGCTCCTGTGCACTGAGACGCTGTCACGACCGAGTCGTATTGCGACTGGAAGCCAGCCCACTGCCCCGTCTCTGCCGCGTCTCCGGCGGTTGGGACCTGTGCCGGGGGCGCCTCCTCCAACAGATTAGTGGCCATGGCCACCTGTAGCAAACCGCGGCAGCGGCGGTCGCCCACGGGTCGCCGTCCACCTCCATAGAGATGTGCGCCGGCGCACTGTCGTCGCCGCCGCCGGCATCCTGCGGGAAGGAAAATACATGTCCGGTCAGAGACTTGGGATCAACACTGGTATGTACAAAATTTGCCTATAGGATCCGCGACACCGGCACGTGAAGAGAAAGAGAGAGAGAGAGAGAGAGAGAGAGAGAGAGAGAGAGAGAGAGAGAGAGAGAGAGAGAGAGAGAGAGAGAGAGAGAGAGAGAGAGAGAGAGAGAGACATGGGGGTCATCTGGGACACGTCAGGTCACAAAGGTCAACTTATGGTCATCGCAGAGCTCAATTAGGGCCCTTCTGGGACACGTCAGGTCACAGAGGTCAGCTTGGGGTCATCAAAGAGCCTAATTGGAGGTTACGGAGGTCATCTGGGACATGTCAAGTCACAGAGGTCAGCTTGGGTCATCACAGAGCTCGATTGAAGGTCATGGGGGTCATCTTGGACACGTCAGGTCACAGAGGTCAGCTTGGGGTAATCAGAGAGATCACTTAGAGGTCGCAGAGGTCATATGGGACACGTCAGGTCACACAGGTCAACTTGGGGTCATGAGGGAGGTCACTTAGAGGTCACCGAGGTCACATGGGACATGTCAGGTCACAGAGGTCAGCTTGGGGTTATCAGAGACCTGAATTGGAGGTCATCTGGGACATGTCAGGTCACAGAGATCAGCTTGGAGTCATCAGAGAGGTCACTTGAGGTCATAGAGGTCATATGGGACACGTCAAGTCACAGAGGTCAACTTGGGGTTATCAGAGACCTGAATTGGAGGTCATCTGGGACATGTCAGGTCACAGAGATCAGGTTGGAGTCATCAGAGATGTCACTTGAGGTCACAGAGGTCATATGGGACACGTCAAGTCACAGAGGTCAACTTGGGGTCATCACAGAGCTCAACTGAGGGTCATCTGGGACACGTCAGGTTACAGAGGTCAGCTTAGGATCATCAAAGAGCTCAATTGGAGGTCATCTAGGACATATCAGGTCACAGAGGTCAGCTTGGAGTCATCAGAGCTCAATTGGAGGTCACGGAGGTCATCTGGGACACATCAGGTCACAGAGGTCAGCTTAAGGTCATCAGAGAGGTCACTTAGAGGTCGCAGAGGTCATATGGGACACGTCAGTTCACAGAGGTCAGCTTGGGTCATCACAGAGCTCGATTGAAGGTCATGGGGGTCATCTTGGACACGTCAGGTCACAGAGGTCAGCTTGGGGTAATCAGAGAGATCACTTAGAGGTCGTAGAGGTCATATGGGACACGTCAGGTCACAGAGGTCAACTTGGGGTCATCAGTGAGCTCAATTGGAGGTCATCTGGGACATATCAGGTCACAGAGGTCAGATTGGAGTCATCAGAGCTCAATTGGAGGTCACGGAGGTCATCTGGGACACGTCAGGTCACACAGGTCAGCTTGGGGTCATGAGGGAGGTCACTTAGAGGTCACAGAGGTCATATGGGACATGTCAGGTCACATAGGTCAGCTTGGGGTTATCAGAGAGCTCAATTGGAGGTCATCTGGGACATGTCAGGTCACAGAGATCAGCTTGGAGTCATCAGAGAGGTCACTTGATGTCACAGAGGTCATATGGGACAGGTCAAGTCACAGAGGTCAACTTGGGGTCATCACAGAGCTCAATTGAGGGTCATCTGAGACACGTCAGGTCACAGAGGTCAGCTTGGGGTCATCAAAGAGCCCAATTGGAGGTTACGGAGGTCATCTGGGACATGTCAAGTCACAGAGGTCAACTTGGGTCATCACAGAGCTCGATTAAAGGTCATGGGGGTCATCTTGGACACGTCAGGTCACAGAGGTCAGCTTGGGGGTAATCAGAGCGATCACTTAGAGGTCGCAGAGGTCATATGGGACACGTCAGGTCACACAGGTCAACTTGGGGTCATGAGGGAGGTCACTTAGAGGTCACAGAGGTCATATGGGACATGTCAAGTCACAGAGGTCAGCTTGGAGTCATCAGAGAGGTCACTTGATGTCACAGAGGTCATATGGGACACGTCAAGTCACAGAGGTCAACTTGGGGTCATCACAGAGCTCAATTGAGGGTCATCTGGGACACGTCAGGTCACAGAGGTCAGCTTGGGGTCATCAAATAGCCCAATTGGAGGTTACGGAGGTCATCTGGGACATGTCAGGTCACAGAGATCAACTTGGGTCATCACAGAGCTCGATTAAAGGTCATGGGGGTCATCTTGGACACGTCAGGTCACAGAGGTCAGCTTGGGGTAATCAGAGCGATCACTTAGAGGTCGCAGAGGTCATATGGGACACGTCAGGTCACACAGGTCAACTTGGGGTCATGAGGGAGGTCACTTAGAGGTCACAGAGGTCATATGGGACATGTCAAGTCACAGAGGTCAGCTTGGAGTCATCAGAGAGGTCACTTGATGTCACAGAGGTCATATGGGACACGTCAAGTCACAGAGGTCAACTTGGGGTCATCACAGAGCTCAATTGAGGGTCATCTGGGACACGTCAGGTCACAGAGGTCAGCTTGGGGTCATCAAAGAGCCCAATTGGAGGTTACGGAGGTCATCTGGGACATGTCAAGTCACAGAGGTCAACTTGGGTCATCACAGAGCTCGATTAAAGGTCATGGGGGTCATCTTGGACACGTCAGGTCACAGAGGTCAGCTTGGGGTAATCAGAGCGATCACTTAGAGGTCGCAGAGGTCATATGGGACACGTCAGGTCACACAGGTCAACTTGGGGTCATGAGGGAGGTCACTTAGAGGTCACAGAGGTCATATGGGACATGTCAGGTCACAGAGGTCAGCTTGGGCTTATCAGAGACCTCAAGTTGAGGTCATCTGGGACATGCCAGGTCACAGAGATCAGCTTGGAGTCATCAGAGAGGTCACTTGAGGTCAAAGAGGTCATATGGGACACGTCAAGTCACAGAGGTCAACTTGGGGTCATCACAGAGCTCAACTGAGGGTCATCTGGGACACGTCAGGTCACAGAGGTCAGCTTAGGATCATCAAAGAGCTCAATTGGAGGTCACGGAGGTCATCTGGGACACGTCAGGTCGCACAGGTCAGCTTGGGGTCATGAGAGAGGTCACTTAGAGGTCACAGAGGTCTAATGGGACACGTCAGGTCACACAGGTCAGCTTGGGGTCATGAGGGAGGTCACTTAGAGGTCACAGAGGTCATATGGGACATGTCAGGTCACATAGGTCAGCTTGGGGTTATCAGAGAGCTCAATTGGAGGTCATCTGGGACATGTCAGGTCACAGAGATCAGCTTGGAGTCATCAGAGAGGTCACTTGATGTCACAGAGGTCATATGGGACACGTCAAGTCACAGAGGTCAACTTGGGGTCATCACAGAGCTCAATTGAGGGTCATCTGGGACACGTCAGGTCACAGAGGTCAGCTTGGGGTCATCAAAGAGCCCAATTGGAGGTTACGGAGGTCATCTGGGACATGTCAAGTCACAGAGGTCAACTTGGGTCATCACAGAGCTCGATTAAAGGTCATGGGGGTCATCTTGGACACGTCAGGTCACAGAGGTCAGCTTGGGGTAATCAGAGCGATCACTTAGAGGTCGCAGAGGTCATATGGGACACGTCAGGTCACACAGGTCAACTTGGGGTCATGAGGGAGGTCACTTAGAGGTCACAGAGGTCATATGGGACATGTCAGGTCACAGAGGTCAGCTTGGGCTTATCAGAGACCTCAATTGGAGGTCATCTGGGACATGTCAGGTCACAGAGATCAGCTTGGAGTCATCAGAGAAGTCACTTGAGGTCACAGAGGTCATATGGGACACGTCAAGTCACAGAGGTCAACTTGGGGACTGGGGTCATCACAGAGCTCAACTGAGGGTCATCTGGGACACGTCAGGTCACAGAGGTCAGCTTAGGATCATCAAAGAGCTCCACTGGCGGATCCAGACTTGCGTTTTGGGGGGGGCCAACTCGTGCAAGGAGCCAAACCTAGGGTACCCCCAAATCCTGTTTTCTCATCGGATTTAGGCCACTTATTTTTCGTCACAGCCCTGAAACGATAATTTTTTTTTTTAATTAAAAAAAAAATAGAGAGAGAAATGGTAGCCCACTCAACCCGTGCCTTAATATTACTTTGAAAACACTTCAAATTGCTTTTGTCGACCACCGCTCCGGGTCGGTGCTTGGCGCAGCCTTCGCGGGCTGGGAGGTGTCGGTTGAACCTCTCTGCCGTTCGGCCCCTGATCAAGCTAGAGCTCGCGGAAAAAAACGAGTGTGTTGCCTGTGAGTGACGAGAGGAAGCCGATGATACCCGATTTTAAGGTCCTTGGTCATTGTTTGACCTTCCAGGGCGGTGTTTCACGGTCGCGCTGCCAGCCGCTGCCAGCGCATTCCGCGAGCTAAGGTCAACCTTCGGTAGTGTTGTAGGTATAGGCTAGTTGATGTCTCCATGGAAACCAAAAGTGCCAACAGCGCTGGCAGCGTGCCGTGAAACACCGCCCAGGTCAGGTCACAGACCCAAAAGACGGGAAAATCAGGGCCTGTCAGAACCTCCTAAAGTAAGGCTGTAATAGATTTTTTTGTGCTGATCACGAATTTCATGTTAGTTTGGATCATAGATGATGTCTTCATGCCTTTAGGCCATGTCGGGGCAGGCCAGGTCAGGTCAACCAGGTCAACCAGTACTTATGGGCGTCCGTGTAGCAGGTGTCCGACTACCACTGGCAGCTACGTAACATGATACGAAGGCATCAAAACTACTTCGTAAATGTTCAAATGGTTGCTAAATGCTAAATTCAAAATCAGCTAAACGAAACTATCCTAGAAACATGTTAAACTCGGAAAAGTGCACCGAGGTCATCAAAGGTCAATGACCTGACTTGACCCTAAGGTGACATTGACACCTACCACAATGGTTGGGACCAACATCATTTCACATGTTTGAGCGTTTTAAACCACGAAAAGACTGTAAACGAGCGGATAATGTGAGCCGACATACGCGGAATCGCGATTCCGGCCAAACATGGCCTCAAACATGGCCAAACATATGGTGCGTTCGGAGAGGCACATTCCACGTGGAATCCGTGGAATACTCCATGCGCGCGGAACATTCCCGGAGATTGGCCGTTCAGAGAGATACGCCTCCGAACGCGGCACGGGGAATATTCCAGGGGACGGTGAATATTCCATGCTCTCCGAACGCACGGATAGTCTCGAGAAATAGGCCACAGGTCAAAGGTCACTTGGGTCAGGGTCATGAAATTTTCAGACTTTGTCAACATGAGGGTGCTAAAGTTTCGTCGCGATCGGATTCATGATAACTTACACGATAACTTCACGCGTCGATCGAGAGGTAAAGTATGCAATAAGAACTGCTTGGGTGAAGACGAGACCAACACTCAAGCTCACATATTTTTAATGATACGGTAGTTTCTACCTACTACGCTACTGCTCACATTCATATTTCTTAAGTGTTTTGGGGGGTCAAAATACATGTTGCCCCCTTTCAGGCTTGGGGGCATGACCCCGTGGCCCCCCTGGATCCGCTAGGTCGAAACTAACTAGGCCGTTTTCAAACGGTCTGATATTTCAGGTCATGGTTTGCAAACGGCCGGTGTTTTCAGGCTGTTTCATATGCCCTGACTGGGCCAGGCCGTTTGCAAACGGACAATTTTCATACGGCCTGTAACATATATTCATATTTCACCATCTGTCGCAGCATCAAATGCTGATGTGGTGCACTCAAAAGCCGGAATTGGTCCTTGGATGCCGTAAGGACCCTTTTAAGAAATAAGTGACCCGACTGACCCCTTAGAGATTGGCCTGAGCTCTGACCGAAATAAGTCTTTTACCGTTTCACGGGAAGGGACAAAAAGGTCCCTGATATGCTTCTTGTACAATTACCAAACAAAACAAGCTTTTCAACGCCAACTCAGTGAGTGTTCCTAAAAAATTATTGCGCATATTCCGTGAATGAAAAATTGCCGGGTCATGTCAGGTCAGGCTGCCAGAGCAAGTTTGTTAACTTGACAGTTCAATCGATATGTATGCAATAAGACCTTCTCGGGTGACGACAAGACATGACGACACTTTATGAAGGAAGCTAGTAAACCAGGTAGTTTCTCCATAGGCGCGGGAACCGGGGCAGTGGGGACAGCTTGCCCACCCCCCAACTATGGGGCCGTGGGGGCGGTGCCCCCACAACTTTCAGACGGAATACCCCATTTTTGCAAATGTTTTCTTTTTTTGTTGAAAAAAGCCAAGGGATGAAAAATAAGTGGCCCAAAACCGGTGAGAAAACTAGATTCGGGGGGACCCTAGGTTGATCTCTGTTATGGTGTGCCCCCCCCCCCCAGTCTGAAAGTAGTTCCCGCACCCCTGAGTTTCTCTACGCTATTGAATCACGCCGGTGATTCTAACTTTTAGGTATCTACTACGCAACCTTCTCACATTAATTTTTCATCAAGCGTTTTGGGAGGGGGGCCAAAAGATATGTTGGCCCCCCTTTCAGGCTTTTGGGGGGCCATGGCCCCGGTGGCCCCCTCCCTGAATCCACCAGTGGGGGGCGGTGCCACCACAACTTTCAGACGGAATACCGCCCTTTTTGCAAATGTTTTCTTTTTTTGCTGAAAAAGCCAAGAGATGAAAAATAAGTGGCCTAAAACCGGTGAGAAACTAGATTTGGGGGGACCCTAGGTTGATCTCTATTATGGTGTGCCCCCCCCCCCCCAGTCTGAAAGTAGTTTCCGCACCCCTGACTTTCTCTACGCTATTGAATCACGCTGCTGATTCTAGTAGGTATCTACTACGCAACCATCTCACATTAATTTTTCTTCAAGCGTTTTGGGGGGGGCCAAAAGATATGTTGGCCCCCCCTTTCAGGCTTTTGGGGGGGGGCCATGGCCCCGGTGGCCCCCCCCTGGATCCGCCAGTGAAGAGCTCAATTGGAGGTCATCTGGGACATACCAGGTCACAGAGGTCAGCTTGGAGTCATCAGAGCTCAATTGGAGGTCACGGAGGTCATCTGGGACACGTCAGGTCACAGAGGTCAGCTTAAGGTCATCAGAGAGGTCACTTAGAGATCGTAGAGGTCATATGGGACACGTCAGGTCACAGAGGTCAACTTGGGGGTCATCAGTGAGCTCAATTGGAGGTCATCTGGGACATATAACTTATAAGGTCACAGAGGTCAGCTTAGGATCATCAAAGAGCTCAATTGGAGGTCATCTGGGACATATCAGGTCACAGAGGTCAGCTTGGAGTCATCAGAGCTCAATTGAAGGTCATGGAGGTCATCTGGGACACGTCAGGTCAAAAAGGTCAACTTGGGGTCATCGCAGAGCTCATTGGAGGTCATGGGGGTCATCTGGGACACGTTTTTGGAATCGGGAGAATTTTTGGGGGATGACCCTTGCAGCGTCCAAGACCGCCTTTCTGGATTCGCCAGTAGTTGCTGGAATGGTGTTAGGCTACTTCCAATTCCTGAATGCCCCAATTAATGTGAAATTGCATATTATGGACCATTTTCAACACTCTTGCTGCCTCGCTGGCATGGATGGAGGCCTCATAGACCTGTCAGTTCAAGCTCTATAACTTGCATTAGCATCAACGGATTGCAACAAAATTTTCAGGGTCTCAAGTTCAAACAATTTTACATGTACCACGTAAATTTCGAGACAATGACCCCGATGATCTGTGACCTATTCGGTATTCCCCAAGGCAAGGTCAACCTGCGACACTGACACTACTTACGACTGCTATTTCAATTTTGTAAGTTGTGTCGCAAATCAGGCAACGTGCAATACATTAAAATTACAATAACCCACACCAAAACACACTATACCCACCAAATCAAGTTCTTCAGCACCCCTAAAGCCAGTGCACTGGCACGCGGGGCACGTCCAAGGTCAAATCGCGTTTCTCAGATTTTCGGTTTGTTATTTTCATCAAGGTGTTGATAGGTGCTCGCACGGTAGCCATGTTGGGATAGGTGAATTGAAGGTAAAATTATTTAAATATTTTAAAATAATTTAAGACCTGCCAAACCTAACAATACGCAGAATAATAACCAGCATTAAAAATTGTATTGGGATAAAAATTTATATGTGAATCGAAAGGGTCCGCTAAAAATGACCTTGACCTTTGACCCGTTATTTCTCCGTAGTTTGACCTTGCCAAAACAAGAAAAACCAGCAGTAGCATTTCCAACATTGGTTGCATCATTAAACAAAAAATTATTGAAATCTAAGGGGTCCTCCTTTCTCACCTGGCCACGTGATCACTTCCACTTCCTGTATTACACATACGTGACCTTGATTCTGACCTTTGACCTACTATATATCAGTTCGTGCTGCTTGCCAAAGTAAGAAACTGATATTTTTGAAATCAGCTCTTCATGGACTATATTTGTACCAATTTTTACGAGAATCCAAAGGGTCCGCCGAGAATGACCTTGAACTTTGACCTAAGATTCCTCAGTTCCTAGGGGGTGCCAAGCCTAGGTGATTTATTTTCATAATAAGCATGTCCTGCTCTATCTATCCTGTTAATTTAAATCGAATCTGAGGGGTCCGTTTTTGTCATTTTTTCCACGAATGTGGTGCTGGAATCCGAATCCGAATTTGAAGCCAACTTTATGAACGTATAGATAGAGCATGACATGCTTATTATGAAAATAAATCACCTAGGCTTGGCAGTTCAAAAAGAAAATTTGCTTTATTTTTTTCCATAAGATGAGATGAGTGTCTAACGTACCGCTTCACTGTGATTCTTGAGAAAGAATGGTTCAGAGGGGAGTGCCGTAGTTAGCAGTCGCTCACTGAAGATCAAAGCTCAAGCTTACCGCCTCTGCGGCTCCAGCTTTTCATTTTTACTGCTTCAGCCTCGTCGTAGCCTCGTTCAAAGGGAGAGATGGCAGACGCAGGCTTTTTCCGGGTGAGAGTTGTTAAGCCTTTTTATTTGGTGCATGCCTTTATGAATTAGATAATAATTTCCACAGGTTTATCAGTAAATGGATGCCGTGTAAAGTTTTTTAAAATATGTTTTTTGGTACCTATTCGATTGGTGTGCTCAGTTTCAAGTTTCAACCTGTGTTTCCACCATTATTTCAAATAAGGTTGCACAATAATGGATAGATGATAAGTGCAGGATTGCAAAGTTTTGGTATCTACATGGTAACACTATAGGGGTACTGAAGCCCTAACTGCCACTGATGTGAATGGTTGAGGTCACTTGAGCGTGAGCACCCCAACCCCTGATGGCAGAGTTCTGCAACTATGATAATATTGGTGTTCTCACAAGTGTTTGCATTTTTGTTTTATCTTTTTTTCTTTGAAATACCTATCAAGTGAACTCATTTATGTGCCTTTGAAGGTCATGGATATAATTTTGCTTTGCTGCACAGTAGGTAATGACCATGACTGCCTTTTTTGTTGTTGTTGTGATTGTTGCCCTATTTCAGCAGCTTACCTTCACTGGATTGCACCTTTCAATGCCATCTATTCAGCATAGAAAGGGCAGCAGTTTTGATTCATCCTTCTGTCATTATTGATTGAATGTTTCTTTTCATTTTTATGTCATGATATTTGCTATTCTTCTGTTGTGTGTTATTATGCCAAAGCATTATCAGGAAGACATTTAATGAGCAGGTAGATGATCAAATTCTAGTGGTAATGTCATTCCACCTCTCATTCAGTCCTTTGTGTTGCATTTTTTATAGTTAGCTTGTGGTGGTGAGTGCACATGATGGATAAAAGCAGGTGCTAACAGTGGGGCATGCCCCTACTGTTTTCCTTTTTCAGGGTACATCTGCTGAGCAGGACAACCGCTTCAGCGACAAGGAAAAGAAAATGATGAAGCAAATGAGGTTCTCAGATAACCTAACAAAGAAGGTACCTACAGTTTTCAGTGCTTTTGTTTTTGTTGTCTGTGTTTTTGGTCTCCAAACTCTCCCATCACCCTATTGAAACAACCTTTCACCATCCAGACAGCATCAATCAGTGGTGCCAAAAATGAAAAGAAGGATACAAATTTTGTATGTCAACAATCTCAGGTTGTAGTAAGTTGATGGTCAGTGGAGAAAAGTTCATTGATAGCATAAGTCATATCATTGTTTATCAAAAAGGGCACTAAACCTCAAAGTAGACCTGTGCCAGCTCCCAAATTTGAGCATGTAGTTGTAGTAAAACAAATGATAGGCAAAAGTTGTCATCTGTGTGGAGACTTATTGCTTCACTTGCATATTATTTTTCATGAATGATATGCACATAAAATTATAGTACACTTACCCAGCATAGAAAATTGACTTTTTCTGTCATTTGACTTAGCATTCCTTGGTTTTCCAGTCATTCAAATTTGTGTGTATTCATTCAAAAAGTTTATTCAAAAGCTTGTGTTTGTGTTAAGCCATGGTCTTTAAATGGATTATAAGCATTATTATTCTTTTTTTAGCACAACTTAGTTCAACCCTTGCAAAGCTTAAGTCTTGTGCCCAATCTCATTTAGTCTCAAAATATGGTCTTGCAGTAAAATCAGTACTACTTTGTCCTCCTGTATCACATTTTGCAGAGTGGTGACATTATGGAGGATTAACCCTCGCCCGTATTGGTGTTTTTTTCCAGCCGCGAACGTATAAGGGGGGTCCGTTGGATCCTCCCCCCTTGCCGTTTAGCCCCTGATCGAGATAGAGTTTCGCGGAAAAAACGAGCGTGTTGCCCGTGACGAGAGGAAGCCGATGATTCCCAATTTCAAGGTCCTAGGTCATTTGTTGACCTTCCTTCAATGACCCAAGAGCCAGGAAAATCGGGACCTGTTAGGAAGTTGTAATGTGTGGCTTTTATGTTTTTTGGGGTGCTGATCACGAATATCATGTTAGTTTTGATCACAGATGATTTCTTCATGCATTTAGGCCAGGTCGGGTCAGGTCAGGTCAACCAGTAGGGGTCCTGCCGGGTATTCGTAGTAGGTGTCAACCGCCTCTGACAGCTTCGTGGCATGTAACGAAGGCACCAAAACTACTTCGTAAATGTTCAAATGGTTGCCAAATTCGAATTCAGCTCCAAAAACTAGCCTAGAAACATGTAAAACTCGAAAAAGTGAGCCGAGGTCAATGACTTGACCTGACCTTCAGGTGACCTTGACACCCACCCTAATGCATGGGACCAACATCATATCGCATGTTTCAACGCTTGAAACCACGAAAAGACTGCAAACGCGCGGCTGATGCAAGCCGATATACGCCGAATCGCGATTCCAGTCAAACATGGCCTCAAGAAATAGGTCACAGGTCAAAGGTCATTTGGATCAGGGTCATGACATTTTCAGAGTAGGTGTGAAATTGATTGACTCGAGGGTACTGAATGTTTCGTCGCGATCGGCCGCTTTTTACGCGAGTTATTCCGTTCGCCCCCCCCCCCCCCATACGGACGAGGGTTAAGGTTTATTCATTATTACCACTCAACGACTGTTTTAAAACCTTTTAAAGGTAGTAGGTACACTTGATTTTGGAAACACAGACACATAATATTTATATTTGTGTGTTCCCAGCAGACAACTGGTAATAACAGTATCCCTCTTTATGTTTTTGGGTTTAAACAGTGCTCAATCAACGCTACCCTTCGGTCTAATGATCAGTTTGATGGTGGGACTCTGGACCGGAAATGTTTGATGTTTATGAGAAACGTATTTTATAAAGTTCTCTATCGTATTTAATTTAATATGGATGATGGTGTGCTATGCTAGTGCAGTACCAACATTTGTGATGCGCATTAGCTACGAAACGTCCTAATAATGATATAGCTATAAGAAAGCATTTATTGATGCTTTGGAAGCAAAGAACAGTGAACGGTCATTGTGTTAATGCATTAGATATGTATGTCATCAGCGTTCACAGTCTTATTGGATAGCTATATGACTGTACAGAAACTTCACAATTTGTTTCTTTCCTGTTTTGCACTCCTTGAATTTCCTGCCAACGTGCGTCCTCTACAGTGGTGTTTATTCATTGGTCAGGTCCCAGCATCTTATCAGAAATGGATTAACATAAATCAATTAGACATGTTCCCTTGAAACTGTAATGTGTATTTTATCACGTGAAGTGTTAGTTGCGATGGTGGTGTGAAGCCACGTCCTTTGGTCAATGTTTTACTGGTCTATTCTCATTTTCATCCTGGGGCCGACTAGTTGTACCGCGGTCGAGTTGAGCGATGACACACTCTAGTGCCGACCCAGGTAAGGCCGTACATAGGTAACGTAACAGACTGTTCAACTGATTGCTAGTTCAGATGCCTGTAACATTCAACACGTCGGTAATTTCGGAGGTGCGTTACTTGCTGAATAAAATAATAACGCTCACCGTCAACTTACTTTTCTGCTAGTGCTGCCACTTGTTGTTGTGTTGCTTTGCATACATGTGGAATGTTAAAAATAAATATAATTTTGTTGACTCAATGTCATGTTAGGCATATCCGAAATGTATCTTTTCATTATATGTTAAAGTCCCTTCAAAGGCCATCATGCGCCATCATAAGACATTTCTGTAGTGTGTTGAACACAACCCGCTAGCCTGAATGTTGAATCCATTAGCCTGAGTTTGCAATATCTAAACTGGCGGTCTTATTGTTTAAATCCGATGGGTGCTTCCACGCTGATGTCATGGCGTGTATGTAACACGCATCCCACCATATTCCTTTCAGGTCGACATGACCCGCGTGAAGCTTGATGTTCTGAAGCCGTGGATCACCCAGCGGATCACGCAGCTGTTGGGCATCGAAGATGACGTCGTCATTGAGTTTGTCTTCAACCAGCTGGAAGAAAGGGTACTCTTGATGGAGGGTTCTCTCATAAGTGTTGAACTGATCAGTGCCGCTTTCGAGTTTGCTTGAACCTTTTAAAATAAGGCTGTGGTCTTTGATTGCTGTATTTCTTATTACCTATAAAAATCAGTAAATGGAAAACATTGTAGGTGCCCACCGATGCGCCAAGTTTCAGTGTAATTCGGCCTTTCACTGCGGAGGTTTTATAAGCTAAACTATTCTTACGTCTCTGGTTTAACACATAGCTCGTGACATGACGGTCACCCTGATGCACCAGTAGCTTTTTCTTTGATACTTGCTTTAGTATACAAGTATTTAGTAAGCATATACCTCAGTATATATTGTATAAGTTATTAACTTCCATCGCTACTAAATCATATATCTTTGTTTGTTCGCATTTTGTCTATAGGTTAGCTCCAATAAGACGTGACGAAGCCGTGCTGATTATAGTCAATATCAGGGTGAAGGGATGAAGCTTCCGAGCAGAGTAGGTCGTTTATCGAACGTTTTCTTTGTTGCAAAGATATATAAAGCCTCTAAAGCATAATACCGATCCGCTGATGCTAAGCAGCTAACATTTTCTAACGATGTTGAAATGGCTGGCTTAGCGATCGTCCAAGCCATTTAGTTTCGGGTATCTTCACGGTGCATTGTAAATGTTGTGTCCAGTTCAGACTTGTTGCTTGCTTTCAGAACCCAGATCCAAAGAAGATGCAGATCAACTTGACAGGGTTCCTCAACGGCAAAAATGCTCGTGTTTTCCTGCATGAGCTTTGGGGACTGCTCAGTTCAGCGACCATGAATCCAAGTGGCATTCCTGACAGTTTCATCGAACAAAAGAAGGAAGAGATCCGGCGACGAAATGTACGTATATTTCAATCGGACTGCTATCATTGGTGCACGCAAGCTGTGAAAGTGGTTGTGTTGATGAGCTATGCATACATGATATTAACGATACGCGAACGTCCCATTGTTTATCGTCATTTTAGGAGGACCAGGCACGCCTGGAGCAGGACATCCGCCGGCAGGTGGAGGCTGAGCGCGAGCGTGTCGAGAAGGAGCTCAATGTCAGTCACGCCCGACGTCAGTCTCGCTCGCGGTCCCGGGAGCGGAGCGGGCGGCGGCGGCGGCGCTCCCGGAGCAAGAGCCGCAGCCGCTCGCCGCGCCGAGAGCGGGGCTCGGGCGACGGCGCCGCCCGGTCTGATGAGCAGGTGCCCGAACAGGGCGCCACCGAACCCACCAACGGCTCGACCGCACATGCTGCGACTATGGAGGCGGCCGTCGCTCAGGCGGCTGAGGTTGCTGCCTCTCTAGCCCGAAAGGAAGCGGCAGCGTCTGAAAATGATAGGTGAGAAATGGATGCTTGTGTTAGTCTTATTTTTGTCTTGCTGCGATGTGCTATTGTTTGCTTTACTATGCAGTATTATTCTTTAGGTAGATAAATTTATATTCGTATCGGGTCGAAAAACATGCGAAATAGTGCAATATAGTCGTAAAGCCTTTCAAGAGTCGACACTGTTGACGCGATGCCACCTTGTTTAAATTCGTAGGTCTACCGATGCGCCAACGGAAGCCGCTGACAAGCAGGATGCCACGAAAGATGGAAAGGAAAAGTCAAACGTGAAAGCAGAGGCTGTCAAGGTGGAACCGGAGTCAGACTCGAAGAAATCCGACGACTTTGAAATAAAGAAGAAGGAGGACACCATTCAAAAGAAGAGGAAGTATCGTTCAAATAAAGAATCAGATGTTGAGCTCGAAAAGGTACGCATGAGTTTTAGACTAGGTAACTATGCATTTTATATGTAACAGATACTATTGTGAAAACTCGTTTGATGTAAGCCCATATTTTTTGCAATGAAAGTGTGTGCTGTTTTAGCTGAGTTTTCACCATGTGTGGTATGTGAATGCCAAGCCGCTCACGCTCTTTCCTTGGTTTCAGAAGCACGATCGCTCGAGGAGTGGCCGGGACAGATCTCGCTCCCGAGAACGTCGCCGCAACCGATCCGGGTCCTACGACCGGGATCGGCGGCCTCGGGAGCGGGACCGGGAGCGCGAGAGAGACCGAGATCGCGACAGGGACAGGGACCGCGAGCGAGACAGAGACCGCGACCGGCGCGTCAGGGACCGGGACCTCGACCGGGAGAGAGACCGCGACGGCGATCGCGACAGGGACCGACGCGACCGGCGAGACAAGGAGCGCGACCGCGAGCCGCTGGTCCGCAGAGACAGGGAGCGGTCTCCGAGGCGTCGGTCACCGCGCAGGAGGTAGGCTGCTTGATTCCGTCATGTATCGGCCTCGCCGGTCTTTCTTGATGTTACTTTTCACTTTTTGCATTGTTGCTGTTTATTGTTGTATGCTACACTTATTTATCTTCGTTTTGAGTACAACGTCTCTGCCTTACCTCATCATCCCTTTCATTGTATGGTGGGTCACTCTACAGCTTTTCTGTCTCTCTGCGCTGCCGGTTTCTTTCTGTGTTGTTATTACTGCTCGTCTGTTCCTTTATGGATTTATCCACAAAATCTCTCTAGCCTAACCGTCACCTCACTTTATCACTGTGTCTACAGGTCACCGCCCCGCCGCGAGAGCAGGGAGCGTGTGGCTGCTCCGGCGCCAGTCCGTTCACAGCGTGCCGGGCGGCGCGGGGAGTCTCCGCCACCCCCGGCCACCAGTCGGCGGCCGGCGCCGTCATCCCGCCGCGAGCCGGAGCCCTCGTCCAGCTCCTCAGGCGAGGAGAGCGAGTCAGAAGAGTCGTCGGCCAGCGCATCCAGCGCGGAGTCAGAGGAGGATAGGAAGCCCAGGCGCAAGAAGAAGAAGAAGGAAGTGTCCAGTAGCTCAGAGGAGGAGGAAAGCTCCAGTGAGGAGGAAGACGAGGAAGAAGAGGAGGTGGAGAAGAAACGCAGAAGTAGGAAACGCAGGAAGCCCAGCACGGACGAAAGCGAATCCGAGGAAGAGGTGGGATATATGATTGTCTATTGAAATTGTTCATGGGGGCGTCATGGCTACACTGTCATTACGTCCCTGAACCCCTAACACGGAATGTCATGTCTGTGTAAAGTACGCTTAATCACCCTGGAGCCTCATGCCTACTGGTTGGGCAAACATTTCATGTGCGATGCCGATGTGCGTGTCATGTGTGATTTATTCCCATTTTTTACTTTACAGGACTCCGAAGAAGAAAAACGGAGAGCAAAGAAAAAGAAAGATAAAGCCAAGAAGCGTAAGAAGGAAAAGCGTCGCCGTCGAGATGACAGCGAAAGCGATGAGAGTGATGACGATGAAGAGGATGATAAAGAAGAAAGGCCCAAACAAAAAAGCAGTCGGAAGTCGAGACGGGGTGATAGCGACGACGACGACGATGCGGATTCGTCGTCAAGTGATGAAGGGAATCTGGAGGAGTTGGAGAAGAAACTCCGTGAAAAAGCGTTGCGCTCTATGAAGAGCAAAGGACAGAAACATGAATCGGCCAGCGAGTCTGACGAGGGCTCCTCGTCGGACGATAGTGAGGAGTGAGCTGGTCTACCTCCACTGGGTGGAGTCGCGCTATTGTGAACTCTGGGAGATGTTGCAGTGTCTTGTGGGGAGGGTTGTTCACGTGTCGACGCGATCACCATTGGCAAGCAGTGTGTGTACTACCCGAATTGGCCATCGGCTGACCACATTACCACACGGACGGTCAGTTCCCGCGCTGCGACTGGTGTCAGGCTCTTCCGTGCTCTTTGGACTGTGAGTGACGCCGCAGCATTTGTTTGCCTGATTTCGAAGTGGTCACGTTGTCTTGTTTCTTGAAAGTCAGTTTTTACACAGACCCCTGGACACTGAAATACACCGGTCATTGTCGTTTATTATGTTTGCGGTTGGAAATCAGTTCTTTGTGAGTGCTAAACCTGACATACCGATCGAATGGATAACATCGACCTAGTGAGTGTTACTGACAATTTTGACGAACAAGTCCACAGCGCCAATCTGGTCCAATGCTGCCCCTTTGCCGAAGATTCACGACATATTTGTATACACTTTCACACCACAATAAAACATGTTACATCGTCTAGTCTTCCATTCGTCTTTCAATTTGTTAACGCTCTCATTTTATATTTCCCCAATTCATTGTTTTCCTGCTCTCATTTGTCGATAATGGTAACCCTATAGTACTAGTCGTGGACGGCATTAGCTGTGAACGACAGTAGCGCAAAGCTAGCAATCTTCACTCACATCACGGGACACTGCACTGCAGGCAGCTGATAGCTGTAGGAAAGAACACCACGAGAACGACACAGGTCTGCCGTCTGGTTCACGCTCGGCGGTGGGGCTGGCGACGTTCGATGGTGCTCCTGTAACCAGATCTTTCCCGCGCGAAACTTTCAGACGCGACATCGTGTGACTCATCGGTGCTGCGATGGGGTGGCGGGATCTCCCAGGCCCTGAAGCACAGTGACACAGAGTAAATTGTCGGCCTTTCGGTTGAGGGTGTAGGAACGTGGTTGCATGGTTATCACACGGAATAGATAAACAGTTTTGTAGATATCGTTCACCTCAATGACTCAATATAACTGCAATGCTATTGTGGGGCGGATGCCAATAATCTCTGTCTTTCTGTCATTTGTGAAACTCTGCAACGCGAATCAGTCAACATTTCCATTTGGAATTATGTTGATGGGACTGCCTTCACATAAATGTTTTAATGAGAGTAGGTATACTGTGAGTTCTGTTGTGCTCAGCTACAAGGACAGCTCAGGGACTGAAACTCACGCTGTCCTCGCGGCTGGCCCGCTGACGTGGTCGGCTCTGGCCGCGTCGGTCGCTGATGTCGGGCAGATGTGTGCTCAGAGAGAACGTCATCTCCATGTTCTGCGGTGACACCAGCGTCACACTCGTCCAGTTCTTCGCGTCTGCGGAGGGAAGACCTCTAGATGTGACCCCCTGCCCCCGGCCCAGCAGGGAGACCCTCGGTTTTCCTTTACTGGCTCCAGAACGTTTTTGGTCGCGTGGCTGCGTTTGGCTGAAAAGGTTGGAGGCTCTAGATTCTTCAAGTGGCGATGTATTGGAGATCGCGGTGTCCTGAAGCCAAGAGCCAGTCTGATCCATCTGTGAAGTGGTTTCATCCATTGTCAGGAGAGTCGTGGGTCCGAGAGTCATCCTTTGCCGGCTTGTTTCATCTTCCGCTCGTTCCTCTGTGCTTAGGAGCTGCTGAGCGTCAGGCAAGGACACGAACTCTTTTGAGTGATCGGCATAGGGATTCTTCGATAGAGGGCCATTATAACGATGTGGACCCCTTATTTCTGCACGAGATTCATCAATAGTGAGGGGAGTCTGTATTGTGACTGTATGCAACGAATCTGTTCCTGGCTGTGATTCCCCATCAGCTTGTCCGAACGTTAACATCTCTTGGACCTCGGCATCACTGGCCGAAACGTGTCTAGAGGACTTCTCAAGACTACGATCTGATGGCTCAGAGCCGTGGTGCTGAGCAATTCTTTCTTTAGGATCGCATGAGCTGGACCAAGAACACCACGGTGTTTCATACTTTGTGATCGTCGATACTGAATGAACACAGTCCTCGTTCATCACGTGGCTATGGCTGGTATGGGCTTGTGGAGCACAAGACGCGCCTGCATGGTCATCGGCATCCGACCTAACGCATTGGTTTTGACCTGAGAGACATCGACGTGTCCAACCGTCGACTGGCGAAGCGTGGTGACCTGCGTCGAGCTTGGTCTCAAGTTGCAGCAAGGGTTGAGGGGCCATGCTACAGCTCTGAGCTCTGCAAATGTTACTTCCTTTCCAGTGCGCTATATAGTTTTGCCTTTCAGTGGCATTACGTCTCCCTCTCATCTGCGGTGACCCATGCAGTTCGCCTGCGCAGTCATGGTTTCGGTAGCATCTGAGGTCAAAATGTGCCGATGGCTGAGCTGGTACAACGAATGGCACTTCGGTACGCTCTCCACTTTGTAGTAATGGCAAATGCTGTATCGTTTTACTGGCCTTATGAAGACGGGCGTCCATCCCCCTCTCGACATTTTCTACTCTGCCCTGACTAGCCGATCGTCTGCGGGCTGGTCGTGGAGACTTTGTCTTTGGTTTGTGTTCAGCTTCCTCCATTTTCTGTTGACTGAGTAGCTGTCGAAGGAATAGCGTTCGGTTGCCTCGGAAACGGGACGAATCAGATGACAGAGATTCAATTGTGCAACTTTCACCAGTGGTAATATCAATGAAGAATGCTTTCTGATCATCTTTAGCAGTATTCGTCAAGGTCTCTTCCTTCGGTGCAAGTCTTTCGTTTGCGTCTACAATATTTTGTCGCGATGCATCACATCCCACAGTGGGAGTCTGGCCCATTTTATCGCTGTGAATACTCTGCGCGGCATCGGATGCCTGGTCATTAGGAAACACATTTTCCTTCGAAGGCGCTGGCATAAACGGTTCGTTACAGCATCCCATCGTGTCTTGTGGATGAAAACCCGTGGCGCTGCTGACAGAAAGGCTGGATGCTCTATCTTTTAAAGGCGAAGTTTGAAAGTATTTATCCTTTTTCTCTTCATATATGCATTTTGACGTTTGATTTTGACCGCTTGACATTGCAGATTTTGCACTTTCAGATTTCCCTGTTTCTTCTGATTGTTGACATATGTTGTTTGGAGGAACAGCATTCGACGATTTGTTGTCTTCAAAGGCATTAATTTTTCCTGACTTTACTGCATTAATCTTCTTAGCAGGGCTACGCGGGCTCATACGGCATTGGTGACCCACCACTGACAGCTTGGCTGCTGCGTCCACATCTTGGCAGCACTCCTGGTCGTTATGATCGAATGAAGGAGACTGATTCTCACCATCGTCTGCTGTCGGCTGCTGAGTTGAAATCTTGACTTGAAGTTCGTGCTCCGCTATGTCCTGGAGACTCTTTCCCATGCCTTGTTCGCGCTGGATGGTCATCTCTGTACGTTTTCTGCATTCTGGGAATAAGCTTGGATCGTTTCCTGATGTCTCCTCGCTCTGATGGCCCTGATCTGTTCGAGTTTTATTTATGACTGATGTCACCGTGAACACTTTTTGTTTCGTTGTTGTGGGCTTTGTGTTTTCAGCTGATTTAGAAATGAGTTGACGTTCACTAGTTTGTGATCTGGCATTGCAAATCTCATTTGCATCATGTTCAGCTACCTCTGGTAATGCTTCCACTCTGTTTTTGTCCATTTTGAGAACCACTATAGGATCAAATGTAACTTTTGATGCACGCCGCTGAACCTTCTTGTCCGGATGTGGTGGCGGCCGTGGCCGGTCTTTCGGCTGCAGGATCCCGGTAGTTGGGGAGTCTTGCTGCAGGACTCCGGCTGTTGGGGCGTTCTGCTGCAGGATTCCAGCAGTTGGGGCGTCCCGCTGCAGGTTTTCGTTAGTCTGTGCTGTCTGTTGTACCGACGCTACTGGACGGTTTTGTTGAACATCACTTTCTGGTGGTTGCTTGAAACAAACGCGCATTGGAGCAGCTGTCTGTGCAGTGGTTTGGTGATCGTCAGTCTCCGCCTTTGGCTGCTGAGCTAACCCACAAAATCGCTGGGTGGTGCCGAATGCTTGCATAAAGGGATTTTGGTTTTGTGCAGCACCCTTTTGCGTGGAGCCGTGGTTGGAGATGCCTTCTTGGTGTGAAGGGTGGAAGCTTTCCTGCTGGGAGAGGTTAGGTTTATATGGTGTGCTGGGTCGTGGAGAGGCATGACTCGGTGAGATGTCCTGATGCGGGTGACTATAATATCTCGCCACTCCCTGTTGAGGCCTGGAGCTCTGCTCCACTCCGCCCTGAGAAGGACTGTAGTGTTGGCTCAGCTCTAATGGCAAGGAGTCACAGTTCGGCGTTATGCGCTGCTGAGTAGGACCGTGATTCTGTGCCGCTCCTCGCCACGGATAGCGGTGGTTCTCTGCCGCCGCCTGCTGCGTGTAGAACGGCTCGCAGCACGGCACGCGGCACGGTAGTCCCGGGTAGGTCCTCTCTCGGCAGAGGTCGGGGTCGCTCTGTCGCCACGCCAGCCGCTCAGCAGAGGGGTCGCTGGTGGCGCGGCAGCCGCACGGGCCCGTCAGCGGACAGCTGAAACGCAGCACAGTAGTCCGGCTGTCACAGCAGAACGGCACAGTGGGGCGAGACGGTGGTGGAATAATAGTAGTGACAGGCTCCACACGAAACTCGAATCCTCCTTTACTTTTTGTATCATATAGATGTGAACAGTGTTAAATGCCTGGTGGTTGCAGTGTTGGACATGACCCAACTACAGAGTAGAAGCACATTAAAGTTACTCAATTTTAGCCCCAACGTAGGTACTATAGTCTGTTCCATATCAAGCTTGCAGTTGGAGTTTCTTCGGCAGGTCGCTCCTCCGCTCAAGAATTCGCGTCTTAAAATGTAAGAGCTGTATGTACAGAAATCACGCACTTCTTTCAGCAGGGCACTTCGGCTGCAAACTTGAAACGGAACAGAGTATAGGTATGCTTATTGAATAAAATCTTATCTCAAGGATTCTGTAATGTGTATGCAAAAAATACGCCTCTTACCAGGTATCTCCTTGTTCCGTGTTCTCACATGTAAACTCTGAAAACAGCAACATGGGTAATCACTATAGCAGGTAAAACATAAGTCCGAGTGAATCGAGATTGCGCTTTTTCGTTGGCTCGCCTCTCCTTGACGAGCTTTGCGGAAGTTCGTTATGTCGTCCTGGCCCCTAAAACCGATGAATTTTGTGACGACTGACGGGCATTGAACATGAGCTTGAATAAACTCATCTCTTATATACAGTGTCCCAGAAGTCTTGAAGCTTTTTTATTTTTGTCGTGTGACCTTGCTATGCCACCGATTAAGGCGAATCATGCCTCAAACGAAAGAGAAAGAACTGAAATTTTGTATTTTCATGCGTAGAGCACCCTTTAGTCAGGTGGCCCCCGTTGTGAGTCGCACAAGATTGAGCACGAGAGATCACGTTCTTCGCTGCCGCCAAGATCTCCCGGTTTGCGAAACACCGGTGTTGCCATGCCCGTTTCTTGTCAGCTTCAGAGTCTTATTCCCTGAAGCGAGGGACATAATATTAGCGACATATATTTCCGACGGGTTGATATTTGTTTTAGCCCCATAATAATGCGACGAATCAAAGGATTACAACGGGCTGTTGCTTAGCGTGCTCAAGCAGCTGAGCCTTATTTCCGTAATGGATGCGTGCAAACATGTCAGGAGACTTTCTGATCAGTAAATCATTATGTTGCTAATGTTTTCTCGGAGATCCAATACTCTGTTTCCTGGCGGCTGGCTCGCTTCATGAAATAAGGCTCTGAAGCTGACCAGAAACGGGCATGGCGACACCGGTGTTTCGCAAACCGGGAGATCTTGGCGGCAGCGAAGAACGTGATCTCTCGTGCTCAATCTTGTGCGACTCACAACGGGGGCCACCTGACTAAAGTGGTGCTCTACGCATGAAAATACAAAATTTCAGTTCATTTTCTTTCGTTTGAGGCGTCATTTGCCTTAATCGGTGGCATAGCAAGGTCACACGACAAAAATAAAAAAGTTTCAAGACTTCTGGGACACCCTTCAGTGCTCCTTAATGTGTGACTGCTTGAGCAATGACTTAAGCAATGCTCGTCGTAGCTGTTTTTTTTTACGCTGATCTTCAGCAGGACAACCATCGGGAATCGATTTTTCTTCCACTCTCATGACGATCAGTGATTCAAATACAAGTCATGACGAACGGCAACAAAAATCGAATATTCATGTAATGACGGAGTCAATGTTCAGTGCTACCGTAATAATTGCACGGTATTATAACAAACTACTCGCACAAATCGCCGCATAGGCGACGGAACGGGGAGGGCACCGGGGCACCGTGTCCCCTTTTCATTTTGGCATTTTAACGTTAGCCCTATGGGCGTTGCATGGAAAGAATGGGACCAAAATTAGGCAGTGCCCCCCCCCCCCTTAAATGAAGGTGTTCCGCCGCTACTGCAAATCGGCAGCCAGGGGCGTCGCCACGGATTTTTGAGTGGGGGGGGGGTCGGGTTTCTAGTCTTCACCCGATGGGTAGGGTTTTTTTGCCACACTTCCCAGTTTTGTGCGTGCGTATGTGTGTGTGTGCGCGTGTAACAAATCGGCGCGCAGCGCCGCCAAATTTGGTATAACCTATTAGGTAGGTATACCTACCTACATCACTTGCGTAAAAATTATCACTGGTCACTTGGTCAGGTCGCCATGTCAAGTTCAGTTATACGGTATGCCTCTTTAAAACTTTCCCCTCTCGTCATTCTTGTAGCTTTTCTCCCATAACTTCGAAATTTGGTACACTGTATAGTGTATACCTAATGTATGGGGTTATACGTGTCAGCAATTCATGATTCTAACTGGGGATTTACATCTATGATCTGAAGGCAGGTCAAATACGTGACCTCATCATTAGAAAATAATGAGAAATTAGAAAAAGTACGAATGCCTCCTGCTTTGAAAAAGTTCGTCAGAAACACAAAATATCTTTGGAGCCATGACAAATCAGCTCATCGTTGCCAGGGACAGGGTGCAACTTATGGCGAGTGATGACTCGAAAGGTCATTAGTGGAAATGTCCATCGAGGGCCACCAGCATTTTTTTTTTTTTCTACAACTTTTGACGAAGACGCGGTAGAGCGATGACAGCACCTGGAAGGTGTTCACTGTTCAGCTCAACAACACGGATCCATTCATATGCAGCAGGAGGTCCTTTTTCGATCAGGACATAACGTTGACCTGAGGTCGTTTTAACGTTAATTCTGAATGGTCAAATTTTAACTCATGTGACGCGTCTCAAAGAGATCAACACGGTGGTGACAAGACAACCTATGTACATACCATACAAATTCACGGAATCTAAAGTTATTGCAAAGCAGATGTTTCGGCAGAATCTGTCCAGTTAGCTGTTTGCCTTCTTATGGGCCAAACATAGACCTGAGATGAAATCTAACGCGAAGCTAGCGAAAGAGCGTTAAAAGAGCTATCGAATATGTTTTCTGCTTCACTGTAGCCCTTCTATTGGTGGTTTCCCAGTCGCTAACGTATAACGTATACCTACTAAAGTAACGCTGAGGTATGCTTTCGACCCCTGATCGTTCTAGAGGTTTTCGGAAAAAAGAGCATGCTGCCCGTGACGAGAGAAAGCCGATGATACCCATTTACAAGGTTTCGGGTCATCGCAGGACTCAGGTCATCGCCAATAAGTAGAGAAACTCGGGACCTGCTAGAACTTAATTAGGTTAGGTTAGGTTAGGTTAGGTTAGGTTAGGTTAGGTTAGGTTAGGTTAGGTTAGGTTAGGTTAGGTTTAACGAATGTAAGTTGTGATGGTTTTTCGAGGTTCTGATTACGAATGTTATCTTAGTTTTGAACGAAGATGATGACTCCATGCATTTGGGGTAGATCAGGTCAGGTCAGATCGACCAGTACCTACCTAAAAGTGGATGACCACCACCGATTGCTTCCTAACATGTTATAAGCAACACAACTACTTCTTAAATGCTCAGATGGGCGCTAAGTTCAAAATCAGCTCCAAAAACTACCCTATAAATTAAAAGCATGTTATGAAAAAGTGAACTAAGGTCATCTTTATTTGAATCAGGGATATCGATTTATTTTTAAGTAGTTGATTAACTCGAGCGCACCGGAAGTTTTGTTGCAATCGGCTCCTTTTTGCGCGACTTCTTTGCGAAAGCCCGAGACGGTTCCATCTGACTCCCTTTCCCCTACATGTGCACTGTACAGCTAGGTATGATGGTAGCCATGGGGCTGAGGCTAGTTTGTAGTTTTGTAGTTACGGGTACTGATCCGACGAATCGACTGCGACCATTTTTTTTTTTAAACGATCAGACGAACGCTCGGGGCAGTTTTGGCGCGTCCAATCCATTGAGGGATAAAAAGGTACTAGAATGGGGGCTACTTAAAAACATTGTTGTGCTGGTGTTCCCCGCCCACAGCTAATTGACCTTTAGCTAATTGGCTAATTAGCTTTAGGGAGCTCTTGAAGAGATTCTGAATCTGATGTATTTGTTGGTGTTGCTGACGCCTGCTTCACTGACATAAAAGCTAAAAAAGCATACTCAACATCGCAAAAAGTGGGGGGGTCGACACCCCCAGTTTTCAAGAGTGGGGGGGTCACGACCCCCCCGACCCCCCCGTCGGCGACGCCCCTGTCGGCAGCAAACGTCTGCCCTCTCGTCTTTCGCCGCGGTCACCTGAGTAATGCGGAACAGTCTACATCCAGGCGCTGGATGCTCCTGCCATCTAGCGGCCGCAGATTGAACTTCTACCGTGTATGCGGCACAGTCTACATTCAGGCGCCGGATGCTTCTGCCATCTAGCGGCCATTGATACAACTACTACTAAAATGCGGCACATACCACATTTAGGCGATGATGGCTACTGCCATCTGGCGGCCGCATATGTAACTTCTCATGGCCATGCGGTACAGTCTACATTGAGGCGCAGATTGCGGTTGCCATCTAGCGGCCGCAGATTGAATTACTAGCAGTAATGCGGCACACTCTACATTGAGGCGCAGACGGCTGCTGCATCAAGCGGTTGCAGTCTGACTCAGTGAGTCTGCAGTTGGATCTACTTCCCTCATGCGGCATAGTTTGTACTCAGGCGCCGGTGGTGATTGCCATCTTAACTGCGAACTACCGTCGATCGTGCGATAGCCTCACGACTCGCGAGCAATGTATGTACGGCCCTCCAGCAAAAGGGTGGTTGGTTAGCCTAAGCCTATATGTCCTTTTGATGTAATAACTTTGAATGACAGAGACACTCCTATAAAATGACTCAATAGAAATGAGAAGAGGGTTCGTGCACACACTTCAGCAATGGTTTTCAACAGCCATTAGACGTATTCATCAATGCAGATCGCTTATTGTGATGTTGGCAACCAACCACTAAATACCTGGAGGGCCGTACACTATAGGACATGCAAGTATTAGAATGGTGATATAGGACACTGGATATTGGTTTATTTTATTCATTCAATTATTTGCCATGATCACCAACAGAGAGATTCTCCCCTAACAGGTGAAGTCAGGTGAAGCAAATCTAAAGTGAATAGGTTCCATTTGGTAGGTACCTTCAAATAATGACAGTGATTCCAATGACGAGAATAACTCACGCGGGGCGGCGATGGGCTGCCGAAGGAACCTCTGGACGGCGGTGGCTCTCTGCTGGCGGCGCAGCAGCAGAGCCGTCTGGCGGCGACTCTGCTCAACTAGGGCCTCCAGGTGGCGCTGGACCTGCACCGTCCTGTGGCACGGCACAGAGGGCACATCGGAAACAGAGAGCAACCTGTCTGAATAACCTCAAATATAACACCTAATATACAACTTCTATAAAAATGCAGTTCACAGGATCGACTAAATGCATGCATGACTTAGTGCAGCATTGTATGGCTTCGTGTATGTTAACATAAACAGGATGTCAATATTGTTTAACATTTTACCTCGCTGCTGACAACAAGTAATCAAGAGCTTATTTATCATAAAATTCCGATCATAAAGTACCTACTACCTCTTGAGTCAAATGGCTAGAATTTTTCATGCTCAAACCACACAATCTTTTTATCTCATGTCAAACGAACTCAGGTAGTGGAGGGGCAATTAATTAAGCATCACCGTGCACATTTTCATCCAATAAGCCTCGTAATTTCACTCTGTATCTGACGGAAGGGCGGCACCATACCGACGTCGAAGGCGGCTCTCCTGGGAGCTCTGGCGGGTCCTGGCCACGTCCGATGGGTCACACGCGAGCTCCGGCAGGGAGCGTGAGAGCGACCAGCACTTCCTGAAAACGGGTACATTATGAAGTAGTTAAACCTGTACCCACCTTGTTATTACCTGCATAAGTGTTATAAATAGGATTTGCCTTTCCCGTCTAATCCGCTCTAACCCGGCAGGCGGTGGGCCTACCAGCCACCTTCCGCGCGGTGGGGGGGGGGCACTTTTTTGCCCCCCCCGTATCTCCGAAACTACTGGACGGATCCGGAAAATTCAAACGGCGTTCGATAGCCCTGTCAAATTTGTCGAGGGAAACCAAATTTCATTGACCTCGGGGTCACTGATGACGTCACAGGTCAGGTCAAAGATAAAATGTTTCACCGTTCACGGGGCTTCTAGGGAAAGCGCTATAACACCGAGTAAAACGCATTTTGTCGAAAATCAGCGATAAGGCGCCAGTTGTCTAGTACATATGTTGCTATTAGAGGTCACTGGTCATACCAGGTCAGGTCACAGGTCAGGTCACCAAAGGTCACCAAGGGTCACCACATGAGCCCAACTTTACTAAGGTTATGCGATGCATGTTTTATGGCCAGTTTTTCATTTCCAACTCAATGGTGTTGGTTATAAGACCATCAGGTACGATTTAGGTCACTTTCTGGTGGAGGTCAGGTCAAGGTCAGGTCAAAAAAGGTCAAATTTCAAAGTTGATATTTTTGCATAAAATGGGTATCGATTCGATGCAGCTCGTCACGGGGAGTCTAATGGTGGTCTTTGTTTTGCGCTACGAGGTCTAGAATTGCTAAAAATTGAGTTTGAAAATTTGACGTCATCAATTTTGAACAGTTTTTTCGCTATAACTTGGCCAAAAAAAGAGGTATCGATCTCAAATTTGGTATGTAGATAGAAGGCGGTAGGGGCTATCACATATATTCCGGTTTTTTTTTGAAATTCAAAAAACTTTTTGGATTTTTTGGCTATTATATTCAAAAAATCTATTTTTTGATTTTTGAGGGTCAAAATCCAAAAAATTCGAAAAACCGAAATAGCAGTTTTGTAGCTCTTTTAATTCCACACCTTTTACGTCTAAAACATTTTTCTGTATCTCTAAAGCTGTAGGCCTGACAGCTCTTCCCGCGAAACCTTTTTTTGGGTCGAAAATGGCAAAAATGACGTCACTCTGACGTCATTAGCGGCCAACCTATCGTAGCCTTTGGAAAAATTTTTGGTCACCATGTGTGCTAGCTGCTCACGGGAGGGTACTGAAAGTTTGGTGACGATCGGCGCAGCGGTTCTCGAGATATATCGAAAAAACTAAAGGGGGGGCAAAAAATTGCCCCCCCCCACCGCCTGGAAGGCTAAAAAAGTTCACTTCTCTAAATAATGAGTGCTCTTTAGTGTCACCAATCGATTCGCATTCGGTAAGTAAACTATTTTCCTAATTAAACCTAAGCAATTGACACAATCTCACCGTTTCTGTTTGCTAGTAGGCTGATCTTGCTTCCTCAGGCTTTTGAACCAAAGTTCTGTCTCCTTAAACATAGCTGCCATCCCTCGACCGCGGGACGGTAGCTCTTCTCCCAGTATTGCTGCCTGCCAGACGGTAGGAGGTGCTGATCCGCTTCCCAGGCGCTCCCTATCAGACTGTCCTGGAGGCTCTGACTGGCGCTCAGGTGCTCTCCTATCAGACGCTTCCTCTTGGACCCCTGTAGACACACTGTCTCGGCTCCTCTCCCGGCCTGTCTGGGATGAGGGCTGATGAAAGGTATCGAGCGCTGAGATTGCGCTCGTAATGAAGCTTGGATAGGTACGGACCGCCTTCCTCCTTCATCGACCCAGTATCTCGTCGTAATAAGACCTCATCAATACCCGTGTTATGACCAGACTCGTCTTCATAATTCAATTTCTAATATAAAGGACTCGTCTCTCCGGAATATTTAACAGATAAATGTAAGTCATCACCAACGGTGATCTAAAATGTGCGAGACTATACGAGTATTATTGTGCACAGCACATGTCGCAGCATTGTATGGCTTTCAATGTGTGTTCAATGTGTTCAATGCCATGTACTTACATACATCTACCTCCAATGCTATTTCCTCTCGATTTTACTAAGTCACTTATAAATCTAAATTCTGAAATTCGACTGAGAAATCAGAATTGAGCCAGTATCTTACCTACGCATGATTTACCCCGTTTCGACTGCAATTAGGCACTTGAAGAAAGGTTTGAAAAGTTGGGTGCATTGCTTTTTGGGGTTTAGTGAACACCTTATTCACGAGAATTAGCGATCGCTTGAAATAAACGAAAAACAATGGTGATAAATCACAACAAAATGTGACGCACTTCAAAATCACTTGTCAAAACACTCCAACGTTGTCCGCGGATAAAACAACTTTCATCAGATTTATAGCTAGCTGATTTCGATCATACGAGTACTTTGCCTGAAGTTTATCGATTGACATTATGCGTGTAATGAAACAATTGAAAATTTGAGTTAAATTGCTTAAATTATTTGTAGATATTTTCAACAATCTGTAGTCATTTGTGCCACCAATACTGTCAAATATATTACCATTGTGATGTTTTCATAATAACAGCGTGAGTAGCCAGCGCCAGGCGCTTCAGCTGTGACCGATCAACAGTTTCCATGGAGACGATAGATTAGCAGCGGAGCCACGTGACCTGGGCAACAAAACTGGACGCGCAGTGTCGTATGGTACCGTCGTGATAGTGCATACTAGTGAAAGGTCTTTGTAGTATGAATAACTATCTGGTAATTGCTAAATAACCGTGTGAGTTGTAAAGACCAGCGCTAATCGCTTAAAATTCATTGTGATTGAGGCTCTGGACGACGTGAATAGCAGTAATAGAGAACAGAAGCTAAACGAAATTTAACTCGCTTGCCGATCAAGATGGGGAAGAAAGGTAAGAAGGGAAAGAAGGGTAAGAAGAAGGAAAAGAAAGAGAAGGACATGACTGAGGTCACAAAAGAGATGTTCGAAATCACTGTGAAGGACCTCACAGAAAAGCTGGAGCGCTGCCGCTCAAAATGTGCAACCCTGGAGGAATCCAACACAGACCTCTCGAACCGCTACAATCAGCTGTCGACGGACCTAGCTGACGTCATCAGCTTCCTGAAACTGCGCCTGGAACAGAAGCGTGACGAGCTGGTCGAGCTGACGGAGCGGCTGGAGGGTCTGGACGCCATCCGCAACCAGGAGCAGCAGGAGTGTCGAGAGATGAAGGACAAACTGGAGGGCGACATGAAGCGCATGCAGTCGGAGCTGACCGCCGAGGTGCAGATGCTGACCACCAAGCTGACCTCCCTAGAAGAGTTCCGCCGGATGCGGGAGAAGCTGTTCGCCGAGAAGAGCGAGCTGGAGCAGCAGTTGGAGCAGCAGCGACAGGACGCCGAGGAGCGTGTCTACCAGGCCAACCGGCAGCGCGTCATCGACAGCGACCAGCTGCAGAAGGACTGCGTCAAAAACATCGCCACCGTGGCGCAGGCGTTCCAGGAGGCCACCCGGCAGCGGGTCAACCAGACCACCCACCGCACACTGCGCGAGAACATCTGTCTGACCGCGCAGATGGCCCTGATCGCCGATAAAGCGCGCCACCTCGACTCGGACAACGCGTCACTGCGCGCCAGGGCGGTGGAGAACGGCCGCGTGCTGAGCTCGCTGGAATGGAGCGAACAGTCGCTGGTGAGCGCCACGCGCCGGCACGAGCAGGAGCTGGCGCGGCTGCAGGACCGGAACCGGGCGCTGACGGAGGAGGTGCAGCAGCACAGCCAGGTGGCCGGCCAGCTGGAGCAGCAGCAGTGCCGCGTCAGGAAGCTGGAGGCGCGCCTGTCGCAGCAGCAGGGCCTGCTGGAGGAGGCGGCCGTGGTGCGCACCGAGCAGGCGCTGCTGGTCGAACGGCTCTCTGAGGAGCTCCAGCAGGAGACCGAGCTGCGCGCGCGCCTCCAGACGGTGGTCACACACGCCGGCAGCGTGGTGCGCCGCGCGCTGGCCGTGACGCCGGCCGGCACCGGCGGCGAGCCGCGGCGTGGCCTGCTCGAACAGCTGCTGACCGTGCTGACTACAGCAGCTCTGCGCGACCAGCAGCACCGGCTGCGGCCGCTGCCGCCACCGCCCGTCAACCAGCTGCCGCGCAGCCTGCGCACCGGCGCGCTAGGCATCACCCCCGGCGGTGACGGTGCCCTCCGACTGAAGAGGACGGACAGCCTCATCCGGGAGCTGGAGGAGGTGGCGGCCGAGTTCCGCGACCAGTGACCGTCTTTTTTGCGTAGTAATGATATATTCACAGCCAAGATCAAGCCTTGAACCAGGGCAGAATCAGGACAAGACCCTAGATTAATCTTAGCCTAGAAATGCATGATCACCTCAGACTGAATGGTCTCAACTATTGCTTTTTGTAGCTCTCAATGAGCAGAAATGCAACGGCGAAAATTATCTGCTGTTTTTGTCACCATCACATCTACAGCGTGTGAATATTGAAACCTGCGACCTGCCTATGTGCCTATTGCATAATCTTTTATGTAAGCTCCACAGTCCACAGTGCCCACTCTGCTTGCGGCGATGTTAGGCTGTTCCGCAATGCACGGAGATATTGCGGCACAGACGCTCCAGTCCGTCTATGAAGCACGGACAGATGCGTAACAATCATTCGGAGTTCTTAGATTCTAAGGCATCCACAAATTTATGTGCATGGCGCTGGTGGACAAATTACTGGAAACCTGCATTTTATCGCACGGCTCCGTCATGCATCATTAGCAACATGCCTTGGCCAGTGATCATCAGTCATTCTTCGTTCTAGTTTATTTACAAGCAAAACTATGCCATTCCACATACTGTATCCCGACTTTGTCGCCCTCGATGTCTCTAGCAGGCCTGGTAGGTGACTGTGGCCTTGTCGGTGACCGGCGGGCCGGTGTAGCAGAACCTCTGAGTGGACACCTGCAGGCTGCGGTTGGCCGTGCTGACGCGCAGGGCGGCGGCGCTGAGCGTCTTCTGCTCAGTGCCGTGGTGGTCGTGGTAGGTGACGTCGACGGAGGTCAGCGCGCCCAGAGAGACAGGCGTGTGGATGGTGGTGCGCCGCTCGGCGCCGGCAGTCAGGTCCACGTGGTCGCTGTGGAAGAGGGCAGAACGGTGAGGGACAGTGAGAACCAAAGGGTCACTGAGGCCAGAACAGTGAGGGGAGGGAGGAGATGTGAGGGGTAAAAATGGCGGAGGAGTGCAAAGGAGTGAGGGATGTTGAGAAAAGGGGCGGCTGATCGGAGCGTAGCAAACAACACGAACGACTGTTTATTTTGACGAAATCATTGAACACATAAAGCTAGGAGCTTCTAGCAGCTCTTTTTACCATTTAAGTAACGTAAAATGTGCCTTGTTCTCACCTCCATGCGGGCAGTCGGTCAGTAGAGCCCAGCTCTCCGTTGAGCACAATCACCATGTTGCCGACGGTATCCTCCTGGTCAGAGTTCAGCTCCACCGTCAGCTCGTAGTAGTTGACTGAAAACATTACAAACGTGCGTAAGCATAAAAATAATTAGGCAAGTATATTACACTCTAATCCATTATGTTTTACAAATAGGAAGCAGACTGTAAATGTGGCTGGCTGTCTCACTAACCGCAGAGCGCCTCGTTGACGGCCGTGGTTTGCAGGTAGTAGGAGCCGTTCAGGTTCATATCGATATTCTCCAGCCCAATCAGGCCCAGCGTCGGGGTGTTCATGGTCTGGCAGGTGCCCGCCAGGTACTCGTCGTAGTCCGAGCACTGGAAGGCCAGGAAGCTGCAGCTCTGCTCCCGGAGAGACTCGACGAAAATCTGGTGCGAGCGGGCGTGAGAGCAGCCAAGCAGGCCGGCCGCCGCTGCTCGAGAGGAGACGAGGCCCTCGTTAGACTAGAGAAGTGAGGTGGCACCGTTTAAGCACAAGTAAATTTTGTTAAAGATTCATAGGTTCAGCCTTTTGCGGCAGTCCTTTGCCTTAGGCATTAATTATTTGGGGAAAAATAGTTGAAGGCCTTGCGTTATCATGGCGGTATCAACAAACTAGAACAATTTTTGCAACATCCAACGCAATATTTCACGGCTGTGAAAAGATGAATGCTTAAAAATCCACCACTGATCGTACCAACAAAGTCGAGAGTCTCCAGATCCCAGATGAGGCCCTCGATCTCGGCGTCCAGGTCACCGCAGCCCGGCTGGTTCTTGCCGTCGTTGGGGAAGAAATCCACGTGGCCGTTGGCCTGAAACAGTGATCACTGAGAGTAGAAACCGGAACATTTGTGATAGGTATCAGCATTCAACAACAAGAACCCCAGATCTCTGCCTATTTACTGTCCCACCGGATACCGTGCGCTCTCTGACCTTAGTGAAGCCGGCGCCGAGGAAGGCCATGCTGCGGCCGTCCGAGTGGATGATGTCCACGTACTGGGCGTCAGTCGGGTCCAGGTGCACAATCACATCCGTGTCCTCAAAGTATGGCTCGGCGGGGTCCAGACCTGGCGCACGAGCACACAACGGCTCAAAGGGCTGAGCCGGGTGGACACTTATGAATATAACCACGAACGAGACATTTATTAATTAACTACGATGAAGGCCAAACAACTTTATTGGACATCGCTTGCATTGCATGGATTGTGAAAACGGAGAGACCGGAACTTTAACCGTTGTTTTTAAAACTTAATCGCACAAGCTACATCACCACGATATCCACAAAGTTGCTTGTTGGCGACCGCCGATCTAGGATCGCCCCTGCACCTGTGATGCGGCCGAGGCCCTCGATGCCGTTGCCGGCGTATCCGCAGATGTGCGCTCCGAGCGAGTGGCCGGCCAGGTGGAAGTCGGCGGCCGAGGCGCCGGCGCTGATCATCTTGTTGACAAGCAGGGCGATCTGCCGTCCCACCAGCTGCGTGTTGGCCGTGGCCTGCAGGTACGGGATGCTGGCGCCGTCCCGCCAGTCCACAATCACCACGTTGTAGTCGCCCTGGCACAGAGAGAAGGCAAAGAGAGTCAGAGGAGCCTGGCCAGAGAGAATAGGTACCGCTACAAACATCAAGCATAGTATTCTTCTATTTCTATGCACGCTACATCGAAACTAAACTATATAACAACAAAGTTTTGCTATTTTAATGAATCTCGCACAAAATGTCAAGAAATTTACACTCGAGTAACACATTTTCTTTCATGGCGATGTGGCGCACCTTCTTGAGCAGGAGATCCTTGGACTCGACCAGGAACGATGTATCACCAGCGTCGTTAAATCCGTGGGTCATGATCACCGTCTTCCGCGAGGGGTCAAAGTCTCCCAGATCATCACTGTTGTAGAACACTTCCTTCTCGCCAGCGTTTCTGCAGAGCAACATCACAAACATTAAATCGCATTTATCACAACAGTGCACTGGTTAATCTTTACAGGAAACCTGTTAATGGTATACTTTCAGAGTCTCAAGAGAAAAGCCTGTATTTTTTATTTAAATGATGGCAAATATTTCGACCCCCATTGAGGAGCCTTTTTCAATGCGAAATTACATGGAATAGTAAACGTTCTTCGCACTGTCTTCGAATAGTTCTTTGCACTGTCTGCATCTAACTTACTATTCGAACAGAATCCGTCTGTCTGTCTGTTTGTGTGTCCGCACTTGGTCTCCCCAATATATTGCAGTTCGCAGTTTTGGTGAAATTTTCGGTGACATGGGGTCAGTTATCGGCGCGTGGAGGTCAAACGGTTGCGAGGAGGTGGCTGAAACTTGCGCACCGCGTAGACGACGCTTCGGGCGTGTGCCTTTGCTGGGTCTGCAGTCGGTGGGGTGCACGGTTTGCGCGTGGCGCGCGCTGGAAGAACGCCAAAGAAATTTTGATCGGTTCGTAGATCTTCATTGAGAGCCGGGGTCGACAAACTTTGTGAGCTAAATGCATGCCGATCGGTGGCGGGTGCCTCGCATTGGCGGATGGGCAAGTTTTTAATTTGAATAAAAAAATGGCCAGAGAATATGCTGATTTTGGTTCAATGGGAAGAGTTTGTAATACAACTATATAAATGCACCGCGTTTGCCGCAATGCGTCACATTTGTCCCAAGGCTCCATCTTCGTCGCAAATCGCACAGCTTTGTCAAATACGGTCCGATAGGGGTGCAATTTGGTGCCAGGATGCATGCTCAATCGCCGGGTGAAAATGCGCCGCGTTTGTCGCAATGCGCCACATATGCCACAAAGCGCCATTTCCGACAAATACGATTAAGCGTAATGGAATGGCACGGATAGGGGCAGGGCTGGGAACACTTTAAGTCTACTATTTTAGTACTGATTGAATCCAATTATTCTGTGACCTGACATGACCCGGCGGTGTTGGTAGGGGTAGGGGTAGGGGTAGTGGTAGTGGTAGTGGTAGGGGTATGGTAGGGGTAGTGTAGTGGTAGGGGTAGGGGTAGGGGTAGGGGTAGTGGTAGGAGTAGGAGTAGTAGTAGGGGTAGTGGTAGTGGTAGCGGTAGCGGTAGTAGTAGGGGTAGTGGTAGGTGTAGTGGTAGGGATAGTAGTAGGGGTAGTAGTAGTGGTAGGGGTAGGGGTAGTGGTAGTGGTAGGGGTAGGGGTAGGGGTAGTGGTAGTGGTAGGGGTAGTGGTAGGGGTAGTGCTAGGGGTAGTGGTAGGGGTAGTGGTAGGGGTAGGGGAAGTGGTAGGGGTAGGGGTAGGGTAGTGGTGGAGGCAAAAGCAGAACAGTGGCCCGGGCTGATCCCAGCTGGACGAGAGGTGACCTATGTGACCTGGCCTGACCCAAAGTGACCGGGGCTGACCCCTTTGACCCGTATTGACCCCGTATCACCCAAATTTCATCCAACAACGCCCTCAGAACAGTTCTTTTTTAAATTCTCTTCACATTTCCGTCCATATCTATGCTTCTAGACAACACATCGACATGAATCAAACACCATTCGAAAGCAAATTGGCTGGTGCCGCAATTTTTTCCTACCACGCAGCAAAGCAAGTGGCGCAGCCGCTTGTCTATATTACTATTTGAGGTGACGTAGTTTCTGTCTATTACGAAGGTCGCGACATGGTGCTGCGTAGCGCGGGTTACAGGTCACACCGTTGCACCTACCGCGCTGAAGTTTGCGCAACTCATAGAACAAGGATGGACAACGTGCCTTTGATGGGTCTCAGCTCGATCGGATCGATAGCGAGCGCGTGGCGCGTGCCCAAAAAGTGCAAATTCGCGTCATAGACTTTACATGTATTAATCGGCTGGCAAAAACGGGCGAAAACAGCCAAATTTGCCCGACACGGGTCCGGTCCCGGTGCAATATCTCGGTAACCGTGGGCCCGACCGGTACGGGGAAAACAGCATCGTGTAGAGAATCGAACGGGCTATCGAATGGTGTGCGGTGCAGGGGTTGGCACGCGCCACGTGCACCGGGGAGGACACTTTCTTTTGAAAAATGGACGTTTTGGACGGATTTTGGAATTTATATTAATTTCAGGTGATCGTCAGACGGAATGAGTTGAAACAGCGCCTATTAGCAATAAAAATGTACCGTCTCTCATGGAAAAATTGTGAAAAGCTAATTGATCAAAAACAATGTGGAAAAAATCGCTGAATTAAATGGTATTTGTCCAAAATGTGCCACTAAATAATTACACGGATTTTGCTGCTTAACCTGATACGTTTGACAATTGAAAATGCTATCATTGGAAAGAGCATTCAATTCTCTCCAAGATCCAATCATCACGTTTGCATGACAAGCAACAGTATTCTAAAAAATATAAATGTTTCAAACCTCTGCAAAACGATTTTTAGTGAAAATTATCTACGCCTTTAATTTGTCATAAAACTACGCGCCTAAATTATAAAGCACATTTGACAGATTCTGAAGTGGAAAGCATGCTTATCAGACACGGGCACCTCGATGCGGTGGATATTTTTTCCTTCTTAAAAAGCTTTAAAAAAAAAAGCTTAAGTTTTTCTGTAATTATCGCTGACGAAGCTCCAGGAGCGAAATATTCGATAACTTTAAATATAACCTTTTGGCTCCTATTTCTGATTTATAATATGAGGTTACTGGTTATTCTTATATTATTAGGATATTTTTTCCACAAACCAAAACGTTTAGCCGTCAAAAAGCAATCGACCGAAATGGATAGATAACCCAACCGACACAAGAACAACCGAACACCCGCCGATCGAAAATATCCCTTTTCGCGTTGCGGAGCACGCGGGTCACCCTAGTCGTTTACTATTCCATGTAATGTCGCATTGGAAAAGGCTCCTCAATGGGAGTCGAAATATTTGCCATCATTTAAATAAAAAATACAGGCTTTACTCTTGAGACTCTGAAAAGTACACCATTAATTTATCAACCTGAGTAAAAGTATTTAAGATGACTTTTAAGTCCCAGGAAACCTGTTGTTGAGATGCTTATTGTTACGAGTCCAACCTCACTGAATGCAAAGAATTTTAAGACAGCTTGCAATAAATTTTAGGTATGTAAATGCGAAAATACTTAAGTAGCGTTACATACTAAAATAAATTTTTAGCATGTCCTGATGTGTCACCTGGTGTGAAGCAGGAGCCGGGTGCCGACGTTCGCAGGCGGCTCGGGCAGGTTGGGCATCGGCCGTTTGGCATCGGACCACGGATAGTCGGTCGTAAAGCAGCCCACATCCTCGTAACACACGTCGTCTGGTGACGTCCGCGGCCGTCAATATGTGACAGATATTGCCGTACTTATACAGAGAACTAAGGCCCTCCATAACACTTCCACTTCCACGCACTAGTCTCGTCAAGATATAACCTTGCAGATAGCATGTCCTACCATCTGATCATCTGATTCTCGATCTACTCACCGGCGCGGGCCACCCCGATGCAGAGCAGGAGGCCACAGAGGCCGAGTGCCGTGGATCCCATGGTGGCTGTCGCTGCGATGTGACCGCCGGGCGGTGTTCAGACTGACTGCACGGTGGCCGGAGTGGTGTGACCCTCGCCAGCGGCCCAGGTGTGCCAGTCCCAGCCCGTGCACCCCCGATAACAACGGGATGCGCTGACGCAGATCCGCTGCTCGTGGCGACCGAGCCAGCCGCGATACTTTTTGTATGGGCTCTGTCCGTCTCTTATCTTGGAGACGCTTTTTTGTATGGTTTACTGCTAGTGATATGTTAGAGAATAAAGCACTCAACTCTGCGCTCTCGACTCTTGAAACAGAAAGATGTGCGGCATAGAAAACTATGACCCGCTTTATATTCTATTCTGCACTTCTGTGAGGCCCGTCACAGTCAATTGCAATACACTCTAAAGGCAATGAATTGTAATACACCTCTCTATGAACCCCGGCTACTAATTTGCTACGGCCATTATCTCCATAGTTCTTGAAGAATGAAATTCGCATAATTTTTCGATGATTTTCCCGACAACTAATTATATCGCCATTATGACATAAGAACCGTTTTGCGTAGATCCTACCAGTTCAGTTTTTACTCAGAATGACAATTTACTGCAGTTTCTATATTTGCAGTACTTTGCATTACAATTGCAATGGGAAAGAAACAGAAAACAATGCACCATAAAGTAACAGAATATGCTTCAAACTTAACACATTCAAAGGATTATGCATAACATAATGACATAAATACTTTCAATTTGTATTCTGGGACGTCTGATATGCTGGACAATCTGGTACAGATAAAATGTAAACTATAAACACAGAGTGACATTTTCAGTTTCCTGCACGTTTTGTCTCCGGTTCCCATCCGTTTCCCCGTTCCGCAGTAGATATGTTCCATCCCCGGTGCGCTCGCTCAGCGCGGGCAGCAGCCCCTGCGTTTGTCCTGGTTCAGCATGGCCAGTCGTTTGGTGCCGTCCTCTGCCGGCTCCTGCAGCGCCATCGAGAGCCGCTGCTGCTGCATGGTCATGGCCGGGTCGAACTGCACCGTGCTGCCGTCCTGGAACTGCAGCGTCGCCGGGCCCGGGTCCACCGACTCCTTCTTGCCAAACACTCGCTGGAAGACGCTCTTGCGCGGCTGCTGGGTGGCGCCCATGCTCTGGGCGCCGAACCCGCCGGCGTACGGGTCAATGTAGCTGGGCGCCGCGCCGATACCCATACCCATACCCATACCGGGAGCCATGCCCGGCTGCATCTGACCGGGCATGCCGTACATGGGCATGCCCATCATCTGCGCCTGCGGGACGGAGACGGTGGCCTGGAAGGCGCTCAGGTTAGCTCGGAACGCCACCTCGCGCAAGCGCTGGTTCTCGTTGCGCAGAAACTGCACCTCCTGCTGGTCCATGGAGCGGGCGCCCCGCTCGTTGGCGCACCGCTTCTCCACGTCAATTATCTGCGGGGCAGGACAGCGGGCAGAGGAGCTGAGAGACAAACGACACATTTCAATGATGACATGATGCTAGAGAGTCTGATAATATGGACGATATTGTATTGTTTATGAAGAGATCATTTTTAACTCCACTAGGACTATCTAACGTGTTGTGCTGTCGGTTACACAGAGCTATATGGCTCACAGACACCATCCGCGCAGCGCCCGGCTCTGACCTGCTGTGCGGCCATCCGTAGTCGCGTGCAGAGCTCGGGCGCCTTGACCATGTCCTCGTTGAGCGTCTGCAGCAGCTGCGTGATCTGGACGGAGGCCTCGCGCATCATGCCGCAGTCGCCGACGGGCAGGTTGGAGAGGTCCAGCTCCAGTCGCTGGATCGTCTCCCGCAGGTCGCCGTTCTCCTGCTCCATCTGCTCCATCCGCTCCCGCTCCTGCTCCAGCATACTGCGGATCTCCTGAAAACGGGGCATAGGTCGAGTTGTCGATGGAGCTGTTATTGTTTGCTTCATTAAGTATTGATTTAGGGTCAACGAAAAAAGGTGTTTTGAGCTCAGTCAATTGCGATGCTCTTGGATGCAAATGACTCGATTATCGTGCACTTCATAATAAAAAAAAAACTAAAATGCTGGAACGAGCACTGGTTAAGGAGTCACTTGAACTAACGAGACTGTTAGTGAGATAGTCTAGAAAAACACAACGAACATCTGATCGCAAGAATAATCACAAATGCATAGTCAAGGGCGGATCTAGGGGGTCGTTTTGGGGGGGGTCACCAGTCGGCCGACATACCAGGTCTGGTGAATGAATTCTGACGACCGGGGGGGGGGGGGGGGGGTAGGGAGCGAGTATGTCGAGATCAAAAAATGACATTTGATCTTCGTCGTTTATAAGATGAAGTTTTATCGTAAGTCACTCGGCTCAGTAGTTTTAGTTAGTGAAACCCACCTATATAGGAGCGTCGCCACGGATTTTTTACTGGGGGGGGGGGGGAGGCGGGTCGACCGACTTAAAAACCCAGAAGTAGATATAGTTACCTCACTTTTAGCCTAATGCATTAGTAAATAGTAGCATACAGTCACGATCTCTCTTATTGACCTGTGTATGAATCGGCGGCGCGAAGCGCCGCAAAAATTTGCAAAAAAAAGTTGTCAAAACACAGCTCTAAAACACAAATATTACAACCTTTTTAGCATGCTAGTACAAGCCGGAGTTCCTTCACAGTACACATATGAATTCCGATTCAATTTGACACGGTTGGTGTTATTACAGTCACTGTTATTTCTCTCTTATTGATTGGTGTATAAATCGGCGGCGCGAAGCGCCGAGAAAATTTGCAAAAGAATGTGTCGAAACACAGCTCCAAAACACAAATTTTACCACCCTTTTAGCATTGCAGTACAAGCCGGAGTTCCTTTACAGCACACATATGAATTCTGATTCAATTTGACACGGTTGGTTTATGTAATTACAGTCAAGATTTCGTATTGACCTGTACGTATGTACATAAATCGGCGGCGCGAAGCGCCGCGAAAAATTTGCAAAAACATTTGTCAAAACACAGAGGGGGCCTCCTCTCTACAGAGGACCACCGATCTCTACTGCGGGCCTCCTCTTTTCACAGGGCCTCTTAACTACAGAAGCTACAGGGCCTCCTCTCTACAGAGGGCTTCCTCTCTACTGAGGGTCTCTCCCTTTAAGAGGGCCTCCTTTACAGAGGGCCTCCTCTCTTCAAAGAGCCAGAGGACCTCATCTCTGCAAAGGGCCTCCTCTCTTCAGAGGGCCTCTTCTCTACAGAGGGCCTCCTTTCTTCAGAGGGCCTCTTCTCTACAGCGGGTCTCCACTCTTCAGAGGGCCTTCTGCATTCAGGCGGTCTCCTTTCCACAGAGGGCCTCCTCTCTACACAGGGCCTCCTCTCTACATAGAGCCTTCTCTCTACAGCAGGTCTCCTCTCTACAGAGGGCCTCCTCTTTAAAGGGGTCTCCTCTCTACAGGGGGCCTCCTCTCTACTGAGGGCCTCCTTTCTACAGAGGACCTCCTCTACAGAGGGCCTCCTACCTACTGAGGAGTCAGAGGGGCCCTAGCGGTCAGACACAGACACTAGCGGTTATTCACTGGAGGCCCCAGGAAGTAAGAAGGGCCCTAGCTGTCAGGCTGGTCAGAGGGCCCTGAATGTCCTGACGTGATTTTTGGGATTCCCGTGAATTTCTTTCGCCTCAGACGTGATTTTGACCTGCCAGGGCCCAGGGGCACTAAAAGTAAAACAAACAAAATAAAAAATGAAAATAGGACATCACCAAAATTAAGTGACCGAAATCCGTTGAGTTTTTAATTTTGCGTATAGGTAGGGGCACCACGAATTAAATTCATGACCATCCCCTTGGAGTTTTCCTGGATCATCCCCTGGTGCTCGCACGGTTGAGACAAAAACGAGTAAGATTCTGGTCTTCAATACGCCTTTTCACGCAACACGATCCAGAAAAACAAAGGTATTAGCTCAGAAGTGTTTGACAGGTGATTTTGAGCATGCAAGACGGCGTCTATAGCGCATTTAGGTCTTCGGCTTTTGGGGGGGGTCAAATGACCCTCTCAGACCTTTTGGGGGGGGTCATGACCCCGTGGACCCCCCCCAGGATCCGCCAGTGTGCATAGTCTCGCGCATATCATGAACTGGTGCATAATTGGCGACTGTGCGATTCCGCTAACCTCCTGGTCGTTTTCGTTTTGTTTCTGCGTTTCCTCCAGCTCGTAGATCCTCTCTTGCATGGTTTGTTTTTGTCCGGTGGCCTCGGCTAGGTCCTGCTGTAGCTGCTGTAGCTGACGGTCAGACTCAAACGCCGGCTGAAACGAAAACAACATGGTTCAATCTTATTTCATGCTAACCCTCGCTTAGCGTGATTAAATAAATCGTTCCCCGCTTTTTAATGCATATTGCATATGTCATTTAGTAAACGAGCTTTCTATAACACTTTTCTTTTTCGATAATGTTCTCTTTCGTTTCTTTCCTTACCTGGCTCCGTGTGCTGGAGAAGAAACTATTGCAGCGACAGCGGCAGGTGTCAGCGGAGCGGCGGCGGGGAGGCGCGGCCCGACTCCGCTGAAACACGACATCGCATCACACAGTGAATAACATTGGAAAGTCGATTGTACTTTGCCAGTAACAGTCTAACAGTCATCAATGCTGCACAGCGCACGTGTCTGAACTTCAGTCTGTTTTGTGCCAGCTCCCTTGCACTGTTTTGTAATTACAATCACAGACATTACATGGACTGTATAATTGCCACGCTACGCCACGTGTGCATTGTCGATGATGGTAATGCCTACATACATACATACGTAGGTTGTATAATATTTCCGCTTATCTACTTTGACATGCTACGAGTGGTTGAAATCCCAACCTTCGGCAAAACCAATAGTTCTTTTTTGCATCACATGTTGACTCGTGCGTATATAACACGTGCTCCCTGTGCGATCGTTGCGTCTATCTGTTCAAACATCGGGGGGCTGAGAAAAGCACACCTGGCGCTGGGTGTGCCCATGAACGCTGGCTGTGTCGCGCTATCTCACCAAGGCCAATACCGCGCCCACGGCCCGTACTGTGCCGCTCTAGTCACCGTGAGATTCGCAGGGCATCTCACACCTGAACGGCCTAGTTAGTGGCGTAAGGAACAGCTGATTTGCTCATTCTAAGGCAGACGTCTCCTGAAAACTACTGTGGAAGACCGCAGGAAATGAGGATATATTTCTCCTACGTTATACTCGGGCAAAACTTACGCTCGATTAGGTCTGACCTGCTATACCCGGCCTGACCCCGAACGGCAGGTATCTGACGTGAAAGTGGTGCCAGGCTACCTGCACAAGTCACAGCCGCTACCTTGGCCGGTCGGGAGCGCGGCAGGTATCTGACCTGAGAGTAGTGCACCTGCGTCAGTCGCCATCACTACCTTGGCCGGTCGGGAGCGCGGTTTGGCCAGCTCTCCGGGTGACGACGTTCTGAACGGCTCCCGGCCGTAATCGGACGTGCCGTCGGCGGCGTAACACTCGAGTCGCTCCAGCTCCGACTGCATCTGGTCCAGGCGCTCCTCCATGCTCCGCTGCCGTACACACACCACGATTGGTGTCAGATACGAGGACGGTAGACTTTGGCCCTGTGTCACGGTGTGTCAGTGGGCAAAGGACGATTTAATGCATTCCTACAAACTTTCCTCAGGCATGATCACTTTGACTGTCCTGATGCTTCATAGGTATGGCTAGCTCGTTTGAGCAGTAGTTAGTTGCTAAGCTGGTTGACATCCTTCAAACCTGTCCACCTCCAACTACTCTTAACCCATTCTTGTTCAGCGGCACACAAAGACACGTTGACAGGAATACATTTTACAGAAACATCATTTAGGTAAACGAGCAAAGCAAAGCGCACAGCTCACCTTCTCCCTAAGCATGGTGTCAACGGACATTTCTTCATCACGAGGGTCTGCCCTTGTCACGTTTGATGCAGCATCTTGGAGGTCCTTTTCAATTTTGGCCAGCTTTTGGTGCAGTCGAGCAAAGTCATTTGGACTCTTTTTGCCTTTATAGCGACAACTCATGCTGTGCTGCCTTTATGAGCAAAGATTAATCACAGGGCGTGTTTAGACAGTCATGACGATGCTATAGTGTTTAGGAAATGAAATGGCTACATTTATTTGAAAATATGTCGAAGATTTCCGATGGATTTTCGATAAGACTGTACGTTTGAGGAAAACAAAGAATTTAATGTTTAAGGGACTTTCAGGTGTAATGCCGAAAAATAAAGTCACATTGATTCGAAAGGATCCATTTTCTCCTGATTTATTTTTGCTTCAGTTCTCAATAACACGTGCTTTCTGCTGCAAGAAACCTGCTACAAATCGAAATTACTTAACTATAATACCTGCAGTTAAGTATAATAGTTAAGTATAATAGTTAATTACTTAACTATTATACCTGCAGAACTGCCGGTCTCTACGATACTCTAATAAGGTTTGTTTTCGGTATGGCTATAGCGTGGGGATTGAGTGCACTGGGACTCGAGCAAGCTTCGTTACTATGCTTGCTTCATGTCGGATGATAAGATGAACAGTTCGTTGCGCGTAAACCATACTGTCGAGTGTCGATTCTTACAGACAGGCCTTTTGCTATTCGCTGACCGGGCTTGCCTGTCTCTGCTCTCTTCAGAATGTCTAGCCACATTACCTTAGTCCACTATCTTGAATGCATTAGTTTCTACGAGAACTGTACAAGAAATGAGCCCAGCTAACCCTCTTATGTGTGCTTTTATCGCCTCATTTATTGCTGTGGTATTTGTACTAATTATAGTGACAAATATAGCTTGCATCATCTGTGTATCCTGTGTGCACATTATACGGATAAAATAAGGCACAGTGAGCTCACAGTCGTCTGAGAGGACAGGAGGTCTCTGGGTCCCTGGCCTGGTAACGGCTGTCTCCGCTCTCCTCAGCCCCCTGTGCTGCAGGACACTGACCCCACGACCTTTCTCTGTTCTGTCAATGCATGGCTGCCGACTGCTGGCAGCTGCCTCGCCGCATGGAACGAGCGCCGACACGATGGGCGGAAAGATAAACAAAGATAACGTGTTGCACCTTAGATCACCGTTTCTGCATGATGTGAAAACTTCCCCGAACGGCTGCAAGCCAGACTCATTTACTCAGCCGGTTTGTTCCGGTTTCATCTGGATTACACAGTTGGCTCTACGTCGGGGTCCAGCTCTGCCATGTGCTGTTATATCAATTTGATTTTTTTCGACTTGAACATTTTACACCCTATGTTGCAGCACGGAGGAATAGTAATTCACTTTCAAGAACCGTTAGCGTGGCAGACACTTTACGATATAAAATATGGCTGTCAATAGCTATTTGTCAATAGTTATATACCTGCACAGTAAAGAAGCATATTTAGAAGCATGTACTTATATACCTCACAGATCATATTAGCCGTTTTCACGACGGGCTATCCGGCGAGTGCACCTAATTTGACCAAATCTGCACCTAATCTCTTTTACAGCAAATATCTTTTATGAATTTATTTCAGTGTTTTAATCGATGATACTCTCTGATAATATGACAAAGCAGGCATATAAGCATTAAGCAATTAGTGCAACCCTAGCTGATAGCTACTAAGAGACACACTGAACCTAATTTGACCAAATCTGTATTATGGATGATCAACAAACACCCGTTGCTATGTAGTAAAAACGTATCAATATGAAGGGCGTGTGACTAGTGATTTTATCATAACATAACATGCTCAATATAAGTATATGTTGCGTCCATCATATTGTCATTGTTTTCAGCAATGGCATGGTAATAGCAATTCAGGCAAATCCCGTCCCCCTATCTAACAAGACTGTTTGTGTGCGGTGCATCACTGATGCTCCCAGCCTCTGCCTCTCCGCCGGGAGAGAGGGAGAGAGAGGCTGGCAGGTCGCCGGTCACGCGAGCGCCCGCTGCTCGCCGGCTCTGGGCGCAGGCGCCCCTGCATCGACCCGGCGGCGGCCGAGGGCGCCCGAGGGTGGCCGCGCTGGCGCCCTCCCAGCTGCCGGGCGAGACGACGAGCTCGCATCAGCTGGTCCGTACCGGCTGACCTGCTGCCTCCCGTGACCCCCCCCCCCCCCCCTCAGCAGCGTCGGTGGCGTTGTCAACAAAGCAGCGCGGAGAGCGGGACGTGTCGCGGCAGACGGCGACAGAGACGGGCGTGTCGCCACAGAGACGGTCAGAGCCGAGTCACAGCCGGCACCGCGGACAAGGTGGGCGCCACAACCGTCCCAGTCACGGGGCAACGTGGCTCAAGGTGGATAAGTTATCAGATTGGGTGTTTTCTGATATCTGGTATCGATTCTGATATCTCTGAGCTCTTAGATTGTTTTAAGATTATTGCTAGTTTGTAAAAATGCGTCTCATCAGGTTATTTTGCGCCTTCTGATTGTAACATGCAAAATACCTGTCTTTCTGCTATTAATCTATCTTCTTATCTTCTGCCTAGCATTTATCTTTCTATCTAAAGAAATATTTATTTTTTCCATTCTGATTCACCGTCCATCAGTTCTTCTTTCTGCCTCTATGATAGTTTGTTCGCTGGCTTGTTAGCTTGCTTGTCGTTCGAATTTTTTCGACCTATCTGCCACTGCATTCACACGCGATCTGCTTGAAACTTGAAGGATTTACACAAGCATTGGAAAATGTCTTTCTACTAAAATTTGTGTCCAGCGGCGTGACTCACTTTCTACGTGGTGCGATAGGTTGCGTATTAATTTGTATAGTTATCACATTTCTTACGTGCTCTTATTTTCATAGGATTTTCATTACTTTTTCGTGTAAAACAATACATCGAAGGGATGCAGCTAGCCCCCATTCCGGTGTGAGGTTCTGTGCGTGTTAGTCAGTGATGGCACGGAGAAGAGAATGCCGACTAGCCGCTGGCGCCTTGCCTATAGTGGAGTGCGCTCCGCAATGAGTGACAATCCACGGCCCATTCCGGAGCGGCCCGAATCGAGTTCTGGTGCGTTCGGATTTATTTAGCCAGTCTGACGATCTGGCGACACGTATCAGTCAGTGGTTACAGTGACCGGTGACCTGGGGTCGAGGTCACACTACCGGCGTGGGTCAGTCGGCGGGCGGCGGGCGGCGGGGTCGGTGGGGCTCGGGTCGCGGGGCGGTGGGGCTCGGGTCGCGGTGAGCTGTGTGGACTCCGCGCTTTGTGTTGTGTGTGCGGTGTGCCAATCTGAATATCTGTGCCAGAAGACACCAGTACTGGATCAGGTTCCCTCCGACCGACAGACAGCCCTCTGAGCCCGCCTGACGTCAGTGGCCGTGGGTGTTGGCTGGTCTTTGACCCTGAGTGTGCTCAGAGCCGTGTCGGGTCACTGAGAGGATCGCCATTAGTCAGTGACATCCGGATATAAATACCGACCGGGGTGATGCCGATGTCCCCAGTGTCATCTTAGCAGCGCGGCGCTACAAGACACGGCGATATTTACCAAACAAAGCCTGTCGTATGTCCAGTCGATTGACTTCATGCTCTATACCGTTACTATAATCTAGCATTGTTTGTTGATATGATCTGTTGATATGGTCAAAAAACAACCGCTGTCTGATGACTGCCGAGACATCATAAGTGTCTGATGCTGGTTACCCAGAAAGCTCTGCTGTATTCCAACCATTACCAATGGCAGTGACCAGAGAACAACTTCTGTGTGTCTGTCTGCTGTAGGCTCCTGACCGCTTTGATGATGTCTGCGGTGACCTCTGTTCCAGGACCATGTCGGAGGACGAGGTGGTGCGCACGCTGGGAGGTATCGGTCGCTGGCAGGTGCGGCAGTCGGTGCTGCTCTCGCTGTCAGGAGTGCTCTGCGCTTGGCAGATCCTGTCGGTGGTGTTCCTGGCGCCGGCCACCGAGCACTGGTGCGCGCCGCCCCCGGGGCACCACTGCGCCGACACCAGCAGCACCAGTGGTGACACCCGCTGCACCCCGCGCCAGTGGCGAGCCCTCGGAGTGCCGCACGAACTCAGGGTATGATGACTATTCAAAAAATGGTTGATGACCCTAAAAATAGCAAGTAAAACGAAGGACATTGATGCGTGTATTAGCATTTTTCTTACTTCAATTTGAAGCTAATTCATCTGAACAAACTTTCAATGTGACTATTGACATTCCAGTGTAAAGCTGAATGTTAACGTTTTTTCTTCGCAGGACGGTGAAAGAGTCAAGTCCCAGTGTCTGGTGTTCTCCCAGCCCATAGACGCCATAGTTCCAGATACCAACGCCACGATGTCCTGCAGTACTTGGCAGTACGACACTACCGAGTACACCAGCACTCTCGTGATTGAGGTGAGCTCCCGCACCTACCCACCGACCAGCCCCGGCTGCCCCTGCCCGCTGGCCGCACCCCGCACTTTGACTATTGATCGGCACTCGGAAAACGTCACCAGGTACATGGCTAAGATCCTCCCCGACTCACATGACGTGTTATGGCAGCACCCGGTCAATATACAGAACGCCGACGAGTCATTGAATGCATGACCTGGATCCCAGGTGAACGGGTTCGCAGTGTCTGCGACGTGGCGCTGATCGCTTGCGGTATAAGCCCTTACGTTTATTATTGCCAAACGATTACCCACGAACAGGGTGCTCCTCGAGCTTGCTGTCTGGATGAACACGGAAATAGATATTGTAACAATGTATATGTGCCTTTATTTGCAATCAAAGTAGCGTTTACGTAGATAAGAGACAATTATCATTGATCACATGATTTGCCATAATTTGTTCTTGATATCACCGTCATAAGTCCCACACAGGGAACATTACGGATCGCAATACAAAGGACAGAGGGATAGCGATTACGTTCAATATTTTGAACCATACCCATGACAACTGTGAGGCCAGATCTATATTTGTGGATGAACTAGCATAAGGTTATCATATTTATCAAACTAGGGTGCAAGGGCCGTTGAGTATTTTACGTATAATTTTTAAAGAAAAAATGTAGATTTTAATTGAAATTACCGCCGTTTCATGACAACGTTCCTTTGTACATATAAGTAGCAATTTTATTTGCTCGACATGCAAAGCTGACCGCATGTGCTCGTTATAAATCTGTTTCAGTTTGACCTGGTCTGCGACCGTAAATGGCTCCAGATGATTGTGAAGGGCATCTACATGGTGGGCATCATGTTCGGCGTCATGACCTGGGGAATAATTGCCGACAGGTGAGACTTGTTGCGATGTGGCCAAGCACCATTACCTGATCGTGTTTCTCTGAACTTCACTGCATAATAAAAAGTGTGTAGAATAGTTAAATCGGTTGCAATTTTGTGTTTGTTTTATATGTGAAGACTGTAAGTGTACAATGTACACACTTTTTTAATGTGCAGCGTACCGTCCTTCTGTCGAGGATGACACCTTGTCGAGTGGTGGCCTGTCGTGCGATGACCTGTCGTTGGTGATCAATCGAGTGCTGATGACCTGTCGAGTGGTGACATTTATATGTTTTCCCCCTCAGGTACGGCCGGCGGCCGGCCCTGCTGCTTTGTTTAGCGCTCAACTGCCTCAGTTCGCTGGTCACCATGGCCTCTACCACCGTCCAGATGTTCCTTCTGCTCAGGTTCCTCACCGCATTTTTCGGAATCGGCATGTACACCACCGGCTTCGTCATGTGTGAGTCCAACACAACATGGCAATGGGCCCGAACTACACTCACATTTCTACCTGGCTCTCAATTGATGTAGTCAAAACCTCGATATGCTGTTATATTTCAACCGCTTTTAACTTGCGACGAATCATTTGTTCCATGGGTTGTTATTTTCATCACTGTGCCATGAAGTCACGATACGATTTTTGTGCGTACCTATCTTGATCATGCAAGTCATAACACGACTATAGTTATTACAGGTGTAGTTACCCAATTTGCAGGTCAAGCATGCCACACCCATGACGTAAGGGTAGCCTAAAAGTATAGTTAGATCGGCCTTATCATAGCCATACTGAATGTCCGAAGCCATGCCACGACCTGGAGCCTAGTGAATATGTCGCTGACCTGGGGGTGTTAATTTCGACCTGACTGGATTGATTGGCGAATGTCATTTGTATCCCTGCGGCTGTCTGACTAACCTACGAGAGGTCGCTAGCCTTGGTGGCTGTGGGCAAACCTGTTACTATTCCGACATCTCGGTGACCAATTATATGCGCCCGTTGAACCTTCGATGACCTGTGCTGTCGGCACCTGTCCCTCTCTCTGCTCTGTGACTGACGCGCGGGGTGACAGCCATGGAGCTGGTCGGTGAGCAGTGGCGCGCGCTGCTCGGCATCACCTACTGCCTGCCCGTGTCGTGCGGCTTCATCACCATGGGCGGCATGGCCTACCTGGTGCGCGACTGGCGCCTGCTGCAGCTGGCCCTCTCGCTGCCCGGACTGCTGTTTGTGTCCTTCTACTGGTGAGTGACACGGCCCGGGACTGACCCAGGGTAAGCGCAGGGGAGCTGGTGTCCGCTGTGGGTCCCTAACCGGGGACCGATACGACGTACCTGTCTGTGAGTGTCTTGTGTCTCTTGTCGGGCGGGCTCTTACCGATAAGACTGGATGGTTTGAAGCGTGGTGAATGCTTATTATGTCAGCGGAAATATGTCAGGACTAGCTCGGCTTAGTAAAGTGCATTCAATAAGTTTTTACGGTGTTGCAATTTTAAATGTTTTATTTGCCTCATGGTAAGATGTAGATGTTGTCAGCAGAGTAGATATGTAGATGTACGAGCTCTTTGTCATAAATTTGCAGCCGTTCTTTCAAATGCTAGTTTGTGATAATGCTCTTTTTTTGTATGAGGCATAGATGACACGAATTATGTAGGAATAGGCGGGCGTTTGATAGGCTCAGACGACACTTAAAGCCCTCGCAGCGAAATATGACAATTCTTCTTGATCTGTTTTTGGTTCCGTTGCCATTCCATGGAGCCGCATATGCGATCTGTAAAAAATGCGGTGCAATTGCAAAATACTTTTCGGCTGATACTGTAATCGAAGGGTAATTGCCAGTTTAACGGTTTAAAAACTTTAAATGTTACAAGCGACGTCACATATATTCATATTGTCGACGGTGTCATATTGAATCCAGGCAATTGCAATAGAAGCACTATTCCACTTAAATAACCTATGGTGATCGATAGAAGCCTCGTGATGCTCATTTACAATGCAATAGATTTGCCGTGTAATACCGTGCGGTGAACGTTGCGAGCTGTTGTTGTTGATAGGTCGCTGGTATTTAATGATGTTCGAAGCGGGATAAGTGTTGATTGGCGCTCTCTCGAGTGGGTGGTGTGGTTGGCCGTGTTGGTGTTGATGACCATTTCTGCTTCCTTAGGCTTGTCCCCGAGTCCCCGCGCTGGCTGCTGTCCAAAGGCAGGGTTTCTGAGGCTAGAGACATATTGGAACAAATATGTAAATTCAACAAAATGGAGCCTCTGGAGAAATTGCCTGAACTTGAGGTTTGCTATTAACGCAGATGCCGCTTTTACGTAATATTTTGCGAAGAGCTCGTTTATACGGTTCTATTTTTGAAATAGCTGGGTCAAAAATTAACGTAACGTAATGTAAAAAGCGTTTCGCATTATTTAAATGCAGTTAGTGTGATTGTTTTTTTTTTTTGCATGTGCAGACAACCTGCTAGACCTCACGTCACCAGCAATGATATGTCTGCGTCAAAAAGTACTGGCGCTGCACCTCTGTTTTGGATGATGTTTGCAGTGTTTCGCCATTTGTGGGAAATCTCTGCGTTCTTTTCCAATTACGATTCACATCAAATTCACCATATTGTATAAGAATTATGTGACGTATGCTTTTTGATTTAATTAAAATTGCTTAAAAATAACATAACGATAATGATTCAAAATTTCCAGAGCACACCTTCAATTCGAAATTCTTATCAAATTCAATCATCCAAAATGATGGCAACGTCGGTACGTCAATATTTCTTTCTAACGCAGGCCCCGTATTCACTTTACTTTCAGCCTCCGTCTGAGAAAGGTACTCCATCGACTGAGAACTTTCTGGATGTGTTCCGTGCGGGGAAGACGGCTGCTCTGTTCCTGTGCCTGTTTTTCTGCTGGCTCGTGAACAGCATGGTGTTCTACGGGATCGTGCTGAACGCCGGCGACTTCGGAGGCAACATGTACCTGAACGCCACCCTCGGAGGTAATGCTTTTGTTTGTTTGTTTTGTTGGGTTAGGCCCTTTCGGTCTGACAAGACCATTTCAGAGCAGGGAGGATGACAGGATATAAGGGGAGACATTGGTCTGGGCAGGCAGTAGGCACCCTAGTGAGTCACTGGGGCTGAGCCCGTCCAGAGGACAGGCCACCCAGCCCCAAAGTACTCACTGCACCCGGCTACGGGGTGCGCCCCCTCCGGAGCAGCGGTGGCGCTCCAAGGGAGCAGCCCGCATGAGATAAAGTTGCCTGTCCAGTCCGGAGAGGGGTTGCGGCGTGGAGGAGAAGGATTTCAGTATCCTGAGGATAGAAGCACGGAACGGTGAGGTAATGCTACGCATACATTGTTATCAACACGCGCAGTGGAAGGGGGGCGGATTCCGCCCACCCCTCCTGTTTTTCGCCAATAACTCGCGCCGCAAACATGATATTAATGTGAAATTTTGGCTACCTGCCCAAAATTGAACTGCGGATCCTCTCGTGCAAGAAATAAGAAAATTGGGTCACAACTTGTAATAGCGGTGTAAAGTCAAACATCCTGCCGCCGCGCCGCGGCGGCCGCGGCGGCGCGGCGGCCGGCGCTAGCCGTTACGCGCCGCCTGAATTGTAGACTGTGCCGGGGCGGGACGGTTCCGTCTTTACATTGCGCTCCTTACCGCTGATTATATTCGATTCGCGTCAAATTGTGTGAGAAGACTAAGAAATGTACAGGCAACCTCATGGTTAAAGAATTTTGAAAATCGGCCAGGAACAACTTGAGTTATGAGTGTGTAAACACAAAATTGTGATTGCCGCGTTTCTCGCGTCGGCCGATCCCGCTTCAGCCGGCGACATCTTACCCTTAGCAGACTTCTAGCTGCCATATTTATTGTTGGCAAATTCACCTTACATACTCACAAATGTATATTCTTTCGTATAGTGAAAGAAAAAAGAAAATCGGCCGGTAACTTTTTGAGTTATCGGCGTGTAAACGCAAAAAAGTCGCTCATATGGCAGATTTGACCACCTTTGACCTCATTTGACCTTGAAGATATTGACCTAGGGTCATGAAATTCACACACAAGAGAGTTCCCCAGGGCCTTCACCTACCCTCCAAATTTCGTCTTTCTAGCTTCAGTGGGAGCTGAGATCTTAGGGGGGGGGGGGGGGCGACATCCGCCCCCCTTTCCACTGGGCGTAGTACTCGCAACCCTTCCACTGCGCGTGTTAAACTGTATTAGTCGGTGAGCTTCTTGTGCAATCAATATCACTTGCTTATCGTTGCGCGTTATTTTGTTGGGCCTCTCAGTGGGGTGGAAGCGTCATAGGCTCGTGTATTTCCATTGTCCCGTTAAAACTACTATCGGAGGGGTTTCCGTGTCCCATTTAAGCTACTATCGGAGTGTTTTCTGCTCGTTGCCAGGTGTGGTGGAGGTCCCTGCCCTGCTCAGCTGCGCCTACGCCATCTATCGCCTGGGTCGGCGAGCGCCCATCAGTATCAACATGCTGGGCGCTGGCGTCGCCTGCCTACTCACTCTGGCCTGCACCAAGGGTCAGAACGAAGCGCACGCTCCTCCGATACCGTGTGATAAAACTATTCATTGATACCTGCACACACATAAGTAGGTATTGTTTTTTCGATATTGCTGTTAACTACATGGGTACGTGTGTTGTGTATTCATTGATCCCTTCTCGTTGGGATTAGTTTTTGCTTTAAAAACCACAGGATAATTATTGTGACGGTAATAAATTTTGAAATGAGCTCGAGGTCCTATCTTCAACGTTATACCTTACCTCCAGGGACACTCCTCAGCTCTCACTATCTCTCTGTGGCCTTAAGCGTGTTCTCCCGCCGTTTATTCGTACCCGAGGCGCATTCCCTCACTGTCCTTATACAAAGGTACAAACCCCCAGACACGTTCTCCACTGTCTTTCTACAGCCCCGACGAATTCTCCACGGTCATTCTGTCCTATTTAGGCGTGTTTCTGTCCGTCAGGCGCGTTTCCCCACGACTGGCCGATGGTGTGTCTGGCGATGATGGGCCGTTTCTGCATCACTGCTTCCTTCTCGACCATCTACATCTACACGGCCGAGCTGTTTCCGACCTCTGTGCGCAACACGTGCCTGGCGGCCTGCTCTGTGGGCTCCCGGGTCGGCGGCATCCTGGCGCCCCTGCTCGACCTACTGGTGAGACACACGGGGTTACGAATGGCTGACGCTGGAGCTCAGACCAATTGAACTTGTGCCGAAGTGCATGTGGGTTACCAGATTCTACCAGGGATGTATGCCCATACATAGTTCCAAGCTTGATTAACGCTAAAAATCTACAGTCGTGATGTCTTTCTCGACACATTTGTGATTGTGGTAAATATATTGCCATTTTTTCCTTTAAAACTTAAGCGGTTTGCTTGCCAGTGATCACCGAGCTCTGTTTCGTCTAATAGAAGGAGGCGATCCACCCGACGGTGCCGGTGGTGGTGTTCGGCCTCACCGCCATCCTGTCCGGCGCCAGTGTGCTGCTGCTACCAGAGACCGCCGGCAGACCGCTGCCAGAGGTGCTGGCAGACGTCAGCAAGGGCAGGCGGCGCAAGCAGACCGGGTGGGTATCCCAAATGTCACAAGAAACTGTCAAAGAGGGAGGCGTTACAGACAGACTGGGTGGTATCCTTATAAGGGCAGAGGAGTTTAAGTTTTAGCTGAAGTAGGCAGAAAAGTAATTCTAGAAGGGATAGCGATAAAACGATATCCTTCCTGAATTTGACAATGTACGTAAATGCATTTAAAAATGATAAAAAAGATAGCTCTTATGAAACGCCTACTTTGTATATGCCTGGAACTTGATTTTCGCAAACTTCCTCTTCCTAACAGGGATGAAATAGAAGAAAAGACAACGGATGAGCTGCTGCCAGCGCCTGTCGTGGTGTAAACAACACTCCGAGCCTCCAGTTCGGAGCGACGACACTGATCTGACCAGCACGGATGCCAGAGTCTTTGTGTCGGCCATCGTCACACACTGGTCACGGCGTCTCATCGTCTGCGGTGATGTCAAAGGCTACCGCCTTGTCTCAACTGACCACACAAACTGACCGCTGTGGACGACAACGGAACGATTCAGCATTGAAACTGCTTCGACGTTATACCACTTACCAATGTCCCTAGAGACGAGAGAAAACTCCAGAGACAGTCATGGTCCGCCCAGCCCTTATCATGTTGCCACTCAGAGGCAGCATTCTCTAACAAAGAGGAGGGTGTCAGCTGAACAAGATACCTACTCCAGCTGGATAATTGTGCGTTGATGGGTGGGGTCTCTCTTCAAAGACCAATCAGGTGGATGTGTGCCTCGGGGGTGTAGAGTCCTGTATCAGAGCGTGGGTGACCCGTTTCACCAGATGTTTGTGTCCTCTAAGCCGTCCCCAGTGAAGTCTTCCATTTCCAACCCGGTGTGAAAAAGTTCTGTTCTCCAAACGCGGTTAATGGTTATTGATTGAAATAAGGCAAAAGAGAAAAAATGAATATGGCATTCTCCGGAATGCTGATTACTTATATCATATTACAAGGAAAAAAAACTTGCGAAACTGAACATCGTCGCTATGGTGTGTTTTAATCTGATTTTCCATGTCTCCTTTTTCTATTTTACACCTTTCTATGCTCAATTGTAACGAATCTTGTGTGTAATCATGACTGTTCCTTCTCATCGTTCAAGTCGTTCATTGTGCAAAAATGTAAGTTAGTCGCTCGTTGAAAATGAACGGTTGAAATATGAGCTTCAGTTTTCTACAGCGGCTACACTATCATCACATGAGATGGTAAACAACCGTCCATCTAAAAAAAATGCCTTCCAATAGCTGTCGTTCTCATGTGTGAAACGTGTTTATGCACGTGTATTTCAACTTTCATTCTGATAGCGCAATAAAAAGGAGTTTCGTCGTGTGGTCACTAGTCATCCAGAATTAGCAGATGTCCTATGTTGCGCTGGTTGCCACTCAATCGACGCCTGTAACGACGCCTGTAACGTTCGGAAACGTTTCCCTCTTTACTCAGTGCTCACTGCTTGTCACCCAAGTGGAGCGAAGGATAAAATCACGTCATGCATGCCAGTATTACCCCAAACTTGACCCAAACACCCTCAAATGGCCAGGCAATAGTCGCTGATTTCTGTAAATGATTGTTATATCGTTTAGTGTTACTTATCGTGTACACCATGTATTCATTGACACATTTTTGTCGACTGTAAATATGCGCCTGTGTATGTTTGTAGCACCGAGCAGTATGACGCTGCATTGTAGCGTGTGAACTTCGACCACTAGTGCGCTGTATTTGCTGCAGTAGTTTATTACCTTAGCAGTGGTCATCTGGCTAGTTCGGGACCTTTCCTGGCCTACGTTGTAAAAAGGTACCGTGTATCTTCTTACGACCTGTGTTGTATGTTATCTGATGTATTATTTCTACTTTTGCTGTAGCATCTGTATGTCATGTAGTGCTTTGTACTTCATAATAAACCAGCACACAAGTCGTGTGAACATTATGTTTGCCGTCGCCGACGGTCATGTCTCCCGTTCACGCCATTTCTCAGACAGCAGCGAGTGGTGAATGTAAGCGAATGCCTAGCGCTTTAGCTGCAGGTAGACTGTGCCGCACGACCTCGGTGCTGAGCGGCACAGCATGCCTGGAAACGTGCCGCGCTATAATGGCGTTGGTTCTTTCTATTCCCGTTGCATCACTGATCTTTTTCGTAGAGGAAGATCGATACTCTTAGCTTACCATATATTCACACAAGCACAAATTCATTCATCGAGGGTGCATCCACCATGCTGGGAACCCATGTCTGATCAACCAGCTCGGTTTTAAACACCACACGGTGTAATACGAGCGGTGACAGATACCGGGATGACATGACCGCGACACCGCTTAACCGATGAAGCGCACATTGGTGTCGATCTCGGAGGCCGGCCTGCCGTCGCTGCACAGGCGGGCCAGCTGGTTAGCAGAGCCGCTGCGGGCCAGGTGCAGCGCGTGCAGAAACTTCACAATATCGTTGGAGGAAGGACGACAGACCTGTGAAACAAACGAGATTGTGGTGTTTGGATAGGAAGGAAAAATCTAGCTAACGTTTCTTGTTAATTTTTTTTCTAGACACTACATAAATGTGTCCAGCTCATCATTCATTTCTGGACGGGTGTGATTTTTACAATTACAATATGAAACTTCTTTTCTTATGTTTTTCTTTAGCAAGTTTTACTTGTGACTGGGATAGCAAATTAGCTAGTCTGTACCGTTTGCTGCCGTGTAACTAATCTTTCCGTTCTACCATTCTCACCTGGCTCGAACTATGCCTCCTCTCCCCATTCCCCTCTCCTTTCTCACCTGGTACTGTTCACTACGGAAGCGGGACGGCACAGCGGAGTAGTGCCGCTTCTGGACCGAGGACATCAGCTGCGAGGGGACCAGCACGTACGGCATGGTCACCGTGCCCTCCAGCAGGGCGTTCAACTGATCCGAGCTCAGTCCGCCGAGCGGAGACGGGTCCAGGCCGTCACCTGCCGCAGACAGAGCTCACAGTCACTGAGGGAGCAGGCCGCGCCTGCTGCATGAACAGGATGTGGTTAATATACTGCTTATATGTGACCGCGGCATGGCCAAAATATTGCTCTGATCCTGTCCAAATCCTACGCTGAGACAGAGGCTGAGAAGAGGAAGCACAGGTATGTGATGGAAACCACGCGAACTTGGAGTCCCAGGATGTAAATTGAAAAAACTGCTCCCTGGGAATACGTGAGAGCAGAACTTATCACTCTACGAGTCTTCTTAAACGTTAAGGCAGTCTGGTGGGTAGGTGACTCACCCATATCGGACTGGAAGGTGGCGCTGCTGGCCTGCCACGCAGAAACGAGCGCGAGGAGCACGAGCACGGGGCGAGCCATTGCCGAGGGCGTTGCTTCACTGCGGAAATAAGATGGCAGATAAAGGTGTGAGGACATCTCGAACGATATGCTTCACTATACAAATGGTAACAAATCGTTATGGCCACCGCCACCGGGAGAGCTGCAAAATAACCTGCTCCTTTATGTTACCGTGTTTGAGAATGCAACAATATGAATTCTCACGATATACAGCTAGGGGGAAACGATGCTCTTCCACGGGTAGTTGTTATGAAGAAACTCTTCCTTACCTGTGAACTGGTCGCCGATCAAGTGGTGCTGTTCTCTGGCGGCGTGTCGACTTTATACCTCTGTAGGATGGTACCCACTACAGTTGGCTTCATTATCGATCATTTATCGTCTGCTGCCGTCTTCGACAGACTCTGGCTCCTTCCGACCCACAGAGCTTGCCCCCCAAATGGTCTCTGTGCGGTCACCGTGGCTCGCCTGGTCGAGGCAGCCCGGACTAAGATCGTTTGTCAAATGCCGCCTGACGAAAGGGTCAAGAAAACTTTTTAAACTGATGATATACATATGTAATGTTATAAATAGCTATATTGTCCTGAATGTGATGTCCTTGACACAATAAATTGATATTGTACATAACATTTTGTATTCAAATGAAGTTACGTCGAACTCACCGAATGCCTTTTACCCCTAGGCCATGTTCAGATATTCTGTGTTCATTCTATTTTTGTCGGAGGTCGTTCAAATGAGGGGGCGTCTAGGGCGCTGTTCCATCGTCACTCATCAAGTCACCCCGAGACCGGCCTGTTGACTTACAGGGTGTTCACTAAAAATTGAGACAAAGTTTAGCAGGCTGTATCTTCGGTAAAAATGTACCGATTTAAACAAACGAGGCATTGTTGTAATGCACATTGCATCTGCTGCAAACCGTAGAGCGTCAACAGATTTGCCTGATTCCCGTAGGTCATTTTTCGGACATTTTCTTGTAAGTGTTTTCACAAGCTCTGGCACCAGTGGACCGTGATGTTGGCCAGTTGATGGTGGTAATGAGCAGCCAGTTGATATTTTGTATGAAATCGAAAGACACCAACATACGTTACAGCCTTAGACAAATCACATTAGACACTCATTTGTTAAATTTCAGTCGTGGCAAATGGCTTATCGGGCCTTGTTTCAACCATGCAGTTTTTACATCGGCCGGAGCCCCCAAGGAGCCCCTTGATTAGTGTGCTGGCGCGAGGTCGGACCAGAAGATCACCTTCTGGTTACATATGTTGTTCTGCATGAACCTCTAGTGCTAAATAATACACTTGACTCAGAAAGTATCATATTGTAAAGGACCGGCCTGGAGGAATAAAGTCGAACTGATGATATGCTCTGAAATTACACACGTACCACGGCATCCAGCGTTAGCTTGGATGCTAAATGGACGTTAGCTCTTGTATCATTGATAACATCACTACAGAACACTCCATTGTCCTAGTTAATTGTCGCCCTTTGGCAAAAACATGATTTTTCTTCCTTAAATAGATCGGTCTTTTTCTGCAATTTGTGGCCCTTGCTTGACCATTGTTTATTTACTTCTCTTGCCTTATGTTGTTCCCAGTCGCTTCGAGAAATCATTTACGCCGGACTTGTAACTCATCCTAGCCTCAGGTGTGATATATGCTCTTCGCTTAGGCACAGTTAATACCTTACTGATCGGCAGCATTGCATCGTGAGGTGCCAAAAAGCCCCTCCACGTGCATTTTCGGGGCCCCGACCTTTCCTTTGGTCAGTATCTTCACATTTGCACCACTTCAGATTTTCTGACTCCCACACCCACTAGAACTTTCGTCCCACCATACGGTATGTAACTAATTTCGACATTTTAAGCTTTCATTAGGTATTTGTACGTGCCAGACTCTCCCATTGACGTACTATTTTGGGAAAGCGTGCCAATTGGCTTTCGGTGGTCCTTATTTAAAACGACCTCCAACGCGACTGATTTCATTACACCCATGAAATTTTATGCTCGGTATGATACAAAAATGTCCCTTTTATCTCCATGCTAAGTTGCATCGTAATAGCTTGCTTCACTTTTGATGTGCAGTCATTCAAAGTTTGTGTCAATTTTTAGTGAACACCCTATATGTATCATAACCCGGCTACTTTACTTTTGTCGAGCTCATCGGCAGTTGAAGCTTATTTCACTGTTGAGTCAATTCAAATATGATATGCTCGCAAGTTTGCTCTTCTTCCGCAACGTGAAAATCATTAAAAGTGCTAAAACATAAAATAACATTAAAAAGTCAAAAATATATTTGGATATACGGGTTTGGTTTACACCAATTTCTGCAGGCGCATTACAAAGGAAAACATTCGGATTTAACTATAAAGGAAAACTATTTGTATCGTCAGTGTGAGTTAAAACGAAATGTGTAAAGGCCAAATGATCGCGAATCATGAGTGTGCCGGTGCGGCTGAAGTTTAAATGATGCTTATTATAAATCAAAATTACAGGTGATCAAATAAAAGCTTACAATAAATTATGTCGCCTTCGTCGTAAAAGCACACAACTATCTCTCAATGTCAGACAATGGCCACAGTCACGGCTGGTCACTATACCTCCCAAGCACAACATCTACAGCAACATCTCCTCACTGGTCCTCACAAAGCACTGCTCATCACAGAAACATTCTAAAAAGCACGACACGTTGGACATAACACGTTCATTTTCAATGCTCCGGTAAATAGTCGTTTGCTCTTATGGTCCAAACTTATTCCGCCTCGTCGGCCGGCTCTGCTGCCTGTGCCTCGTCTGCGGGGGCCTCTTCAGTCGCCTCCCCGCCATCCGCGGCGTCCTCCGCGGCCTCCTCCTGTCCCTCCTCCTGCGGTTCCTCGGCCGGCTCCGCCTCCGCCTCCGACTCCTCGCCGGTGACGGCGGCCGCCTCTTCAGCCGTGGTGTACCCCTCGGAGGGCGCCGCCTCCTCGCCCGTCTCCGCACCGCCCTCCCCCGTGTCCCCGCCCTCGTCTCCCTCCGGTGCCGTCTCCGTCTCCTCCGCCTCTGACGTCTCCGCACCGGCGCCGTCTGTAGTCTCGCTGTCCTCGGCAGGAGCGGCGTCACCTTCGGCAGGGGCTTCTCCTTCCGCCGGGGCCTCGCCCTCCGCCGGGGCCTCACCCTCGGCAGCAGCACCCTCCTCAGCGGGAGCCTCGCCCTCGGCAGTGGCGCCATCAGCAGCTGCCTGATCAGCCTCAGCGCCGGTGTCGGCTCCCTCAGTGACGGAGCCCTCTCCCTCTCCCTCCCCCTCCTCTCCCTCCTCTTCTCCCTCCTCTCCTTCCTCTTCCTCCTCTTCCTCCGTGACGCTGCCGTCCTCTGCCGAGTCCCCGGACGCCTGCTCCGGCTCCTCCTCCGCCGAAGGCTGCTCCTCCTCCTCCGCAGCGGCCTTCTTTTTCTTCTGCGGCTTCGGAGGTTTCACCAAGATTATTTCGGCGAGATCATAGAGCCGAGGCACTGTCTGGAACAGGACAGTGTCAGCTTATCAGGTCAGTCTGCTGATTGCTAGACTGTCACAACTCACGATCGAGGTCTAGGAAGCTAGTTACGGCTTTTATTGAGATAAATCCTTCTTTTAAAGCAGCGTATATGACAAGGTGCCGTATTAGACCATCTGCATTGTATCTCGTTGCCCTGCTCACCCCCTCCTGGAGCAGCAGCTGTACCAGCGGCTCCTTGTACCTGCCGAACTTGACGGCCAGCTGGGCCAGCTCCCTCTGCCGCTGCTCCTCGGCCAGCGAGTCGTCCTCCTCCGGCGACAGGTCCATCGTGGTGCCCAGGAAGCTGAACGACAGCGCGGCGTCAGTGGGAGCGGCTAGGTGGACGTGGTGAATCAAGAACTACACGATCTACTGCTCAGTGCTTATACGATGGCAATTTGGAGCAATCCAGAAATTGTGATAAAAAAGAAATTGTTCTCGGCATATGTGCGTCGTAATACGCTAACTTGTTTAATCTTAGTCGAGAAAGGCGCAATAACGCGCCTGAATCTGAAGATTTAGCCACATGTAATTGTTTGGAAATGTAAGGTATGATCATTTCATCGTTTTACTAGAACACCGCTTATGTAATATGCAACCAGCCCTCTATCGCTTCATCCCTAGTCCACTCGTTTACCAAAATAAAATACACACAATGATGGCTGATGTATATTTTAACATCAAACTCAATCAGTTCCCAAGCATTTCTAGCATGACAATTATCTCTAAGCTACATTACTCCCGTCACGACACGCTTGTTACATGCTACCCCTCTGAGCGGTGGGCCCGGCCGGCCGGACCGCAGGCTGCCCCGCTCCTCTCCGCCGCTCCTGCCGCCCACCCCGCCGTCCGCCGCCGGCCACCTGCCTGGAGTTGTGGTACTGCTCGTTGGTCGTGATGTCCCCCACGTCTGGGGACGTCTCGTCGTCACTGTCCAGCTCCGCACACGACACCGTCTTCCGCTTCTTGATGTGGTGACGCTTGTTGAATTGTTTCTGCGGCAGAGCAGGGAAGGTCATCGAGATTATAGGGTAAAAAATAAAATATGTCTTACATCTGGTCTGTTAGAGCTGTCGTGAGTGCCTAATTTTAAGTAGCGTTTCCCAATAATGAAATATCGCTGTACATATTTGAGCCTATGCATCATCATGAAATACGTGAAAACTAATGACCACGATGGAAAACAAATTCAAATTACCCGCTGCACTTTCTCCATTTCCGCCTTGGTTTTCTGGAAGGAGACCACAAATGCGGACTCCACCATGTCCGGGGGCTTCTCCATCTTCATATCCTCTACCAGACTCTTCAGGCGCTTATTCTCTTGCATCTGGAAACAAGGGTAGCGAAGAAGCTTTGCCATCATTTTGTTCACACGTTTTCGAACTATTTATTTTATAAAGCATACGCATTTTAAAATCACCCTGGCGGGATAACGTTTATAATTTTACCAGGCAACGTAATTGAAGATATGCAATCAAATTTAGAGACTGCGTTGTCTGTCGTTACCTCACACTCCCTTCTTCCTCTCTCTCTCTCTCTCTCTCTCTCTCTCTCTCTCTCTCTCTCTCTCTCTCTCTCTCTCTCTCTCTCTCTCTCTCTCTCTCTCTCTCTCTCTCTCTCTCTCCCTCTCTCTCTCTCTCTCTCTCTCTCTATCCCTCTATCTCCTTCTCTCTCGCCTTTCCTCACCTGTCGTGTCTCGGTGCGCTTCTGCAGACTGTTCTCCTGGTCCTCATAGATGCGTCTCATCAGATTCCGCATATACTGCCGGTCATTGAGCCGCAGTATGTCCGTGCCCAGCAGCTGCTCCAGCCGGTTACGGACACGTGTGTTGAATGTTACCCTGTGTGAACACAAAAAAACGCATATGGGGTCGAATGGGCACACAACTAAAACAAGGGACACGTGAAAGGTGATTCAGCGCTCGTGGTGTAACATTTTCGATGTTATCTATCACTTAATTTATTTTTTCGTTGGCTCAGCGTGTTCCACGTTCATACCTTCAGTACCTTCAGTAGTAGTTCACTGGATGCACTCTTGCCAGCCATTGGATAGCAATGCACTGGTTGACCTCGTTGCCCGTTTCCAGCTCACCGCCATGAATTTAGCTAGGACGTTTATTGAGCCGCTAGCGCTTTAGCGGTTCAATAAGCATCAGTAATCCGGAGTCCCACCCAAGGTTGAAGATGATCAGTAGAAATTAATCTAACAACTTAAATAAACTTATGACATTGACAGATGCGATCATCTAAATAGCACATCCGTTCCAGCTGAGCTCTTACTTTATCTCTGGGCTGTTCTCCTGCACACCACCATAACCGAGCCACTCTGCCAGGGCACCAGGTGGGGTCGGCAGCACCATCCCTGTGCCGACCTGTCCTCCCCACTGTCAGCACCGTCACCGCGCGGGACACGACACTGCTCCGCCGGGCGACACGGGGACGCTTCTGCCGCCGCACCGGCCGACTGGCCATGGACGACGACGTCCCCACTGCTGTCCTCCCCACCAGCTCCCGCCCTGATTGGTTCATCAATATTTAATCAATCTCGGCCCGCTGAATTGCGGCCATTTATACAAGTTTGGAAAGAACTCAATGGCCTACAATAGATGCTGTTGAAAGGGATTTATTGGCCGCCTGTGGCTCAGCAGCACTTTAGCTCGCTGCCCTCGTCTTTTATGGACGCGCGTCGGGCATAACTGATCTTGTAAATCATATTGTTGCGTAGTAGGGGCTGCAAGCAATTTGGCCGGCAAGGTCAAAATTCATAAAATAGGGATGTGTACAGTCGTGTACAGGTTGATGGTCCTCTACTCTTTATCCACCGGGTTCCTATGGCTCAGCATTGGCAGCAGCCGCCTGGTACCGGTAGGCTGTGCCGCATGACCCGAGAGTGAAGCGGCACAGCCTACCCACACTGTATGACACCGGCTCGGGTCGCCTGGTAGAGCGATTTGACCGGACGCTGCGTTACACCGGCTGGGGGGAGGGCATGGGGGTAAGGGTCAGGCCTGTCGATTTGGCTCGGCTCGGTGGATGAGGCGGGCTGGAGTGTGGTGTGGGGCGGGGGTGATGTGGGGAGGGAGTGAGCGGACCTGGGGCTGGGTGTGTGTGGTCACTTGTCGCATAGAACCGATCGTAATCCACCCTCCAAAAATTCGCTTTAGAGATATTCACAAAACCCAGGGGGTTCAAACACCCATCTCCCAAGTGGGGTGCGGAAGGACAGGTAAGGGTCCATACGGTCTCCTCATGAATTGCAGCAAAGAAAACAGGTCAGTCACCAAATAATCTTTCTGAAAAGTGGACTAATCGCAAAGCCTCCCACACAGAAATAAACATCCAGCACGCGAAGCGTCTCGAACCGGGCCTCTCACTACCGGTCAGTTTGACAGTCTAGCACTCCTACGCTGAGCTACACCGGATCGCGGATTGGGCCGGGGCAAAGTCCGGCCGGGCGGGCGGCGGGGCCGGGCGGTCGGTAGCAAAGTCAATGAATGTTTTTGTGGTTTCGGGTGCCGGTCGCTCTAGCTTGGTGGAATGATGATGGATCATTGGCAAAACTTTGAACGTGGAGTCCCGGTTCGAGCCTCATCGGGGCTCCGGGTTACGTTTCCGAGCTAGGGTCTGGTTTGATTTTAGTGGTTGCGAACCATTTATACGGTTTTATACCTACATGTCGATTGTCGATTGATTGATTGATTCATTCATTCGTTCATTTAATACATGTCGACATTTAGCATACGAATTGACATCCAGGATCAATCTACCATTTTCATAAACGTATTGCCTAAATATCATGCATATATGTGGCACAAGACCTATGGTTTCCTCGATACCGTGCCAAATCACGTTTTGCACAATGCACAAGTAAAGTAAATTATATTCGCTGGGTCTTCCGTGCATTGTGCTTAGCAAAAACAGGAATGCAATTGTTAAGCGACGCAAAATGTGCATTGTGCAATGCAGCAAGTGACCACACACACCCGCCCAGCCCCCATGGTCCACCAACACGCCCCACACCACTCGCCAGCCCACGCCAACCACCGAGACGAGCCCCTCCCCCGCGCTGGTCTGATGCAACAGCTGGTCTACAAAACGCTCCACCCGGCGACCCGAGCCGATGTCAAACGGTGTGGGTAGACTGTGCCGCTTCACTCTCGGGTCATGCGGCACAGCCTACCGGTACCAGGCGGCTGCTGCCAATGCTGAGCCATAGGAACCCGGTGGATAAAGAGTAGAGGACCATCAACCTGTACACGACTGTACCTAAAGTTAACTCTCACACCACAATAATCTAGCAGCCATCGTACTTCCATAATGATTCAACAATTGAATATTTAAATGGCATCCTCCTCCAAAATAATATGTTGAGGCACAACAATGTCCTTTCAGATACAAGCAATCTTAATGACCTTTCTGTTTACATCCTCGTTCCGGTCTGGTGTGGCTGATTTGATCCGCTCCTGATTCCCAGCGGTGTCCCTGCTGAGTCCAATCAGGACAGAGGTCGTCACGGCGACAACAAAGCAGGAGGCTCATCACGCCCACAGCGTCACGGGCGCCGCGTCACGGCGTCTGTGACGGCGGCGGCGTGACGCCGAACGGCACGAGACGGCGCGCTCACGGCAGGTCTGCTCTGTCTGGGGCGCTAGTCACTTCCGTCAGCCCGTCTGGGACGCCAGAGCACGGCTTTGATCGGCGCCGAGCGAGCACTTAGCGAGGAGTCCGGGTGCCGCCGTGGAGAGTGGGGGCACGCGACGACCGGGCCGCTCTCACCTCGTCAGACGGACCGTGGGGCCAGCCACAGACGGAACGGCCGAACGGACGGACAGACGGAGAGGAAGACGAAACAGGGTACAGAGGGATATCGGACAACGAGGGGTGAGATATACAAGTGGTGGCGAACGCGGCAAGACAACCAAGCAGAGGGGAAGCCAGACAATGACGAAAATAGATGCAGTGATTGGCAGGCGAGATCCAGGGAAAACAAAGACAGAGTGAAAGGAGTGAAGACAGTCACAAAGAGCCGCCATCCCACGGCTGGTCATCTAATATCCAACAATGGTAAGGAGAAGTGCAATGGGGCGCAGGGTTTGGGCTATAGACTCTGTTCTCAATATTTTTTTTTTTCGTTTGTGTTAAAATATTTAGCATGGATTATGCATGACGCATGCATAATACAACATTCCTATTATTAATCAATTTATCAATTTATAGCTTATTATCCATTTGGCGTTTCTAAGAGAAAGTTACCTATCTGCAAACTCTTCGGCCTATGCCACCATCGCCGCCACCATTCGTATACGTTATCCATAGATTAGCTGTGCCAGGAGCGAGCGTTACTTCCTTTTATTGTTCCGGTGATTAAAATGATTAATGTTTGCTCACTGGAACCTCCCCATTGCAGCACCTGACTCAGCTGAAACGCCTGGAGGTTCGAGGTGGTCCCTCGTTCGCCTGCGCCTGGGAGCCGCGCGCCGAGCAAACGCGACGGGAGGCCCAGGCGCCGGCCAAGGCCCGCCTCCTGCCGGCTCCAGCTCGACTAGCAGGTATATCTGTTACACTCCGGCCCAAAGGAGGATCAAGCTTCAGTCAAGGCCCGTCTCCTCTGGGCCCCAGCCAAGCTTTTGTCTTTGGTACTCGAGGCATGGTAGATATATCAGACTGTTATAAACACAGTGATTTTGACAACAATAATTCATACCAACGCCTAAAAAGCTGAATAATATCTAGGAGTGTTAAACCTTTAGCTGGCAATGCCACAAGCACGCACATAAGAAAATATCAGCCTGTTGATCAGGCTCAAGGGATTGCCGCCATATTTCATTGAAGTCTAGCTTGGGCTGCTCGTTGATCGACTAGTCACTATGTTGACTTAGCAATAATGGAAACCCATGTCCTGACTGATACCCATCGTCGTTACAAAATATGCCCATACAACTCCAGACAATCGATCACTCAAACATCGAAATGGTCTCAGTTGGAGTTCCGGGTTGTGCTGTTCTCTGCAGGGGTAGTAGGCCGCTGCGGCAGCCAGCCACAGTGCCAGGCACGGCCGCACGCGGGACGCGCCGCAGACGCGACCTCCCTGTGACCGGCGCGGCGGGCGCTGAATGGGCCCGATCGCCGCCGGTCACCGAACGACCGGCCGACACGCCAGGAGGCACAGAGCCGCGGCGGAGAGCTCAGAGGGGCGCCGGACAGAGCAGGGGCCGTCCCGGTACGGGTCGGTACCGAGCGTCAACAGGACAATACGGACCCGCCCCCCCCGCACCCCGCCCACGCCCCATTGCCGGGGGCTGCGTGACCTGAGACTGCAGAGGTTGCTAAGGCCATTATAAATCCGATACGGGTGCCTGCTTCCTGGACAAAGGTACATATCTGCAGAGGATATGAATGCTGCTCTTTTATCTTAACTGGAATCGGTGCCAGGTTCGACAGGTGTATCGCGCAAGTCGCACCTTGTCGCAGTAGGAGCATTGCTTATAGATGCTGCAATGCTGAACAGAAGATGACATATTCCTATTGATAATTTATGTCTCTAAGTATGCAAACTTACTTTACTTCGGCGACTTCATCAATTTCCGTTCTTTTCATCTCGGAGTCGACTGGTGGTCGTGTGTCTAAATTAGACTGGAGGTTGTGACTTCTTGCTGACATCCTTAGCTAATGTGTTTGCAAAAGTTTGAAAAAATAACTATAAGATTTAATAAATCGTTTTTCACTTTATAATTTTGATCCAATGGTATTTTTTTCAGCTATTTCAAACACTGTAATTTATCCCTTTTTACTTTTCAATTTTGCAATTAACTGATGAATGCCGAAGCAATAACAAATTAAATCATTTCGGACAGAACAGTGTGCTGTTTTGCAATAAGATCATCTTTTAGGGAGAAAGCAAGTGAAAACATTTGCAAGAGAGCACCATAAAACATCGCTTGGTGTGGTTTTGTTTCGACAGAGATACTGCCTGGATTTTTATTGTCGTTCCAGGCGCGAACAAATGGTTGGAACAGTTAGCAATGGTCTCTATTTCGTTGCATGTGTTAGGGCTTCTCTGATGGTTCATTTTAACATTCAGCTGTCGTTATGTATAATTCCCGAGCTGCAAATGTACAAAACGTACATAGACAAGAAGTGGCCATCTACACTCATGTAGTCTCACACAACCGCAGTCCCCTTCTACACGGAACTGTCACTTCTGTCATTCTTAAGTTTTGTCACTCTCTGTCACTAACCCCTCGCCCGAGGCCGACCGGTTGGTCAAGGTCAGGTGTAGGACTTTGCCCCTTGGGAGGTAGACTGACCCGCTGTTGCTAGGCGGCGCGACAGCCGCCGACCGGTCGGCTCAGGACCCCAACGGTAAGCTCAGCCCGTCTGTGCATACGTAACCCATGATAGCCATGATAGCTCTAGAACACACAATGGCACATTGCTTCTGAAAATTCGGTTTTCCTACGGATAATGCATCTATTTTGTTTCTGTTCGAAATTCAAAGGTAAAAAAAAAACATTTTTATCAGTCTAGAGCGGAAAACAAAAACTTATGAACCTGTCATACATTTTTATCCTCTTTTTGTACATCAAGATTATGTCTTCATGTCTTTAGCTGCTCTGGTTTTGTTTAAAATTATATTTTCTTTTTGCATCAATCAACCAAATATTTTAATAATTTTAATAGTTTTAATTACTCTTCGAATCTGCTTAGATTGGATCAATTAGAAAGTAAAGAAGACCCCAATACACCGTTTTCGACATGTATCCTAATGCTCCTACTTGAAAGAACCATTAAAGTATATTCCTTAAGGCCTGGCTACACTATGCGTTTTCTTCGTGCGTTTTTTGCGTGTTTGCGTGATATCGTTCTAGAAAAAAGAACGATACCTATTACGTTTTTTGTGATGTTTTTCACCTTAAATTTTAGTTACATAAGAGTTATATTAGCTTTTGTATATAACCAAAGTAAAAATTATATTGTTTTATAACTTTTTTCCTAGAACGATATTACGCAAAACACGCAAACCTGCAAAAACGCACGCAGAAAACGCATAGTGTAGCCAGGCCTTTAGCCGTGATGGCCGTGTTATACAGGGATTTATGTCATCATTTTCACGGAGGTGCGCCTGAAAGTCGACTTGCATATAAATCAGGCATTTTTCGAGGTGCTCTTTCTCTTTGGATTTCTCTGAGAACCATTGATGCGATTGATGCACGGCCCTGCAACTCCATGCAAAGTCTATGATTGAGCACTTAACTATTGAGCGTGATATTATCAGATTGCCGTTTTAATCATATATCGAACCACATAACTTTGTCTCCCATCGAGCACTCGAAGTGGTTCTATTGTTTCATATCAAGCATTGATCTTTCGGAGCAACACGCATTTTTGACTTAGTTTATTGATTATTGCTGACCAAACAAGTGGCGTAGTGCGTAGGCACCCACTGGAGACAGCCCAGCTGGTTGCCATAGTTTGAGTGATCAATACGGTGTCGGGCGAAACTCACCGAGGCTCCGGGCTGACACAGTGATAGTGCAAACGAACGTATTTTCTCATCCATTTCGCTGGTTTTGAAGTAGAGATAAAGCAATGGCTCGTCACTGTACAACAGCAACGCTTGCCAAGCAACTTCCTAAACAGGAAGTCGGTCAACAGCTCAGTGAATGGAGGAAACGGCTCCAACTTTTGGGTATGTACCTTTAGATCTGGCGTTGCAATGCTGAGCGACGCTACATCGAACGATAGTCACAATAATATAAAAAAAAATCTTCAGGTGCTTTTTATGTCACAAGACGTGAGATGATGACAATGTCGGATTCACGCTTTACAGCTTCTATAGTAATATCTATCTTGCATCATGTGCACAAGATTGTATTGAGTAAATCAACCCAACTCAAACATACTTTTGATCGCGATCTGCGAGATCCTTGTGACATCCACGCGCAATCATTTTCAACAACAACACATTATTTGTTATTCTGTTAGCGCACCAGTGATGTCGGCAATAGCTCCGTCCATTCCAAAATGTTATCGATTGTTGAGGTTATCAATTGGTCATCTAAGCGTGGGTGTCAATAAATGTAAACTGCATGTAAAAAGGGGCAGGACGCCCATCATCCCCTGACGCATCGGAACACCTCTCTTTTCTAGAGGGTGAGAAGAAAGCCAACTATGAAGAGGGCGAAGAAGAAAAGAAGAGAAATATTGCTTTGATCCAATCATTGAAGAAAGATATACGAATTCTGAAGGAAAAGGCAGAGCGGTCTGGAAAGGCAAGTGACATTCGTTGTTGGTTGTGATGGTCATACGCTTAAGTTTTATCATGCATATTGCATAGGCAGTTTGATGCATATAGTCATAGGCACAGTGCTTAGAAAGTCAGAGTGCTTGCTCGTGGGCTCTGAGTTAAAATCGTCAGGGCTCAAAAATCTCAGGTGCACTAACCGATGCTGATAGAGGAGCACTGAACAGGCAGTTACTTTCAGATAGTTTGTTCAGCCAGCACAGCCCTAAGTGTCATGTCAGTACCTATATGGTGTCGGCAGAACGAGCTGCTGATGCGGGATGCTCTGGAAGGCATGGCCACCGCCAGCGTAGCCCACCAGCACGTGGAGCCCGTCTCCAAACTGGACAGCAAGAACGACCGGCTGGGCGACCTCACCAATAGGCTGAACAAGCTGCGCTCCGTGACCGCCAAGGTGGGATGAGGTGCCGGGTGAGCCGGTTGACCCATGCGCTGAGACAATGGGGCTGACAGAGAAAAAATGATCAGCGGAAATACTTTTAAAACGATTTCTTATGAAGAGGTCTCTCGATTATCCCCTGGTGACTACGATAAGCTGTGCCTTGCCTTGCTACTTGTGAAGCAAGGACTGCGGACTTAATATTCCATGGCAGGACACCATTCGTATTTCATTCATGACCTTAAGTTGACCTTTAGTAAGCGTACCGCAATACTGATTGCAATATAATGACTTTTTTGGTAATAGCAAAATAAAGTCCATGTCGCTTTAGTGAATAGAGCCAAAAACTCATGTTTTTTTTTCTGCAGAAAAGGCAGAAACTGGCCTCCATCATGGCTACATTTGAGGACGCCGTTGTAGACAACATCGTCTATGAGGAGAACCGTCAGCCAGACGAAGTGGTGAGCCCTGTCTCGGAATAAAGCCGAGATTCCCTAGCTTTCGTGTCCGTTCGTTCCGTATTTCCCCTGTCTAGCCATTTGTTTTATCGCAGTGAAACTTTTCAAAAAGCCGTCTTACAGTTTGGAGGAAATTCTGGATAAAGCGATCAATAATGCATAACCGTTTAGATAGTCATTGCAGTCAATAGAATACTCCAACCGACTTCAATGTTAGCCGTTTTATGTCAAGTTCAATCTAAACATCCGTGTCCCAGTGTGCATAGCTTTCGGGACATCCCAAAATTAATGCCATTGGCGTTGACCTTCCGTGCAGCACGTTCGGGACCTCAACAACCGCCTGGACTGCATGTCCAAGAAGCTGCTGGAGGCGCAGATGGTGCGGGACAAGTACCGGGGCGTGGTGAGCTCTCTACGCGCCGAGCAGATGACCTACGCCAGCCGGCTGCAGCTGATGCAGCGCCGGCTGGGGGAGGCGGCCGGCGCGCGCTCTGCCGTCACCAGGGCAGAGCAGTACGCCACCTCTGTGCGAGAGACGGCCCAGTCTCAGCTGTCACAGAGCCAGCAGCTCTCCAGCGAGTGGAGGCAGGAGCGAGACTCCAAACTCAACGAGTACAAGTGAGTGGGCGCTGAACAAGGAGGAAGGAAGGGGCAGCTGAGGCTGAGTTAAATATCATCAACCAGTTTCGGGGACAGGATTTATTGGCGATGTTTTAATTGTGATCAATAGAATGTTTCGTCACATTATCAACTTGTCACATTCTTACCGTAACTGCAATGACACCCCCATCAAGTCGGCATTTCTGCTCCGGCTTACTCCGGCTTATCTGCTGACCTCTCACCCCTCAATTGACACGAGATCTCACCTCCCCCTCCCCCGTTCCTCCTCCCAGACGTCAGGCGGAGAAGCAGCGCTCCGAGTACCTGCACCTGCGTCGGCAGCTGTACCTGGGCGGTACCGAGCACCCGCTGCAGTCAGAGGCGTCCAGCGGCGGCGTCAAGCTGGCTCCCAACGTCAGCCAGCTGGTATCGGATCAGCTGCACGGCCTATACGAACAGGCCAAACAGATGATGGTGAGTGGATGGGGCATACCATGTTTCAGGTAGTGTGGGCAAGAATGGCTAGCACGATGGAACAACTGTTGGTCTCCGAGAGGTGTTGCCATTACACAACAGAATTGAAGAACATTTTCTATGTGTGTGTGTTATTCTCGGCTGCGATTTTCAGGAGAGTCTTGGAGCGAGAACTATTGATGACGTGGTTAAACTGTTTGAAATGCAAGCTGACACATCACGACAGCTGACTATGGTATGGAAGGATACGGAAAACAGCATCAAGACGCTCAAGAAGAAGAAGCAAGACAATGAACTGGAAATAGAAAAGCTAAAATATGCCGATAACCTGGAAGAAATAAGGTGAGCTTACCGACCGTTACGCGCTCAATAGACAATTTTATGAATGTGACTTTTAAATCATGTCTAGTTTTAAGTGCCACAGTAAAGCATTACGACGTACCTAACGTACTAGGCGATTCAGTGCTTCCAATCCAATCTCTAGGAACGAATTTTTAACTGTGACTTTCCTCAGAATGCGAAACCAGTGTCTGGAGCTGCGAGAGACCATCGAGGGCTACCTAGCCAGGAAGAAGGCGCACGACGACCGTGTGGAGGTCATCATCGGCACCCTGTCCC